CCCGTTGGCCGTTTCCCGTTGGCCGTTTCCCGTTGGCCGTACGTTTCCCGTTTGGGCGATGGGAGTTGTGCGATGGGCATTGCGCGATGGACATTGGACGGCGGACAGTGGGCGACTGGGCGATGGACATTGGGCGATGGGCGAACTCCCAGAAGCTTGTGAAAGTTTGGAAATTACAAAAAAAATTTCGACGTGGGCGGTTTTCTTTCCCGTCGCAAAATTTTAACTTGCGCAGCTCAGCAATAGGAGTTATAGCGTGATATAAATATGGCTGATTGATACCATCGTGAACTAAACGAGGCCATCTACCTCCTCGTCGAAGTCGCAAATCTTCTGTGGTCGTGATTGATTCGTTGCTGTCGTTGGGGTCGTCGACCGTGATAGATTATTGTCATGAAGATGAACGTCTACCTCACGTCGTGATCGAAATCGTGGTGCAACTACTGATTTGATGCTCTTATTTCCCTCGATGTTGTGTGTTGATCCTGATGCAGCTATAATAGTCTTTCGATTCTACTCCAATTCTTTCCAATTCTAGCTGCAACTTTTTTTCGGGTTTGTGAATTCCTCGCAAGAATTCGCAACGACGTAAAAAACAAAGAAGGAAAAGTACGAAGGTGACCAACCGAGGACTTTTGTTTCGTACTCAGAAACATCTTGAAATAAATACGAGTTATAAATAAATCCAACTGCTACCTAGTAACGGCGTTGCGTATCAATCCGACCACCGCCAGAATGTCATCGATCCGGAGCAGGAAAAACGAAATGCGGGTCCAAATCGCCCCTCTGCTCGTCGCGATTTCGGTGTTCTACTACCTTGTGCCCTGCCAACTGTCGCCACAGGAGATGAAGACATTGGTCCTCGCCGAACAGGTTTTGAAGCAAAAGAAAAACCTCCGGGTCTCGAAAGCGACGTCGACGACGACGAACAAGGAGACCGTGGACGCAGAACTACAAACAAGTGCCGCCGCGGGGGAAGAGAAATTCCTGATTGCCGTCCTGCCCTCTCCGGCGATGTCGACCGCCGAGGACACCTCTTCTCCCGGAGGACGAGGCTCTTCTGCTCTCATTTCGCATGAACACGAGGACGACGATGAGCAGTCCGTTTTTTCGGACGAGGTCGACCTCGAAAAACGCGCATTTCCATGATCAAGAATCTGCATCCGAGGCAGCGGGTGTTGACCAGCTGGGTACCACCGAGCAGAAGAGCAGTTGGATCGACAAGCATGCCGAACGCGGAGATGAATCTTCCCCCCTTTCGCGGACGTCGTCTGGCTCTGGTTTTTTCAGAAGGAGCCCCAGTAGCACCTCTTCCAGCACCGGCAGTTCGGGCAGCTCCTGGAATCCATTTCCTCGCGCGAGGCCTTTCATCGTGCAAAGCGCCGAGTCGCGCAGCATCGAAAGGCAGGCCACATTGGCGCAAGAAATGCAGGCGCTCAGGGAGACGAGAAGACTACAGCGACAACTACAGAGAGAGGAAGCAGGTCAGGCACAAGCCCAAGCAAGCGCAACCGATGAAACTGTCGGCACGCCGGGCTCCCAGGGCACATCACCGACGAGCCGAAGCTGGAGATTATTTCCCACCGGCACACGAACACGATCATCACAAGTTGTTCCAGCGCCTAGTTCCTTCGTGGAAGTCCAGCCGTCTCCTCCTCTGGAAAACGGGAACGGACAACTCGGCCAGCCACTTGTTTCTCCGTCTCCTGCTGGGTCAGATGATCACAGTGCAACTGCCGGTGTTCTTTCCGAGCAACAACCCGCGGGTGTGCTTGATCAGCTCGCAGCTTCCAGCCCGGCACTGCCACTGCCAGCGCACGTACAAATGGAGCCGACAAAGAACGGGAAGCTCCACCACCCGTTCCACGAACTCCCGGACCAGATCGCGCAGGGCGTGCAAGATGCCAGCGGCGCGGAAGTCGAAGTTTCTTCTGCGGTTTGGCTGGAAAAAGGCCAACGCTCGTACGTCGACGCGGACCAACAGAGCGGTCCGGTGGTGGACCTGTCCAGCACCAACGGAAAAAACTCGAACCCGATTTTTGCGGAAAGCAACGACGACAAGCAATCCGTGTTCTCGGACAAGGCGAGGCTTGATGAAGATGCGAATCCTGGCGCAGCATCTTCCGACGCAGCGGGAATGGACCACCCGCTGCTCGCCGGGCAGAAGAGCAGTTCTTGGGCCGAAAAACCATCGGAGGCTCTCGCATTGTCTGCTGCGGCTCAAGCGATGCCCATTTCCCAGCATGAGGATGAAAACGCATCTTCTTCGAAGAACCTGGCTGCGAGCAGTACTTCTTCTCCTACCCGGCCGCGGCGCCTGCGGAAAAATGCGTCGAAGAAGAAAGGGTCCTCGTCCGACAAGAACCAGGGGGGCCCGGCGACTTCCAAACTTGGTGCTGGAGTGGCGGAGGGGAAAGACAATCCAAGCAAGATGAACTACCCGGCCCTTGATTGGTTGCAGGTACAACTATAATGCTGCAACCACTTTACAGTGCAGTTTTCGAAGAGGATCACATGGATGATAAGTAGGTGCTTGTGCTGCGTCAAGGTCTCCAGTTGCAGGTACTTAAAAACTAGAATAAGAAAGAAAGATCGAAGCGGGACATGCGATAACTAAAGTAAATCTAAAGCAAAATAATTCCAAACTACAGCTTTCCACGGGTTTCGGCGCTTCCAGCGATCTTTTTCACGAAACCGACGCCACCCGGATCACACGCCTCCAGTTGATGGTGTCGGCGCACACGCAGGCAATTCTTGTCTTGGAAGACGCCGAACATGCCGCAGCCGACGTCGCGAACTTCCAAGCCGCCACGCTGGCCCACTTGGACGCGCAACCGGCACCGCAGCTGGATGCCGCCTTTCGCACCATGCTCGACCACAGTGTTCGCAAAGCCGCGTGGCGCGTGAAGGTGGCAGCCAAAGCCGTCAAGCCGTTTGAGCAAATGTTACACAACGAGGCAGCCGTGTACGGCGACCCGGCTATCGGCGAGAAGTTGGCTCGCATCTCCGACCCGCGCCTCGTGGAATTCGTTGTGGCCGACAAAAATCACAACTCCGTGCTGGAGTATGACGAGTGCCCGTCTGTCGTGCGGACTGTGGCGGGGAGTGGGTCCGGGACGAGTGCGGAGAGCTTGCAGGGCGAGGGTATTTCGCAGGAGGAATTTCTACACGTCGTGACTTCGGGTGGAAGGGGTGCGGGTGATGCATCCGGCACTCTGGGCAATGTCGAGTCGTCGCTTCTGGAAATGCAGCCGCGCAACGACAACACGGTCCGTGCCCTCGCACGCGGTCAAGCCGGCCCTGCCTGCTGGGAAGACAATTCGTCGACGACGACTGGATCGTCGTCACCCAGCAGCAGCTTAATAAGGCGTTCCTTCAGCAGCCCCTTGAGCAGCACCGTCCGCGCAATTTCCAGTGTGGCTACTTATACCCAACGAGCCGCAAGAGGATTTTTCGAGGACAGCCCCGAGACACAGCAGTTGAAAGATGAGCGGTTGGCTCAGCAGTTGAGTCAGCGGTCTCCTTATCACGACGGTCTTGGCGGAGTATTGACCCCTGGGCGACATACGTGGCAAGCTGCAAATGATAATGCAGGACGTGATACTGAACGCATTGTGCAGACGCAGCGGGCGAGGGCGGGGTCCCGCAGTCGCGGACGCCCGCCAGGAATGTGATGTTGTTTTGATGTGCAACGGAGGAAGTGACAACCTTTCGTGTGATTAAAATAAATGCGAAATGAATATTACGTAAGTTTAAGTAACAAGATTGAGCTACAATTACAAAGTTCTGTCTCGGGCTTTGAACAGTTTGATGTGTCCTTCTTATGAAAATTCATCGAGTGTGATTTCTCTACTTGCAAATTAAGATACTTACTCAGTTCTGACTGTGCCACGTCTCAAGATAGATGGAACCAACATGTAACAATGTCGTCGGTAAGAATCAGGATAAGCACATGTCGCAATGGAAAAGACCCTAGGCCAGCAGAGATTTCTTGTTTGCTTGCGCCAATCTCGACTCTGTGTATTTGATAGCGCTACTGTGATATTTCAGGACAATCCATTATAGTACAAGTACTCCGAGGACGAGGCACGGCTCCGTTGCGGGGTTTTCGAATCGGAGGATGTCCAAAATAAGCTGCGGCGCCGCCTTCTCCACGATCCGGCGTGCATGCGCACTGACCTCCATGTCAAGTGGTGCTGGCGTCCTGGCTGTGCCTGATTTAGGTCTGCCCGGGGGCGCGCGTGACCTCTCATGCCCAATTTAAGAGTACTGCATCGCCCCGAAAACGAGCGCTGTAGTGGTCCGCTCAAGAGTTTGAGAAAACCGCTTCGGAGGCTCTTGCGATTCACTTCACTTCACCCAGAACAAACTAACATCCGACGCCGCGCGCGCAGAGCGCCTGAATTTTTTTTCGCTGATTTGGAAGACACTTGCATACTGAACCGTTACATAGGCTTTCTCCGGAGTAGAGCAGGCTTGCTGGAGAGAGACTGCAGGATCCATCGGACATATGCTTCTGCAGTGCGCGCCAGTGGCAGTGCTATCTTTCCAAACTGCGCCGTGTGAGGCAGGGGTGAGAGGGAGAAAAGGGGTATCCGCAAATGCTCCGGGTTTCCGTTCATTGCAATCATGGTTGCGCAGCCTGTATCTCTATCTCGTACATGATCTGGTAACCAAATGCGTGCGCGCGCGATATTAGATGGGTACTAAACTTGAAACTAAAAAAGTTTTACAGCAAAACCAGCAGACCAGCGAGCAGAGAACTCGCATGAAGCAGAGGCAGATCAATTTTACACGCTTATGTACATAGTATATTAGCTTGTTTCAGATTCAGAATAAAGATGCTCCGCAAGTTTATCTTGCTCCTGTATACAGAGTTGGCGTTTATTATTCAGAACACTATGCTTATTTCGCATTCGCAGTGCAGCAGCTGTTGTGCTAGTAGAACGTACTAGACCGAGTAAGTACTTGCGTTCGTGCTGCAACGCATCTTGTTTCATCTTGTGACGAGTATGTTCGACGGGGGAACGTTACCCATGGTCCTGCTTATCGCTAGGCATTCCGATAGATCTTCGACACGACTAGGTGTACAAAAATGCTTCTTCTGCACCAGTCGAAGATGCTGTGCAAAAGAGTTGTAGAGCTACTAGTTTGCGATTGTGGTCGCGTGGAGGTCCGCATGATACATGATCAGGTTGACATCCACTCCTCGTGTCTTTATTTCATCTTCGAGTAGTTCGTAGTCGTCTAAACCGTGAGAATCGTGGGCACGCGACTCCGGCGTTGATCTCTGTACGGAAACAGGGATATAATGGTGTGCGTTGAAATAAGTATGACCAAATTTCTCGTAGCTTGAGTTTAAAAAAGCATTTGCATTTCATTATACCAAGCACGTTGACCAAAGTCGTGCACTCCTGGACACAAGGAAATATCGTGGGCACATTGTAAGATCCTGTCAACTTCGAAACTCCAAGCAGACTCGTAGAAGATCGTAGCGCGAGTAAAAGTCGCAAGTCGTAAAGGATCGCGCTCGGTGCCCTCCGTCGTCGCAATCTGACCAAATCCTTCGTGGTTTATCTTCTACTTTTGATCGCTTGTATTTCGAATTTCCCATCCACCGACCACTTTTACGCGATTTCTCGGTCAAACCGTATCCTGCCAACTCCCTTTGTTTATAGCTTTGTTTTTTTTTCGAAGGAAGAAAAAAAACTTCGAAGACAGGCTATTTGCGTAAAGATAAATCTGTTGATCGCTTCATCAGAAAATCAATTAATCTCTCTATGGCAGCTCCACCTTCTTTGAGATGATCCAATTTCATAATCTTCAGTCTGTCGTTGTTTCTGGAGTTCTCATCTGCAAGTAGGAACGACTAAGCTCGTCCCCGAGTTCTCGTATTTTTCGCACTGTTTCAGGCATCACAGGCACGGGAGTGAAGTACCAGTAAACCACGAAACGAAATGTCCGAACCCGGTGGTGGTTCTAGTCCCTCGACGGCCCCTTCAGGCAACAAGCAGGGATCCTCAAATCGGGGAAACCGAAACGAGAGGAAGGGCAAGGGGAAGCGGAACAGTACATCGTCTGCGTCCGGGGATCATGCTACGGGGGCTGCTGGGGCCGTAGATGGTGGAGCGGCAAGTACGACCGAAGAACAACTATCCGTGTCTGCCACTACAGGCACTGGAGCGACGGGAGGTGTGTCGTCCTCGTCGCGCAGCGCACAGAATTTCGACCGAACTACCCCCGCCAACTCTTTCGCCTTGCCGGCAAGCGATTACATCGATGTCGAGCAACGTTTGATAACGGTGAACGACCGGCTGCCGAGCTCTGCGCCGGATCGGGAGCCGCCGAGCGGAACCCAAATCGTCCGCAGGACGCGGCGGGAAAGTGCCTCCGGCGAAATTTCTGGTGGCAATGCAACGTCTCACAGTGCGACGTCCAAGACGAACAGGAGCGACTTGGACGAACGAGCGCAGTACGCTTTGTTCGCGCAGGACGAGCTGGTGCGGCTGCATGAGGCCTCCGTTTTGAGCAACAACGAGCGGGACGCTGCGGCCGCCGGTGGCGATGTAGCTAACAGGAACCAACTATCAAATGCAAGTGTGTCGTGTGGGTCTGGAACAAGGCTGCTTGCACTTGCTTGACATGATGCATTTTCTGGAGTAGACAAATGGTCTGGTTCAGAGGATGTGAAGCATGAGCATTACGTGTACAAGTTTTGCACGCGAATCTGTAGCAAAGACAAAGAGTGGGCAGCGTTTGGCACTGATGCCGAAATACAGATTTTTGTCAGCTCGAGATTTAGCGTCACAACTTGCCTGGTGGAGCTCTTCCACCAGACCCAGACATGCAACAATTTGCAATGCATATGATGGACTACACCCGAGGATGCCGAAGTGGAAGCGGTTTCTGGTGAAGCTGTTTCACCACTCCCCGAAATTCGAGCTGCTCATCCTTCTCTTGATCATCGTGGATGTGACCATGGTCGCGATGAACATAATGCTCGATGCCGTCATTGAAGTGCCGCGGGAGTGGAACGGACTGCACGAAATCCCGGACGAGTATTACGACGTGGAGGTCCGCGTCGACATTCCGGACCACGAAAGCATGACCGAGGTTGAATATCCTGTGTAAAAACTACGTCCCCACCCCATAGTCAAGTAATGGGGGCTTTGCTACACAAATCCACAAGGTTTGGGCATTGCGCATGACAAATTTCGGCTCGCAGCTTAGTCGTGTTTAGCCTGTGCAGCCGCATCACAAGTAGATCGCCTTATCCTGGTTCCAGCATGACAAACTCCGAGATACCATTGAAAAATGCTCCTCATGGGGCTGCGCATGAGAAATGTCTTTAGGTTTGCTGATTTGCATGAGAGCTACAACTATGGGGTGGGGACGTTTTTACTCAGGAGATTGAAAGGAAGGCGTTTATCCACCGTCCCAAGTTGGACGACGTGCACAGCTATCAAATGCAAATATGTCTGGACGATCTGGAAACTTGTGATGCTGGTTGGCGAATCCTGAGGACGCCACAAGAGACGGCTCAGCATGCCAAGTTCCTGACTTGATAGGTGTTGCGTATTCTGCCTGACAAACCGAAACCGCGTTTCGGCATGACACAAAAATGGGGCTTTTGGGTAACAAGCATAACAGACTTTGGAGTCATGCTAGCAGAGCATGACAGACCTTCCATTCTTCCAGACCCAGACACTTTTGCAATTCATAACGGCTGCATCTACGATATCGCGGCGGACGAACTTGTGGGCGACGGCTGCGGCGACGAGGCTCTGGAGCAGCAGCTGGACGTGGACCACCTGCACCTCAAGTTCGCGGAGCACAGAAAAAACAGAACGACAGAATATGACCCGCTCAGGTGTTACTACAAGCTCAACCGTTTTTCCGAATGAGTATTTTTGAAAGGAACGTCGGAGATCTGTGATGCAAAGAGTTGTGCACAATCTGAACTAGACCTTGGACTGCAACTTCTTGCTCTCGCAGGAATACGCAGGACAAATTCAGGAGCCCCAAAGAACCCCACTAGAATCCGACGGAATTATTTGCATTGCGAAGTAAAGTGCTAGTGCTAGGTAGTCGTCTCTACTGAATGTTCCTCACGTAGTTGTCCATGGAAGGCATTTTAAATATTGTAGCGGTTGAGATTGTGAAAACACCTGAGCAGGCGATACAGAAAGAAAAGGAGATGGCGAGGTCGTGCCAGAATCCGAACGCGGATATCAGAGCCGCCTGAACACATTGGCGATGGAGGGTAGTTATTAAATTTCGATTTTCCTGTGTAGCTGACTGTGACTAATAGTAATAACTTGTTGCGATATCCAGTAGTACCTGTTATTAACAACTACTCACTACCGTGCGTAAGATTGGTTCGCAGGCAGCTACTACATCAAGTGAAAGTGTAAATCATAAACATAAATGGATTGTGGTGCGACGTTTGAAATTTACTCATTTACTTCAGTGCGACAGGACATGTGTCTGGTGCCGCTGAAAAGGAAAATCGAGATATACTCTATTTTTACCACCTCGTCGTCTCAAAAAAAAAATCCCAGAAACAGCGTGAGCGCGAATCAAACAAAAAAACAGCACTCAAGGAAGGAAAAGACCAGGAGGGCAGCGCCGGAAACGACGGCGCGGCAGTGGAGCAACTACACGATGAGTACTCTGCCGGAAGAACGGGTGATGTGACAAACCTGCACGACCAAGAGGCTGAGAAGAAGGACCACGACGACCAGCATGCTCTGACTGGGCACCACGACCACCCTTTATCGCACCTGTACAACTACGTTCCTGCGGTGCCCCCCGTGTCGGAGCTTCCCGTCGCGCCAGCATGGTCAAACGTCGCGGAGCATTTGCAATATCCCGTTTGGGACAGCCCGGACCAGTTTTCACCCGAGGCAACGGGCGCCGCACAGCATTCTGCTCATCCGGAGGACCACCACCGCAACGATGCCACAGAACAACCCGAGCCTGCTGACGACACTCCGCATGTCCACGGGAGCATGCGGTCGCGTCCGCAGCGGACTACACGTATCGCAGAGAAAAAAGCTAGCATTCTACCATATTTGTGAAGCAGAAATATGATAATCCACGCCGAGAAGAGAAAAATGAAATACATCTGTCGTTCATATCTCAAGCAGGAGATGCTCTGAGATTGTGTAAGGCAAACAATCTTGTGTATGTCTTTTTGCATTTTTGATGATATTTGCTAGCTGCTCCTTTCCTGTCTGATAGGCCGCAGGGACCTATGCAATTTGCAAATATGTCTAGGTCTACGTCTAGTTCCGGAACATTACAAGACTTGTCATGATGCATGTCTGACATGACTCTGAACTCTACAACTGTGATCGACGCATGTGCCCCGAAACTCGCGCCTCTTTCCAGAGATGCAGAAACGCAATAGCTCGTGCGGAATTTTACGCAACATGTAGCATGCGTGGCTACATATTGTAGTGTCAATTCACAGACTCAGACTAGCAGTACAAGGTTCAAGACCCAGACATATTTGCAGTGGATAGAAACAGCTGCCCACGCGGGAAGATGACGACGGTGCGACCTCTTTCCTCGTATCGGTGGCCGTGGATGCCGAGGGACTTACAAAAACGAAAGCAAAAACATATAACCTGCTCAGGTGTTACAATCTCAAGCGTTACAATAGAATAGGAAGAGCTTTGCTGCCAAAAGTGCATGATCTAGCCTACGTACTCCCACAGGATTGCGCATGTTGACAAGTTCCGCAGCCCCAAACTTCATTGAAATCTAGCAAAATTGCGAAAAGAGCAAGGCTCTTTACGTTTCTCATGCTGCTTGTGCAAGACGAAGTCCCGAGTGTATTGTAACGGTTGAGATTGTAACATCTGAGCAATCTTCCATAAACCAGACGAGGGACGGGCAACCGGTGATCATGCAGCTTTGGCTGAAACACACCCACCGGAAACCACACCAGCAGCAGCAGGAGAAGGCGTATCTGTTCGATCGATTTTGATGTTTATTGTCCTGCTATTTCGGTACAAATACAAAAGCAGGTGGGTCCTTTCCACAAGAATACAAGTACTTTCTACAAGTACTCTATCTCTCGTTACTTTGAGATTAGATTGAATGTTCGGTGTTCATGCTTTTCTCCGCGACCGGTAAACAGAAAAAAATACACCACAGCAGGAGACCGGGAGTACCGAGGGCAAGACCGCAGGGGGTGAGCAGGACGCGAGTACAGTACCCCACCGGCGGAGTGGGAAGCTGCTCATCTACGTGGGGTACTGGGCCGAAATAAAGGAGGTGTTCGAGACGATCAGTCTGTGCGTGATCTGCTTATTCATGGTGGATATCAAGTGTAAAAATGTCTGGGTCTGGAAGATTGCCAGGTTTGTCATGCACATTTTGCATGACTCCTGATGTCTGTGATGCATGCCCTAGCATCACAGATTTTGTGAGGGCTTCCTGATGCCTATACCGCACGACAAATGCTCTTCCCGTGTAGCAAAACTTGGACTCTCGTTGCTGCTCATGCAATACAGATTTTGTTGGAATACAAAATCAGCATGACAAGTTCGGATCCTTCCAGACCCAGACATTTTTGCATTTCATGGTGGAGCTGGTGCTGCACATCTTGGCCAACGGGCTGTACGAGCACTTCTTTGTCTATCGCGGCCTCAGGTTTGAAATCGACGAGGTTCAAATGCTTTGTAATGCATAAAAGCGATACGGATACAAGTTCCAGTTCTGTGACCCTTATTTCTGTGTGGCGCGTGGTGACAAATGTTTGGAGCACCTGAAGCCAGTTTGCCATGCTGTATTGAGGCAGAGAAATTAATATTTGAACCCTGTCGATTTCAAACCTGACACTCCCATAGTGTTGGCACCAAAATGAAGATCGCGGGGATGTGGATCGACGCGATCGTTGTCCCCATGTCCTTCATCCAAGAGGTGGTCTTCCCAGAACAAATCGAAGAGCTGGACATGGTTGTGGCTCTGCGGTACAGTAGTTGCTTTCTGAAATAACTCGTCGAATTGTAGTGAGATGCTGCACCCTCGATCATGATGCGGCAAAACTTTCTGATGCACAGTACCTACGATATCGAATGGGAAAGTCGTGCTAGTTTCAGTTCGAACTACAAGTTGTACGTAGTAGAAATAATTGTATAGTGCATGACAAAGGGAAAGGGAATTTTAAGCACGAGCCGCAGGCATTTTGACGCGAAATCATGTAAGCGAATTCATACGATGAAAATGTGTCTGTAATTACAGGTTGTGGCGCATTGTCCGGATCTTTTCGGGCGAGTTCGTGTTTCTGGGCGAAATCTACGAGGATCGACGAGAAAAGAATCATGAGCTGGAGTTTATGACCCTGTCACAGGTTACAATCTCAAACGTTACAAAAGAATCTGGATTCCATCTTGCACAATCAGCATGACAGACACACAAAGTGTTCCGCTTTTATGCAAAATTCGACGGATCTTCAGGCAGTTTGGGACTCAAGAACTTGTCATGCGTATTTGTTCCTGTTAGAGCAAATAGGCCAGATCGTGCTCTCTTTGCATCACAAAGCTCCACTTCCAATGTAACGCTGGAGATTGGAACAACACCTGAGCAGGTCATAGAATTGGCAGAGTTCTTCATGGAGGCGAATGATCTTAACCTGGAAGATTGGGAGCAGTTTAAAGAAGACCATCCGTACTGGAAAAAGTAGCGGCGATGTTGGGAGGTGAGGTTTCTTTTGCTATGGTGCAAATAAATTCATGCGGCATAATTTCCTCGTTAAGAATCGAATCCGTTTCTTGATCGACATCGACACTGACTATTTGACTTTTTTTACTTCTATGCTTTATGATTCACAACTTACTTCCTTCAGTACCACGTGTACCATCGTGTCTTTCTGTTATGAACAAATACGATCGTTGTTTTTATGGTGTGCGATAGATGAAAATTACAGAATTATGCAACTACTTTTGAAGAACAAAAGGCGGCATTGGACGACCGAGTTTCAGTTTCAGGATCATGCCTCCGCTCAGGGCAACGAGAACGACTTCAACACAAACTGTCACAAACTGTTTGTTTGGGTGTGATGTACCAAAATTGAAAACGAAAATCGTGGTTAAGTAGCAAAAATTTTCTTCGCGTTTTTGCCTGTTTTCTTTGATTTGCAACTACATTATTTTCATGTAAAAATTGAACAGATTCAGATTGATAGTCTTGAGTATGAATGTGAGTGTTATCTTGCTATAAACTTTTTAGATTTGGACGAAATGGTTGCCTGATTTACCAGTTTCAACAACACTCCACAGTGAAGGGCACGCGGCTTGCGCCGGATTCGCATGGTGTGCCCTTGCAGTTTTGATGATAGGATGAATATCTTCGTGTACACAAGAAAAAAAGGAAATCAGGTTCTTTACTACAATATGCTACATGTGGGGGACGAGTCTTTTATTGAGACGTCGACGTTGCGGCCTTCGTCATTGACACTGTACATACTTGCAACGAGAAGGAGTGACAACTCCACAGCACATAGCCGCCGTACAAGTAGAAGCTGAATAGCTTTCCTTGCACTTCTCGCGGGAAACCCCACTTCTGCTTTTCGGATCATGCAGCAATGTTCCCTGGTCCTGAATATCTTCTTCGTCGAGCTTGCATTTTCATTTCAGGGATTCTGTGTTTAGGTTTACGTTCTCGATCGTGCATGTCATCGTTTCGTTCATCTTATCGTGCAACAATCAAATGCTACTTTCTTGGCTCTGCCGTTCAGACACTACTTACATAAACCCTTTCTCGCAGCGACAGAAACTAGATTTTTCGTTTTTAGTTTTTTCAACCGTGTTTAAGACTTTCGTCATTAGGTCAATTCCTGCCGTTGTGTCGTTGTCCGTCGTCCACTCCTTGAAATAGCATTGGTCGTATGTTTTCTTGTCCATAATTCGTCCGATGTAGTTGAATAAAAACAGGTTTGCGTCCGTTTGTAGAAGTCCTCTGCTCCTAAGCTCCGGACCTACCTGAACCAGGTCGCCAAAGGCGATCAGTTCTCGTCGGGTTTTGATTTGTTTCCAGTGACTTTTACAATTTTCTGAATTTTCATCTTCTTCTACGTCGGGGGAAAACCCTAAGTAAGCGACGCAGCTGGGTCCTTTTGTCAGCAGCGAGCCATGATGTCCGACGACGTCCTCGAACACGTTCGTGGCGGCGACCGATGCAGTGGCACCTCGTGGCCCCGAGGGCAGTCGTGCGGCTTAATGATACATGATCGGCATGCGTGGCGGGAGAAGTGTAGGAGCGGGGCAATGATCCACGGCACAGCTTCTCGTCAACTTTCTTCATTTTCATCTCGGACCACGAATGTCGTGCTCGCCTTTGGGGTTCTTGCGGCGAACAATACGAGTGGGCATTATTCATACTTCCAGACCGCAAGTGCGTACCAACTTGTGCAGGGGAACACGAAGGAGCGCCACCGCTGGAGAAAGTCTGCCGCAGGCACCGGGATGCGAGCGAAAAAAATTGGCAAAGGCAAGAAACTCCTGTTCAATCGAGCAGGCGAAGGACGAGCAGCCACTTCATCTTCGACAACTGCGCAGGAGGACGAACAAGAACTCTCAGTACGACCCTCTGCTGCTGCTGCTGCTGTCCCCGAAACGCCGGAAGGTGGATCTGCATCACCAGTGGGGCGGGGACCACGAGCGATGAGGCGCAAAGACCAGCATCTGCCGCGATTACCCCTACCTCCTCCCTGACGCAGGTGAAAGTCATGACTATACAGCAGCAGAAGATGAAGAAGGAGGAGCAGCACGGCATGGGCATGGCCGCCGACAAAAACGAAAATACCGGGAAAAATGAAAATCGTACGGAGCACGCGGAGACTTTTCTCTCCTCCTCGACGACCTCAGACGACCACAACCCCTCGGCCCCCCCGGGCCACACCTGCGCCAAAAAGCGGTGGGACAGTTGCACGGAGGAGCGTTGCTGCGACGCGGAGCCTGCCGGTACGTCGGTGGCGGAGGGCTCCAAAAACCTCTGCTACAAAAAAGACCTGTGGTACAGCCAGTGCCTCGGGGAGGGGGAGTGCGACACCCAAGGCGGGTCCTGGTATGTAGTGAGGTTACCGAACGGTTCTAACCAGGGAGTTTTTTTGCCATATACCCTGAAAAACGATCGGCAGTTTTCAAGCGGCCGGAAGCGTTTTTGGACATAAAAAATTTTCAATTATCAAGCGGGCGGGGCTTTGCCATCAAACAAGCCCGGTCGAAAACTATCGATTCGCACTTGATAAAACGACGCAGGGGAGCCGGCAAAAGGGGCGCCCTTCTGAGGCGCCCGCCGCCTTGGTTTCTGGCGATTTGGGGCGCCCAAAAAGGGGCGCGCAAAAAACGCGCCCAAAATCAGAACAGCGAAACAGCATGGCACGGCCGCGATTTCGGAGCATTTTGGGCGGCCGCGAAAGCGGCCGCCTTTTCGCCGGTTTCAGAGCCTGGGAAGCTTTGCAAAACGCGCCGGCGTGAAAAATGAAAACGCGAAAAAGAAAAAGCGCCCCAGACGCGCAAAGCCAATCCGCATGCTATGGGCCCGATTTTCCTTCGCTTTTTGGGCGCCCACCGTGGCACCCGGATCGGCTCCATAGCATGGGGGCTGTCTTTCGGAAAGGAATTTCGGGAATTTGCTAAAATTTGCGACGTTTATCGAGCGGCCGCCATACCGTGCGGCCTAACGTTACTCGCGGCGGCATGGCGAGCCAAGAAAAAGCAAGGCCGCGGCCAAGGCGACGGCCGGCAAGAAAACGCCCACGACCTCACTACCCCCGCCCCGGCGGCTATATTTGGTACTGCATCGTGATGAATGCCAACCCCCCGGACATCCAGCAGCTCACCGACACCTGCTCCTACGAGGGCGCCTACGGGATCGCCCGGAAAACCTGGGATACCGCCACCCGCACCGACGTAACCATTCCGATGGTCTGCGATAGTGGTGCAACGGTCGGCGGGGAGGCAGTTGCGCCTCAGTCGCCCACGCAAGAATCGCCGAGCGTGGTGGCTGCTCATTCCAGCAGTGGCGCGCCGTCTGCTGTGGGGGCCTCCTCGGGAATGCTGGGTACTTCCGTCGCGAATCTCGATGAGAGAACGGTCGCGGAAGATGCAGCCGAGGGCGCCGTTGGATCATGCTGCACGAGTTCCGGCGAGGAAGCAGGAGCAACGGAGGCTGCCGGGCAAGAAGATGGTGAACAAACTGGCGCGAACGGGTCCGGTTCCGGAGCACCTGTGGCGGAAGATGAACGGCCGGTGTGCTACTTCCCCGATTTTACCGTGGACCCCAAGGAACCCGAGATGGTGCCAATCCACGCCAAGGATCTCACGGAAGGCCTGCAATGCTGGCTCTGGGACTGGGACCAGGGAGTGTGGGGCGACCACGCGCACCGCTGGGACGGCACGTACCTGGTGAATGTGCAAACTGGCGCGAAAGTGGCGGTCGCGCAGGAGGAAGCGCCGGAACCCACTACGGCGGGGAGCACAGGAGGAAGCAGCACTCCTGCTCCGTCGCCGAACAGCAGCGGAGGTGGTACTAGTACCACTAATCCCGATCCGTTGTCCACGCCAACGCCAGGCCCCACGCCACCGTCCGGTACCGCATCGCCCGGCCCCCTACCGCCCACACCAGCTCCCGCGGGCTCGCAGTTTCTGTCCACAACGACGGCGGGGCATACTAACGCGCGCCGGAAGGAGTGGCTCGGCGCCATGACCCAAGTAACGCCGGGCGTGCAGTACTTCGATACCACAGTGGACGCCCGCGTGGTCGTATCCTCGGGGGGCGCGGCCAGGGGCGTGGTGTCCGAGGGGCAGGGCTACGGTCTGTGGATCGGCGGCACCACCGTGGCGGCCATGCGGGTGGCCTACGGCTGGCGCAAAGGATCGGACCCGCAGTACGACGAGGCGGTGCAGGAGACGCTGGAAACCTGGTACGGCTGGCGCCAGGCCTGCTACATTTCGACGGAGTGCAAGGAAGACTTTGCGATCAAGTACCACGCTGGGCGCAACGACGTGATGGCCGCCTACTTCTGCGGCCCGGACTGCCCCTTTCAGGGCATGGACAAGGTCTACATGCACGAGTTGCGCGAGGCCGAGAGGGTCTGCCACCCCTGTCTCCCGCACTGGAAGGTGAAACCGGACCTGACCGAACACCTGAGCGGCGGCTGCAACTCGGCCTCGGACGGCGACATTGACGGGATCGCCGGCATGATCCTCCTGGTCCTCACCACCGCCGCGGACCGGGATGACTACCTTTGGTGGGGCAACCTGGCAAAGGAGAGCTACCAGTCCTGCAAGGACGTGATGGTGCATTTGGTGGACAAGGGCAAGGGCGTCAACGAGGACCAGTACCTGTTTACCGTGGGCACGTCCTGGGGCGGGTTCGGGGTGTCCGATACCCACCCGCGCAAGGGCCAGAACCCGAGCTACCACGGCCCGGCGGTGTGGCGGCTGTGCCGCGACTACATGGACGCGTTCGAGTCCGTCGTGGGGGCCCCGCCTGGGGACCGCTTCGAGCGCCCCCCGTCCGGGTACCACACCGAGTGGCCGCCGCCGGATAGTTTCGCAGGCGCCTCTCCGGGTGAACCGCCGTTCGTGTCGCACGCGGATGGCGAGTGGGAGAAGCTGTTGCGGGGGACCTACAACATGCTGAAGGACAACCAGTGCCCGCAGACGGGGTGGATCTCGAACTGGTACAACACCAACGAGAAGGGGGCCGACGCCACGCAGCGGGTGGGGGACCGCCGCTACGGCCGCCTCGAGTTGGCCGGGTCGGGCACCCCCAAGGAGGAGTTCGGTTCGGAGGGGTCTCGGGGCGTGTGGCGAGTGTTGACGGATCGCGTGTGGTACGCGCACGAGCCGCCGATCGAGGGCTATCAAGGGGGAAAAACTGTGTTTTGGTGTAGCTTTTTTTGAAGACCTCAATGGCATCACAAATTTATTTCGCATGACCGAGGACGAGGAACGAAGTTACATAAGTAGGCATTCATTCATGCATCCATAGGTTATTCATATTCGTTTGCTTCGTGAAATGTAAACTAGGTTATTTCAAGTTTACCTGTACCTGCCGCTGGTTTGTGGCATTGATTACAGTTGTATTACTGACTGTCTTGCATGGTGGTCTGCACTGAAATTTGAAAAAGGTACACCAGCACAGTGTATTTCACCTGTATAAGGGCGTGGCAGACTTCAATTCGCAGAAGTTTCTCGACCGCATCGTCTTGCAAATGGACAAAGCATGATATGTGTGGCAAAAGTCCTTCTAAAAGTGCGAGTGATAGGCAGGATCCGTTCACAAAGAGAAAGTCACACGATAGATAAGTACTCATAATAACGCGAAAACACATAATAGGGGCGTGGCCAAAAGATTTTTCGCGCACGAAAGTAACTGACACAATTTACTTTTGCCCGTGATATGTGGACGGGAGAGACGGTTGCGGGCAACGACTGAAAAAATGACATGGGGGTGGACATGACCGGAATTCCCGCCCCGCCGGAGTGTTTCGCAAGCAAAATCCATTCGTCGTGGCAGTGGAATTTTTTCATGTTTGGCCCCATCTCCACGGCTTTGGTACACCAGTACACGGGGAGCGAGGTCTTGCAATACAACCAGCAGGATGTGCTGGACCACGCCGGCTTGACCATTTCTCGCCGGCAGATCGCGAACGAGAACTACTACGCGGCTTGTTGGGTCATGCTGGCAACGGCGTCCATCAATGGCGATTTATTGGAGCGTGCGGGTTACGTCGTGCGAGCCATGCAAGATCCAGGAAAATTGGAAGCGCTCATGCGGGGGGATCCCTTCGATTCGTGGAAATAATAGATACGATAGAAGAGGAACTCTCTGCTGGGACAAGAGGTGAAAAGAAAGAGCAGTTGCAAGTTCGTGAAACATGAAACTCGTTATACTGCCCGAAGAGATAGAAAATGAAACTCGAAGCCCCGGATTTTTGTGACACTTCATTTACTTAAGTACTTCTTTTCATCTTAGATGAAACTACCGCCGCTATACCGTTGTACTCGTTTTGCCCCGCGGAATCCTAGTTGCAAATTTGTATTTTAGGATCTTAAAGAACATAAATAGTAAAACGCGAGGACTTGTTTCTTAGTGCAATAGCACCAGCATCTCCACCCTAAGTACTTTTGCAGCCCTCCCCTTGGATTAAAGATAGAACCCTATTCGTCCCCCCGCTTCCCAGCAATTTTTTTCTGCAGGCTCTGCCGGCAAATCGTCGTCGATAACGATGGTGCAAGATGAGGAAGCAATGTTTTTCGCCTGTGTGATGATCGGCTTTGGTCCTGTCTTTGCGTTCCGCGTGTGTCGTGTATGTGATTGAATCTGTTGACCCTTTCTGACGGCGTCGCAGTTGATGAAGATGGTGTGAGTTTCCTGTCCTGGTACTAGGCTATCAATCTTCCGTTGTACACGGGCATCTTCCGGCCGTTCGAGGATCAGTTTTTGGTGTTGTGCCATAAAAAAAACGGCAATGAGGCACATACATACTCAGGGATCTTCTACTTTTTTGATCGCATGCATGTCGTCTGATGGCCGTTGAGCAGTGTAGTTTCGCCGCGGTGGAACACACTAGAAGTAACTCTCCGAGGATGAAAATCACGGTAGTGCCTGTGCTTTGTGGATCTCAGCCGTGGCGATGGTTGTGGGCAGACATCGGATTTTGTTTTCAACAAGATCAACAGTCAGGATGAGGATCCCGTAGGCACAACTGAGGTCAAAAGTATAATTGCGCCGAGGCCGGCGATCTACGAGCTACTGAAAAGGGTTGTGCTGGGAGTTTTTGCCTCCATATCGATATGAGCAGGAGAATGTAGTAAGTACTTACAACAAAGACCACAACTTATGTATATCTGCATGATCTGAACCCCCAAAGGTATTAATGTCGGAGCAGGAGGTTCTCGTACTTCCTTTCAGCACGACCACCCGCCCCTCCGCCGCTAGCGAATTTATGGCACTCTTTACTCGCTATGGTTCTGAAATTTCTGGCGTGGAGCCGAATCTCCTGTTTCCCGGATTTGGAGATTCACTTGCAATGCTGCCAGCAGAAAATAAACGCGCCGGTGGATCAAGAACATCCTCTGCTCGACGAGAGCAGAAACGAACAACGAATAGTGCGAGATGGAAGCGAGGGCCGCGAGGGGCGGAGCACATCAGGAACACACGAGACCACAAGGGACGAAAAACGGTCCTTCGACCTGTTGAAGGGAAGAGTTCTGCCGCAGGGTCTTGGGGTCTGTTTCTTGCCTGGCGTCGAAGATGGATCTTTGCTCGATCCGCGGAAAGACCACTGGCTCCCAATCGCGAAGGACCTGCAGCCGACCTTCGACTTGTGCTGTCAGCGGACCCAGCATTTGTCGGTGGAGGAGGTCACAGAGCTGTACGGTTTACTGAATCATAACCAAGAACATCATCAAAAAAATAGAAAACCAGAACCTCCTGAAGAAGAAACACTAGAACGGCCACGCAGCACGAGCACCGACAGTATCGACTCCTACACGACCAGTACCACGGCCGCAAAAACTGATGATGATGATGAAAATAGTACTCTGTCCTCCCGTTCCCATCCCGTGCTTGGCCGGCTGTTTTTCGAGGTCGAGCCCAGCAGCACGTGGGACGATGATGCGTCCTCCCTGTGGCCGCCGGAGTACGAGCAAAGGAAGCACGTTCCGATCTCGCTGCCCCACGGCGATCACGCCCGGGTCGTCTTCCGGAAGCAGCTGGGCGGCTTGTTTCATCTCAAAAGTTTGTTGGACTACGGGAAGCGAGCAGTGCGGCTCTCGAGCCTGATGCCCTGGCTGCGGGACCGGGGATTCATCTCGGCAAATGATCCTGAGAACAACCCCTCGGACCACGCCGATGAAACAGTCAGCTCACCGTATCATGATTTTCAGTGGTGGTTCGACGGGAAGTCCGTGCTCGATTATGACGGGCCGGAGGCCCGAGAAGATGGTGAGACGTATCTATTGCGAAGACGCGAGGAGGAGAACGAGCAAAACAGACACGACGCGGTTGCTGGCAGTAAAGACACTGTTAGGCAGCTAGATGGAATAAACGATAGAAACGACGAGGATCAGGAACGAACCGAGCAGACTACTCGTGAGGAGCAAGCGGAAGGACAAAGCGAGATCATCTACAGTTCGCGACTTGAGAACTCCAGATCATCCGATCTTCGCCTCAGGCCATCTTTTGCAACAGTCTCTACGCAGAATACTTCTAGAACGGCTAATCCTGCGCTTTCCTTTCTCTGGAACCTGGTGGTGTCTCTCGAGGTGAACCAGCTACAGGAACAAACGTGTTTGCTGGAAGACTTCGATTCGTTGCAAGGCCCTCTGAAACGCACTCCTTTCTACCACAGTACGGAGGACATGCGGTTGTTGGTTAGTGAGACAAGAAGTAGCGCAGATAGAAGACGTGAAGCAACTGGGCAGCAAGAAGACGAAGAAAATGAGCTGCATTCGGAGAACCCAGTGTATCGGAATAAAGGACCGCCTTTGACGCCGGATTACGTGCCGTGGATTGAACGCCAGATGGCGGAGCGCACCGTGTACCACTGTCAGCACAGCTTTGAGGCGGACGACGGCGCGGGGTATGCGGAGTGCAAGCGTATGAGAAAACCTTTTGCAGCAGCAGGAGCTCCGAGAGGTATTCCCGAAGACCTCGTAGCAGACCGCGCGGACGCGGGAGGAAATTCTGACAAGGGTGCTGAAAGCGGTGAAAAGTCAAAAACAGATGCTTCCAGTGCGGCACCGCGACATCGGCCGGATGAACAAAAAGTAGTCGGGTCAACAGCTGGTCCTCCACCTCCTCCTGCAGCACCGTATAACCCATTTCAATGCAGTTGGCTGCTGGAGCGTGACGAGGTGTGGAATTGGGAGGTGATTCGGCATTTTCGGGCAAGAGAGGAGCTGAGGCATAGGGTTTTTCCTTCTGGTGCTGCTGTTGCGCTGCCGGTGGAGAGCGCCAGTTCTGCAGTAATATACGACGAGCAGGAAGGAGATGAAGACGGGCAGCACCAGGCCCAGCGGAACGAGGGAGCGCAACCGCACAAGGGGCTTGTTGAAGAACGTCATGTTGACGAAGAGGAAGAACGTGCAAATATCGACAAAGAGATCACCCGAACCCTGCAGCAAGAGCAGCTGAAACAGCAGGTGATACAGACGAAGGAGGAGTCCGTCCCTGGGGACTTTCTGGCGGCGGAAAGAATGCGTTTCATGCCGCGCACGGTGAAGGAGCAGATACGACAGTGGGTGGTATCCAGAAACGCTGACTTCACAGCGTTTGACTTCGTCAGAATTGTTGTGCGATTTTTCCTCGATGGAAATAAAAAGCGTGACGCTCATATTGATGTTTCAAGCGACGACTCGAGAACCGGGAAGAGTACTACTGGTCCACATCCACACGATGTGGATGTCGAGGTGGATCATGGTCCGGAGGAAGATGTGCTGGCCGCAATACTGAATGAACGCAACGAGGATCATCTACCTGAACCGGAAGGACAAGAAGGTTACACTGACCCGCCTGCGGTTTTACCGCCAAAAACAAACGAGCATCGCCACGAGCGGTATTTGAGGCTCGTGGAGCGCGCGCGCCAATCGAAGAGCAACGAGTTACCGTCGAAATTTTTGATCTACTGGATCTGGCTGGAGCGTATGGGCTTCCCCATTTTACTGGTCTTGTCCCGTCCGTTGGCCGTCGCGGTGCAAATCATCCGCTTGAAGATGCTGCGGGTGGTGAGTCTTTGCCGGGCGCAGCTGTACGCCTGGCAGCTCAGGGGCTGGCTGCAGAGCGTGATAGAAGAAATAAGCACTAGGACCAGCACCGCTGGCGCGAACATCAATGGTCGACGTAACAGCAAGGGTGTTGAAGGCGCAAGAGGGAATAAAACACGAGTAGTAGTGGACGTCGAAGAAGAAGAGCTCTCGCTGCTGAAACAACTGAAACAGGTCCTCGAGCTACACATTCTGGAGTTTGAGATACCCGACCACGGAACTGCTGCTCTCGACCACACGTCGTCGGGGGCTTCTGGTTCTGCGAACACCAGTGCGTCCTTCCTCCATGCCTACATGAGGAGAACGTGCGAGGAGTTTGGAGTCGGGTCTCGATTGGTTTACGAAGACTGCGTTTGTGACGCTTTTCGACGCGAGCAGGAGAAAGATAAACATCATTCCGCTTCATCCAGTGAGGACCGCCTGGATGAAGAAGATTCCGAACAAGGCAAGACTGCTGATCACACAGCGTCAGGCTCAGGACAAGAACTAAAAGTAGAACACCAGCCCGCGATTTCCGTCGGCGAGCTGCTTGCCTCCCTGCTTTCGGATGCAGAAAAGGAGAACAAGAAGCCCCGCGAGCACCACTACTACCGCGGGGCGCAGCTGTCGGAGCGGTCCGACAGCATCTCCGTGATGAACATTGGCGCCTGGAGCGACGAAAACGTGTCGGAAGTGCAAAAACAGTACTGGAACGGGCGGACGCAGCTGCCTGAAAGCGTGCGGAAAAACCGCATTTCCATCGACATTGTGTTGCCCGTTTGTGCCGAATCCGATGTGGAAGATTTGGACATTTCCGTGTTTCCCGGCTGGAGCCGAATTTTCTTCTACGATCTGTGCGGCGAGTTCGGGCGGTTCCTGCCAAGTAGGAGTGCATCAAGGACTTCTATCAACGAAGAAACTACGTCGAAGATGCCCACCACCGCGTCCGACACGAATTCCTTTGCGTTTCACCAAAAAGCAACGGACAAAACTTACCGGGTTTTTTCCGCGAAGGAGCTACTGGACAGCAAAACTTCATTAGGAGATGAAACAGAAGAGACTAAGAGTAAGAGAGCGCAGGAAGTGGAGAGATTCCTTCAAAACCCGCTCGCGGCGAACCTGCTCGACCGTTGCGCGAAGTTTCGTGCGGATTCCGTGTTTTTCGACGACTCGCACGAGGAAGACGTGCGAACTTTGGACGTGGGAGTGCGGTTCTGGCACTTGGCGAAGTATTACGACGAGCTGCCGGATGTGACTTTCATGGCCCACCCCGATTGGCGGGAGCACGCGACGCCGGGCATCATGCAGGCTTTGTTTGAAGCGTTGGAGCGGGGGCAGGAGTGGAAGCGGGAGATCAAGGCAGACGTGGTGCACTTGGGAAAACGGCAGCACGGACCGCTCTTGCACGAACCAGTGTTCCCAACCAGGAAGATAATGAGCAACATTAAGGCCGCTACAAGAAGTACAACTAGCATACAAGAAGACCACGATGCTGGTGCAACATTAACGTCCTCTCCTCCACCCCTTTCATTACTGCGGGAGAAATTCCTTGCGTCGGACGAGTCGAAAGCATTTGGCGTGGTTTCATCTCGTGGAAGCGTGGACGAGGGGGCGGGCCGCGAGTCTCTTTTAATGTGGCCGCCAAGAGAGGACCGCGAGGACGTTGCTGATCGTCGTGACAGCACAGAAACGAATGAAGGAAGATTGTCCTCAGCGGGCGAGGAAATAATAGTTGACGGCCAGAACGGCCACAGCACCGCAGGCACAGTTGTATCTCAACCAGCAAGTTTCGGCGGCTTCGTTTCCCCCGAAACGTTTGTGTACCACCAAGTCGGGTTGGAGAGCGGGGAAATGGGCGACTTCTTGAACAAAAAGGATTTCGAAATGGACGACGGGTGGTACGAAGAGATCGAGAATGTTGACGCTACATCTTCTAGCGCAAGAACTCCTATTTCTCCCGACGGCGCCATCAGTCCAAATTATGAAAATGATGGACCTGGTGCGGCGGACCCTGCTGGTTTTTCCGGTGCAGAGATAGAGAATACAGAAGTGCCATTGCCTCCCGCCCTACTCCGTCGTGCAGTAGATGACAAAGCCAAAGCGCGACTGAAATCCGTTATGAAGCAAGCCAGAATACAGAAGTTTGTCGAAGAGAGACTTTTGCCAGCACCGAGCGGCGATCCTGTAGTAGTTCACGAAGATGAGCCAGAACATTTGATGAAATCTCGCTCCTACTTCGAGAAATTCCGCACGTTTGTGAAATCGAAGTACTTCGATGCCGCAAAGACGAAGAACCCGATCAAGCGCGGGAAAATCAACTACGAGGAAGCCACGTACCACCGCCTGCCGGATGCGTACGAGCTGCAGCTCCACCGCAGAATTTGGAACGTGCTGTTTCAAGAGAAGTTCACCCTGCCGCAACACCACTTCGGCGGATACGACTACGGGGTCTTTCTCCTGTCGAAAGCGGCTGTTTTGTCAAAGGCGCGTTCCTGGTACACGCAGGTGGCGTTTGGCCTGCAGTCGGTCGAGCACACGTGGCAGGCGTTTTTCAGCGGTAGTGCTATCAAATGTAAAAGTGTCTGGGTCTGGAACGTTGGAACTTGTGATGCTAACTTTGGACTCTAAAAAAATCTGTATTGCATGACCAGCAAGAGAGGGTTCGTTTCTGCTACGCGGGGAGGGCATTTGTCATGCGGAGTTGGCTGGGAAGCCCTCTAAAAATCTGTGATGCTAGGTCGTGCATTACAGACATCCTGGGTCATGCAAAATATGCATGACAAATCTCAGAATCTTCCAGACCCAGACACTTTTGCATTTGATAAGTGCGGGATTTGAACAACAGGCACCACAACAAGAACGGCGCCGCGACCGAAGCAGAACTGCATCAAATAACTTCTACCGCGCCGCGTGGCACAACAAGGTGCACAGAGGCCTTTCGAAAACGATGTTTCAGCCGGATGCGCTGCGGGGGCCGCGCGTCACCGATTTTGTCTCCGTCCGGGTTGACATCACATCGACGCCGAAAATTTACAACAAGGCCATCTGCATGATCTTCGAACATTTGTGGAGCGTGTTGTTCGCCTACGTGCCCCGCAGTGGTCCGTTTAATAATTTCGAAAGCGAAAAGAATGTACTTGTTGATCCGAACGGTAGGAACGAAAACGAATTGGAATTTCAGTTCGGGTACCAAGGAAGGAGCAGTGGGCCGGCTCTTCAGCGAAGTAGTAGAGGGGAAAAAACTAGAAAAAGTCGAGGACGAGGGCGATTGGCGGAAGTAGAAGAAGTAGAACATCACAAGGACCCGCACCACGACCAGCAAACCTCCATCCTGCTGAAATCTCGGTTCTACGACTCCGCCCTTCCTCTGTCGCTCCGCTTGGAATGGCACCCGGTGGCCCGGTCAATTGTGCACTTTGAAAACCTTTGGCGGACGACGAGGCTTTCGCTGCTAACAGTGGAGGAGCGGTGCGCGGTGCAGACGTTTCTAAGCCAGCACCCCTTCTACTTGGAAAGAAGTGTCATCCCGCAGTTTCCCAGGATCTGCTACATGATTCAATAAAACAAAGTCTTACTTCATCTAGTCAGGTGTTTACTTCTTGAGAACAAAAAATAAAAGACCACGAAAATGTATGCCCGGGTAGCAACAGGCTAGCGAGCCTGTGAGCCTAGGCTGAGGATGGTCGGGCGGTATTTTATGCCCGTGTCCGCCCTCAGCCCTTTAGTGTACGGTAGCCAGGACTTGAGAAGATTAGTCAGGACAACCCACCGAATTTCGGGGTGGTATTTGTTCGCCTTCTCTTGTTCCCAGGGAGTAACGCCCCTGCCGTTGGTAGTAAGTCTCGTTTGTCCCGCTTTGCGGATGATCGTTAGTCCCGCTTTGCGGATGATCGTTAGTCCCGCTTTGCGGATGATTGGCCCGCTTTGCGGATGATTGGCCCGCTTTGCGGATGATCGTTAGTCCCGCTTTGCGGATGATTGTTTGGCCCGCTTTGCGGATGATTTGGCTTCCGCTTGTCGGAAATTTTGGCTTCCGCTTGTCGGAAATTTTGGCTTTCCGCTTGTCGGAAAATTTGGCTTCCGCTTGTCGGAAATTTTGGCTTCCGCTTTTTCGGAGCCTCGAACTTTGGCTTCCGCTTGTCGGGAAATTTGGCTTCCGCCTTTCGCAAGTTCTGGCTTTCGCTTGTCCGAAGGTCTAGCTTGGTCCGCTGTGCGGGAATTTTGGACTCCGAAGGTCGGAAACGTCTCGTTGCCAGCTATCTATGCGGGATAGGTGTTGTCTGGCCGTTCTGTCCTCGGGACGAGGAACGGCGGTCGGTCTCGCTTTGCGATGGGAGGAGGGGTCGTTTGGCACTGGCGGTTCGAACCCGTTACCCTTGCGAACTTTCTCCCTGACTAGAGCGCTGGACTTCGTTGGATCTGCTTTGAGATAAATATCCGGACTTCCCCTCCCATCGCTATGCGAGACCGAGACTCGTCCGATTGGTTTGTAATGGGGCTATGCTAAGCCTGGGCGATCGCGGTTTTTCGTTCTATTTGGCGGACCCTTCTGATAGGCCCGCGTCTTAGTCTATCGGCCCACTTTTCAGCCCGTCGTCGTTCGTTGCTACGCCTTCATCGATGGGGCGCACCGGTTTCCCAAATTCATCTACTGGCCGCAAGCGCCACAGCGGGTTCTTTGGGATGCTTCGGCGTATCCGGCCTCCGCCGGTGGGTCAGGTGCTCCATCTCCCTGGGCGCCTCGACGACGCGGTGGGGGACTGCTCCCACCGAGCGGCCATCCATTGGGTGGCCCGTCTGCGGTAACTGCATAAAATGTATGCCCGGGTAGCAACAGGCTAGCGAGCCTGTGAGCCTAGGCTGAGGATGGTCGGGCGGTATTTTATGCCCGTGTCCGCCCTCAGCCCTTAGTTTACGGTAGCCAGGACTTGAGAAGATTAGTCAGGACAGCCCACCGACTTTCGGGGTGGTATTTGTTTCGCCCGCCCCCCCTCCCATTTGCTTCTAGGTGGTTACGTTACCACGGATGGGCCGCTAAGACCTCGCGCCGCCCTTTTCTTACGGGGTGTGACAGAGGTCCATGTCTTCCATCGCGGGTCAGGTGCTCCATCTCCCTGGGCGCCTCGACGACGCGGTGGGGGACTGCTCCCACCGAGCGGCCATCCATTGGGTGGCCCGTCTGCGGTAACTGCATAAAATAACGCGGCACAGTATCGAAATCCACGAATCTGGATTACCCATGTGGTCGACAGCCACACGTACGAGAGTCAAAACGGAAATGCAGAAACTACAGGCATAGAGAATCAAAATGTAGAAGCGCGCGTATCTCCCATAGGCGAGCCGTGAAGTACTTACATCGAGTGAGATGTTGATGACGGCGAGGTACTAACTTTATCAATCAATGGCAACGAGTACAAGATAACATCTGTCGCAACGACGAGATCCTCAGGAATGGACTGATTGAGTAGAGTACCGCGATGAGCGAGAGACGCGTGTACTTACGATTTTCCCCTGTTCGTGTTCTCTTTGGTGTCTCTGATCGGCGTATGGCAGGCGCAGGAACAGCTATGCCCGTCCATGAGAGCATATTCAACCATGACGAGCAGTTTCGTTTGTATATCATCTCACCTCTTGTCCTCACAGAAAACTACCTTTTGAACAAAGGTTCCAGAGGACGACTTTTAGCGTTGCATCGTCAACGTTGAGATCGTCACATCACCTGAGCAGGTTATAATATGCACATGTGGGATCATTGATAAAGCTTCGTCCGATGAGATGTTCTGGTTCTCGTTGTGGATGCCGTTCTTTACCGACAAGCGGCTGAAGGGGGACAAGAAAGCGGCGTCTCGACAGGGTAAGTACTTTGTATCGCATAGTTGGCATATCGATACCCCAAGGAGCACTGTGTAGTTTGTTATGCGCGAAGGGATGTAGGAAGAAATTTGTGATAGATGAGAAAAAGAAAAAACGAAAAACAAAAACCCAATTAAACAGAAGTCGATATTGCCAACGATGCGATGGAGGGTCGTCCGACTCAAATGCCGCGCTCTCCTGCTTCTTTTTCTTCTGCGCCGGGGTTGGGATCACGAGGATTTGTTGATCGCTTTCTGCTTTTTGTCCTGTCTCCACTAGTACTTCTACAACTCGCGGCCGTGATCATGTGCTTCCCCAATTATAATACGCCGGTGTCGGTCGTGTTGGCAACAAATGAGGTGCCGCTGGTCGATGTCGACGGTGAGGAAAGAACAGCACGAGCTGCTCCTAGCGAGCTCGAGGCAGTCCGGATGCTGAAGGCAAAGAACGATGAACATAAGGAGCAGCCCACTGGCAAGACTCCAACAACGTCGGGCCGCCGCGAGGACGAAGGGGCGGTGGCCGGCGAGGGTGGAAGTCCACTGGACGAAGAGGATCTTCATGCGGAGGCCGGTCCTGCAGCGGAGCACGACCAGGAATCTTTTCTAGTTCTAGCTGGACAGCAGCACCACAATGACGGGGTCAGAGAGGTGGAGCAGGGGATGGATCAGGAAATCAAAGGGGAGCAAGCAGACGCGCCGTTTCAACATGAAGATGCAGGTGCGCAAGCGCAACTACAAGTTGAATCTCCTGAAGTAGCTGAAGATGCCGAGATGACAACTGACGGCACTAAAGCGATGCAGGTGAAGATGGAGGGCATGGCGCGGGAGGTGGACGAGCTGAAGTGGCTAGTTCTCCAGCTGCAGGAGCGACAGCAGGAGCCGCCAGAGCGCACAACGAGGAGATCTACTTCTTTGTCGCGAACGAGCTCGTTGGGCGAAAGCTACGTAGAGAAATCCAACCAGAACGGCGCACCAGGTCGAAATGATGAAAACTCACCAGCAGAACGAGAACCCGCGACGACGGAGCTGCGGGTGAGCGGGACTAGTACGACCGAGAAGGCCGGATCCAGAAACAAAATGGTGGGCACCACCGCGCCACCAGGAGCTGATGCGAAGAGGACGAGCGAAGGGATCAAGACTCGCTACAACTTGGACGAAGATGAGGGAGTAGAAGGTCAGGACTTTTATGCAGCTTTGTCCGCACGGTCCGCCGAATTGGCCCAAAACACCACGGAAGCACTGGGACGCGTCCGCGAGGCGGGGGCGGTCACCGACATCATTTTGCAGAAAATGTTTGCCTTCTTGGTTGGCACGGTGCGATCCGACTTCATGTTTAGCAGCATACTCGTCACTATCAAATGCAAATATGTCTGGGTCTGGAGACCTGTGATGCTAAAATGTGGATGACGGAACTACTTCCGAACGCAGCCCAGCATGACAACTTTCCAGAACGCTTTCTCATACGCAATCCGCATGAGAAACTGCCTTTTTGCATGACAAAAGTGGCTGCGACTTTTGTTGGTTCTGCAATACAGATTTTCCAGGAATGTAAAGCTAGCATTACAAGTTCCACTTTTCCAGACCCAGACATTTTTACATTTGATAGTCACGATCGCATACATCTCCGCCGTGGGTGCGACGCTGCTGCCCGTACATTTGGTCCTGTGCCCGCGGCGCTTTCCGACCCGCCGGCACAGAGAGGAGCTCGTTGCCAGTGGGCGGGAGCACTTGATCCGTGGCTTCCATGACGAGCAGTTTTACGTGATACCCGGGGATTTTTGCAAGAACATGACCCTGAGCGCCGTCTGCCAGTCGCAGACCTCGCCGGAGGGCATTATGTTCACCACGGGCTTGATCCTCTTTGGCGTGTGCATCATCCTGAGTCGGCACACCTTTACGCTGCACTCGCCCTGGTGCTTCATGAAGCCGAGTCTTTCGGAGAATTTGGGTTTGACATTTGCGGCGACCCAGTCGTACACCGAGATTTGCTATCAAATGCAAAAGTTTCTGGGTCTGGAACGGTGCAAGGTTTGTCATGCACATTTTGCCTGACTTCTTATGTCTGTGATGCATGCCCTAGCATCACAGATTCTGTGGGGGCTTTCTGATGCTCCTACCGCATGATATTTGCTCTCTTTGCGTAGCAACAACTGGACCTCTTCTACTGTTCACGCAATACAGATTTTATGTAGAATCCAAAGGCAGCATCACAAGTTGCACCTTTCCAGACCCAGACATATTTGCACTGAATATTTGCCTCCGGGCTCTGCTGCTCCTCCTTCCCGCGACCGGCTTCGTTTTAACTGCAGCCCTGCCCTCCATCGACGATATTACACACCACGAGAAAATTATGACCTCCGCAAGAAGCGAAAACGTCCAGAAGGTGAAGGCAGAGGACTCGTCTCCGAGTGACCAGGAGAAAAAAAAGTTGCAGCTGCGCGAGGAGCACCAGGAGGAGCCGAACGAAGACGACGACGAAGAAGAAGCGCGAGAAGCGAGGACGGGATCGAACGTGGAGCTGTTTGAGGAGGTCCTCGCAAGGCACGTGCGGCCCTCGCGGAAATACTTGCGATGGGCCCATTACATGTGCGCCCCCGTTTCGATGTTTTTCATGCTTTTGTTCGAGACGGTGCAAATTTTCCTCGGGGAAAACGTCCCAGTTTTCTACGCATGGCGGCTCTTCGGGAAAGGTAGTAATGTGATATCACACAGAAAAAAGCTAGCAAGGGAACATATTTGTGAATCTATATGCAAGAAAAGTAAATAGGCAATGGCAAAAAGACCTCTCATGATGGGCACCAGGCCCAGAGCATGGGTGGCGTTTAGGCTATTCAGGACGGAACTTTCTATGTATTTGCTTTCGCATTAAGCTGCTAGCTTTTTCTTGTGGGATACACAACGCTGCACGACGTGAACGCCGAGGTGTCGGTTTACCCAGAAGGAGGTCCGCTCTATAACTGGAAAACTCATCAGCTCTATCACACGAAAACTGGGCTGCCATTGGATAATTGCCAGAAACGGGGCCTAGGTTACCGTCTCGGCGAAGATATCGACCGCATGGTAGCCCTTCTATGGAGGGTAAATGAGTGACCTTCCCGACTGCTGCTAGTCTTAAGAAAAATAAAGGCAGCGCCTGACGCGGGTTCGCCTATAAATGGCTCTTTGCGAAGATGCGAAGAAAACCAAAACGCCCACGAAAAGTCACTCTAGACCGCATGGAAAGGAGTGAGTTTATTTGGTTCGCTTTTTGCAATGGAAAGGAGATTTCTGGTGTGCTTTTTTGCGCCCGCATGTATGAAAAGGAGACGACACACAGGGAAATAGCAGGTCCGCATGACAGGCTGCGATTTTTCTTAGGGGTAGCAGCATTTCCCAAGATCACTGATTTTCCCTCAATACCTTCGCGCGCTGGCGGTGCTTCTGGGTTGGCTTTTGTGCATTGCTTTTGTTGTGGTGCTAGGGTACGGGCGGCTCCTACGGCGGCCCGCGTGGCACAACTATCGTGGGCGGCGAAATTTGAACGACGCAGGAGGGGGTGCGGACGGCCCCCTTGGTCGTGGTGCGGATGGCCCACTTGTGCCTGTGACACGGAGCCTGTTCCTGCCTCGTTTGTGCTTCGTTCTGGAGGTGCTCTGCATCTACGTTATCATCTGAGTAAAAACGTTCCCACCCCAACAAGCTTCTCTGTGCTTTAAGTTTAATTATTTGGATTTTATTTCCAGTACATGAAAGAAACACCCCAGACTTGTCATGCAAATTTCGATACGCTGGATTGCGGCTTCGGCTCCTTGACCTGTCGCGCTGGGAGCGGGTGTCCACTACATGATGATGATGATGATCGGCTTCCCAACATGAGAGGCATTTTCTAGTGGTGCTTGAGAGCCTCAATCTGTCTTCGTGCGCTTCGGTAACACGGATAAGAAAGAGGATTTGTACCGCGTCTGGACTAGCTAGTACGCCCGACTACACTGCAAAGCCTAACTTGTCACGTGCGAGCCCCAAAAGCTCTAGACTTTTCTGCGCAAACTTTTCCCTCTTTACGTAGGGGCAAGGGCGTCGTTTCCACTCCGGATATACGTGGTTTTTTCTTTGCCGGTCCTGCAAGCACTGAGCATAAACCATATGCGCTGCAGATATGTCATCTGGGTCTGGAATATTGATGCGTTTGCAACTTCCTTGTGATGCTAAATCTCAACAGCACATAAATGTGTGGCGTGGGAATACGGATAGTTGCTTCTTTTTTGCGATGCAAGAGGAGAACTTCTCATGCGGAAAAGTAGGTATGCATGAAGAATATTTCGCAACAAGACGAAGACCCGTAGTGCTTCTGCGCGCAATCCACTTCCCAACTAGTACTTGTCATGTCGCCCAATGGGTGCCGGCACAGTTGTCTTCCTTACCCAGACATACTTAGGTATTTGCATTTGATAAACCACGAATGGGGTATGAGCTCGTCCTGGACCGATTATGCCCAGAATGATGAACAAGCGCACATGTTGAGTGCACAACTCCCGATCGGGGACGTCGTTTCTGGGTACTGGTATCAAGAGCACGATTTCTGGTTTGGTGAGGCGAGGATAACAAGTTTAGAAGCTTCTAGCGACGAAAGCAATAAAAACTTGCCCTGTGGAACTATTTGGGACATCGTGCCGGGGGACCAAGGCCACTGTCCACAAAAGCTTGGCACATCCAATTTTTCTTGGTGGTACCAGAACCTCGACCCGAACCAGAATCCGAACATTGGAGAGCCAGTGCTAGTAGCTCAACCGTAGTAGAAAAGAATATCAAATGCAAATACTTAGAAATAGAATTCCTGGCTCTGGATGTGGATTTGGAAAGATGCAGATCTTTGCCATGCAGGTGAAGGTTTTCGTTTTGCAAGCCCCGCCCCCACGATGTCTGAAATGTGGGGCCTAGCATCACAGATCTAGCAGGGTCTATGCGATGCCTATCCTGTAGGAGAAGTGCACTGTCAACATGTACATGGCTACAAGCACTACAGCAACATGCCCTAAAATGGGTACTTTTCCGAGTCTTGCAAGACAGATTTTTGTGTGTTAACACGGACAACTACGAGCATCACAAGTCATTTTAAGCATCACAACTTTGCATCTTTCCAGACCACCCAGACATGTTTGCAATGTATAGAGAAATGAAATCGGCTGCTTTGTGTCCACCTGTTCCTAGGCGGAGTGAGAAAATCATCTTTGACGGACATATTTTTTTGTAAGCATGAAAAAAAAATCTTTCCTTCACAGACTGCCAAGGTACTACAGTAGACATTTCTACTCAACAACATGGATCGATCATGCTGCTGCCGCTGATTTCTTTGTGCATACAAATCAGCTTTGCTCTGTCTTGCCAGAGGGGGCGGCAGCGTGCTTTCCGAGGCCTCTGTGGCATTATGTTTTAAGTTTTCGCTTCGTATTAAACGCGTGTGCGATCATCTTCATAAATATTGATGCTTCTAACCGGCTAGACCGAACTTCCCAGATCGGTCTGCATCGCTTGGGTCGCGTCGCTTGTTTTCGTCGCATATGCATAATGCAAATATCATAATCATGTCTGGATATCGATCTTCTAGTACACGGCAATTTGTTGTTGTCATGTTAAGAGTGAGGTAAGAGAGGCCATATGCTTCCGGTTCGACAGAGGACGCTCGAGGTTTGGCTCGCCGCAGTACTATCAGGTTTAACGTCAGAGATCGTTCGTACGTCTGTGCCTGTGGAGAGAAGGGTGGCGCGAGGCACAAGATACCATTAGTTACACATAAAGCATCAGCAGGATCAGGAGTGTACGTGTGGTAAAAGTAGTTTCAGCTAGCAGACAATAATCTATTCAATAGAAGAGACATACTTACTCTTTAGATAATTGCTTCTGTTACGCACTCCTACGATTGAAATATGACTTTCTCTCTTTTTATTGATTTTTTAGTAGAAGGCCGCAGCCGCACGGACGTCCTGCCGGTAGCTCTCCGATATCATGCACGCTCTTCAGTGATTTTTTTTTGGTTTGGAGAGTGACCTACTAGTGTGCGTTCTGTTCCCACGCAGTGGTCACAATAGGTAAAGGAAATAAAGTCTGTTTCTGCTACTTGTGCTTTAAAGAGGGCACCACCCAGCCAGCGGCCAGGACACGAGACCAAACACATGGGCGCCTTGCTAACAGGCAAGTGTTTGGAGGACGCCCGTGGCTACCAGCAGAGCTGCACAAAAATAAATGGCCCATGCGATCTCGTGGGTGACGTAGCTGCGGCGGGTGATGCAGACCATCAAAACGATGGCACCACCCTGTGGACTTCCGTCAACGTGATCGGGACGAAAATAAATTCACCAGCAACGTCTGCAGCGGATCGCACAAGCGGCGTCTTCGGCCCGGCCTCAGATTCTAGCCTTTCTCACGCAACCAGGTATACGTCCGATGATATGCGTTACATGCTCGCGCTGAAGAATTTCCGGGCCGCGCACGAGGAGCAATCTGCTGCCAGTTTTCTTGGTGCGCTGTCAACATCCGGCGCAGGAGCTATCGAGCACAATAAGAATCCCACATCACAGCACGAAGCAGTTGGTTCAATCCACACCGCAAACGAGCTAAGCCTCACCGGCTCATTTGTTGACCCGCTTGGTGGGTCTCTCGCGTCGCTGCTCGCCACGCAGGAAGACGCCGGCGTGAGCTTCTTCGCGGATCAGGACGACAGTACGACGAGATTTTTACGGCTCGGCCGTGCCGGGACGCACAGCGCACCGGTACCCCCACGCTCCCGACCGAATCCGACACGGTCGACGCATTATCGCACAGGAAAAAGCTATTACTACTTACCCCATTACAATCACATGTGTAATCTGTTTATGCAGAAATAAGCGCGCAGATGAAATACTAAAGTCTGTCTTGCATAGTGTAGACAGATTTTTCTACTATTTTTGCATTTCCAATATTATAATGAATAATATGCTGTTACTATGCTAGCCTTTTTCCGTATCATGCGCCTGGGCGCCAAGTCGTTCGTGGACCAACTACGGGCACACAAGGAACAGGAGAGATATTTGTGCCGTCTGTACGACAAGGCAATTACGGGATGCCAGCTGCAAAAATTAGAGCGGCGGGGGAGCTGCAGCAGGAGATGGAAAGAAAAACTTCTTCCGCACAAGAAGTTCTTGAGATTTTTTCGCCAAATCAGCTGTTTTTCCAACAGGATTTAGAGGTTGTAGGTGCATCAGGAGGTCGCGTCAATAAACGGACTTCACTCCGGAACAAAGCGACTCCAGGACGCAACACGAAAAATGCTTCCAGAACATCTTCAGCCGTGGTTGTGCACGCGTCTGAACAAGAAGTTTTTCCTGATAATGAAAAAACCGCAAGTCGTGGTCGAAGGTAGCATTCCGATCTAGTTTTGATGAAGAAGTAGATTTATGAAATTCGAGCCTGTTGTATCGTGTTCACGTTCAGGTTGAGCGAGGAGCAACATTCATGCTGGTCGAATTTTTTTTATTAAGTAGTCCAAACGCCTACGCCGCGTTTCTTTTTGTTTTTTCTCCTGCAGCGGGCAATTGCTTTGGTTTAGTTCGTTGTGATTGTGTTACGATGGTATCAGGGCGGTTGTGGATCTCGATCCTGATCAAAGTATGCACAAAGAGCATAATTGCTTTATTGTCTTGCTCTGCGTAAAGATCAACAGCTGCAAAAAAATTGAATACGTATCATGATGGATAGTTTTATTGCTCCCATTGTGCCTTGCCAATGCGCCGATGTTGTCTTAATTTGGTTGCTATCCGCTGTATGTTTTTGTGCTTCACCTTCTGCGTAAGTAGACCATGCTGTGAGACAAATCATTTTTTTCCACCTGCTGTTTCCATCCTGACGCAGCTACGTTGACACCGATTGAGAAAAACACGACTGCCATTCACATCAATCACTGAAAATGACGAATTGCGGCCCCGTGTCTTCTACCAGAACTCGTCTCTCGAGATCTCCTCTCCCTGTACCGAAAAAATGGGTGCAGCCACTTTGTCACCTCCTCTTGGTGAGCAGCACCGCTATTGCCTCCACGATTGCGTCGACGATTGGCCGAGCCAAGCTCTTTGAGCACCAGAAAACGGCGGTTGCGATATCACAAGGAAAAATCCCCCCTCCCCATATCAAAAGGAAGTCTCTGATGCTGGATTTGGGTACACAAATCGGGTCTGTCTTGCAGTAGAGGACTGCAGGCCCATACCAAGCCTAAGTAGAAGGGTTTTGACGTAGGCGCGTAGCATGGCAAATGTGTACTCTGTAGGCCCCATAGCATCAGAAACCGCCTGCAAAATGCGGCGGAGTCTCTGGCTTGGCCTTCTTGCAATACAGAGACGATTTGTGGCCACAAATCAGCATCGCAAATTTTCAGAAGTATCCCTTTTTGATGTGGAGAGGGGGGATTTTTCCTCACGATATGCGAAGACGGTGTCGTTCCCCCTGGAGCAGGAGGTGACCCAAGTGGAGGACGATGTCGCTCGTCGAGAGAGCAGTACTAGTTCCTCTTCCGTCCTCCCTAGTGGCCAGCAGTCCGGGTCATTGGCTAGTAGTTGCAAAAATTCAGCAACGCCGTCATCTACTGGTAGAGCAGGAACAAGAGTCGATAAACTCAACGGACCTGCGGTTCTCTCATGCGAAGAAGCGGCCAGCAGCAGCACGACGCCAATGAATTTGAATGCAGCGCCCTTCTGGTCGCTCACTAATTTTGAGCGCGGCATGCATTTGGTCTCTACCCCCGCCGTCAATGTCAACTTCGCTCCCCCGTCGTTCCAGATCCCCACTTTCGAGGAGGCGTTGACCCTGCGGAAGCAGCAGTATGAGGCGGAAATGCAGCGGGAAGTAGTTGTAGCCGGATCTTCACAAAATAAAGAACCTGCTGGAGGTGGTGCGCCAATCTACTACTCCTCTCTGCTTCCAACCTCGATTTGGGCGCGGGCAGCGCATCCTCTTTTGAGTGGTACTAGCCTGATGGGCACCAGCACGAAGATGACGACGTCAGCCTCCGCTACTGAAGCGGCAACTACGCCGGAGGATTTTTTTTTCAAGTGCAAAAATTTCTGGTGGAACAATCACTCATTGAATGTTGACCGAGCCACGACGTCGAGCGGACAGGCTGCAGAAAGCAACAGTCCAGCGTCAAGTTTCCTGACCAAAGTGAATATGAAAACTGCGGAACAAGCCTCCTCGACGGGTGGGACGGTTTTTACCAAGCCGCTTACGCTAGACCAGCTGCTCGCGTTTTACCCGACAGTCACCCACGAGCTGGATACGGAGAAGAAACCTCTGGCAAAACGCGGTCCACTTGAGCTCCCCAACCACGTGGGTGTAGTGATGGACGGGAACGGGCGCTGGGCGTCTTCAAGGGGGTTCCACCGATCTGCGGGGCACAGTGAGGCGGAGAAAAATGTCCGCGAGTTGATCGAAACGGCGGCGAAAATTGGCATTCCGCAACTGACGCTATACGCTTTCAGTATACAATTTTTTCAATTACTTTCTCATTTTTCATAAGTGACCTGTTCGGAGCTTAAGGTTTTTGAACCACAAAAATTTAAGATACGAGGCGTGCTGGTTTTCTAATTTGTTCTTATTTGTTCCATGCATCTGTGGAAAAGCTCCTTGATAACATGACTTGACTTTTTTTCTACGTCCTCAAGGTTCGGACAATTGGAAGCGGCCTAAGGACGAAGTGCAGCACTTAATGGCTAGGTTCACGAACTTTTTGACCGATCCGGAGCTCCGAAAACAGCTGAAAGACAACGAAATTCAGCTTCGCGTGATCGGCGATCTTTCGCCCCCTTTCGACGACTTCGAGGTTGTGTCGGACACAACCTCGAAGTCGTCCGCGCGCCGTGGATCTTCACAGGGAAAGGGCTTCGGCAAACCGCCCGGAAATAATGCCGAGGAAGGACAGCCGCACGTGTTGGATACCAGTTCCTCCGAGCACCTACCCACCCCGGTAAGTGATGGCAGCAACTTGAGCTCTCGCAGGAACTCGCCACGAGAAGACGAGGAGGAGGAGCAGGACGGAGTTATGGTCGAGGGACAAGGTGGTGACCATCAGCGGGAAGACGGGCAGCGTAGTACTAATACAGGTGTAGTGGTCCAAGGAAATGCTTTGGAGCAGCAGAGCAGCGCACCTCCCTATTCAAAAAAAAAGTTTTAGTTTAGTCTGTGTTTGGTGTAAAAATAAGTACATTTTTCGATGAGCAGCATGATAACGTGCGCCACTAGAAGTACGCGGAGTCCCTTGTTAAAACCATGGAAAGCCGCTCTGACGGTACCAAGATCACCATCCGGCGTGACAAGTGTGAAATAAACGTAAAGGGCCGCGCATCTGTTATTTCTTCATCAGACTAACACAGTTTTTCTCTACTTGCATAAACCCTTCACTCCACCTACCGCCGGTCCGATTGCGGCGGACCAGGCGGCCCAGAGCTTTCTCCCGGTGCCGCCCACAGGCGTCCTGCCCCAGCGGAGCGATTCGCCGGATACACTGGCCTCGACCATTTCGTCGGTCACGCTGAAGCAACCCTCGGAATCCGGCGGCTCGCTCTTCTCCGGGGTGAGTAGTTCGTTCCAGCAAATTCAGGCGGGGTCGATATCCCCCTCCTGGTGCAACGTGGTATGGAACTCGCAAGCGAAAGAAGAATTTCAAGCGCAACAGCACGAGGCGCTGTGCGCGAAGATGAATCAGATGAACCTCCTGGGCGCGGCCGGTGGACAGCAACTACGAGGGCAGCTGCAAAGTAGTTGTACCGCGACAGGAGGAGCCTCTAGTACAACTGGATCAGCCACGACCATGCAGCCTGTGGTCTCTTCTGCAGCAGGAGGAGTTTGTGGTGGGGCACCAGCACCACTATCCTCTGCTTCGCCAACGTCTTCTATGACCAGGTTGCTGCAGCAGAAAGCCGCCTTCCCTCTCCTGCGGCCGCAGCCGTTGCAACTGTCTGCAATGAGCACCGCTGCATTGGGAGGGCCCCTTGCCACGGGACCTGCAGGCGGTGGAGACAACTCGTCGTTGATTATAGGCGGCCAAGGGAGCAGTTGTAGACCACAAGGGCATGATCAACAGCAGCTCCCCAACTTCAGTGCCGTGAGCACCCCGACACCCGTGCACGGTGGGTTTTTCCGGTATCATTCCCCCGGCAGGGCGTCGAACGCCAGTTCCATCAAGGAAGACATTCGGGGCGAGCATATCAAAAGGAAAAATCCCCCCTTCCCATATCGAAAAGGTATGTTTCCGAAAATTTGTGCTGGTGATTTGTGACCACAAATGGGGTCTGTCTTGCAAGAAGGCGCGCTCAGGTTGTCCGGCACGCTATGCAGGCGATTTGTAACGCTGTAAGGCCTACAGGATAGCCGTTTACCATGCTAGGCGCCTACACCAAATGGCCCCCGCCCAGGCTCAGGATCTGTGCTGTGCATTCCTCTACTGCAACACAAATTTGATTTGTGTACCCAAATCCAGCATCAGAAATCTCGTTTTGATATGGGGAGGGGGGATTTTTCCTTTTGATAGAGCAGCAGGCGGAAGCAGGAGGGAGCCCCACGCCGGAAAGGCAAGTCACTGGGACGTCGAGTGGGAATAAAGATGCAGGTGCGCCGTCCACTGCAACTGCTGCGGGACTACAACTCAACACAGAATTATCCGGAGTCAGGTCCAAGTCCTCCTCCGGCCAGTCGATTGACTCGCTTGCGCAAGCGGATCAGCAGCGGCAGTTGACAACGGAGCAAGTGATGCAAAACGCGGAATTCCAGCGACAAAAAAGCGAGCAGAGCGCAGCGGGAGCACCAGCAGCGGATGGAAGATCTTCAAACGAGACGAAGAAGCAGGTTAACCACGATGTTGATAACAAAAAACCCGATCTCGTCTACCAGCTTTCCACCGAGGAGCGGCAGAAATTTCGGGCTCTGATTCAGGAGATCCACACCAGCACGCGGAAGCACAAGAAAATGCGGCTGAACATTTTGCTCTCGTACAGTTCGAGCTGGGAACTCCAGGAGGCGATGAAGCGCATGCACCAGGACCACCTGATAAAGAAAAATGCAGAATTTTTGGATTGGGACTTCGAAAAGTTGATGTCCTTCATGGGCATCGACTCAGAGATTGATCTCCTCGTCAGGTATTTTTTTTTGGAGAGGTTGGTTTTTATCATGATGTAGTTTGTAGTGAGGTCATAAACATAATCGAAGAAGCACAAGCAGGCACAGGTAGAACTGCTTTGCGCCACCTGCTGTGCACTGGTCGAAAGACAGTTTTGGTGCTAACTAATGCGCTCGAGAAATAAGAATGCGAGCTTAATTATCGCACGCACTTGATTACAACAGAACCGGCGACCAGCAGCGGCTGTCCGAGTTTTGTCTACCACAGTTGCGCTACGCCGAGATTCTGTTCGAGTCCAAGTACTTATCAAATGCAAATATGTCTGGGTCTGGATGGGTCCAGATATTTGCCATGCTGCTCTTGCATGATCTAGGAGGTCTGGCATGCAAGCCATAGCATCACACGTCTTGAGAAGGTATCCCCATGCCTGATCCACATGACAGATTCGCTGTTTTTGGGCCAAGTTTTGGGCCGCATTTGCTGTTCATGCATCACAGATCTTTGTGTTGTGTGAAATTTGCATCACAAGTTGCAACCTTCCAGACCCAGACATATTTGCAATGCATAGTACTTTCCCGATTACCACGCGGACGACTTCGTCCGGGCGGTGCAGTACTTCAACACGAAGCAACGGCGATATGACAGCGCACAACTCCCCCTCCCCCTCATTTGTCATGCAAAATACCCAATCCACCCTTTGCATCGTGGCACTGTTTGCATGACAAGTTCTGGTAGCCCGAATAGCACTATGTATAATTCAGTGCAAATTTGTCATGCAAAACCGGCACTCTTGCTGATGCTTGTATTGCCGTTCATGCTACACAAATGAGGGGGAGGGGGAGTTGTGCACTGTTATAGGCGACGAGGCAAAACGCCGGAGCAAATTCAGAAGGAGGAGGATGAGAAGAGCAGGGAAGAGGGTCGCCGTGGTGGGCAAAAGCAATGAACGAGGTGTCGAGACGATGTCAAAATTTTGGGCGCTGTCATTCGCGGCAACGACAACGTCAGAATTTGACAAAGCAGCTGCAATTTGGCTGTATACATGATGAAATCGGATGAAACAGAGAAACTCAACGAACTCGAACTTGACGACATTACTTTTTGGCATTCACACGTTTTTGCAGTACTTAGACTTAGTTCAAACTTGGCGACATTATGAAACTTTTTCAGGGCATACAACATCGTGCCTCTTTTCGATGCACTGCAGTAAGTTGGCTGGTAGAAAAATATTACTTGGCTAGAAGAATTTCATGCGGTTTTTACAATTTTTGCTTGAGAATACACCTTTTCCGTGCCCGCGAGAACTCTTTGAGCAAACTTCTACAGTGCGACGGTTCAAGAAGAGTATCCGGGTTTTTGCATTCGTTTTCGTACCAATCCATCGGAATCCGAATCCAGGTGAACAAGAACTACAGCGAAAATATAAGGACCTCAACAACACAAACCCAGCACAGAGTTGATGCTTCTACAAACAGAAAACAAAATCAAAATGGTGTCAAGAACTTTCACTCCGGTGCGCCGGCAGCTTTTCTGCAACTCGCGTACAGGAGCGTCCTGGAAAAAACAGAACTTCGTGGATGGATCGTCGTGGTGTGTAAATGTGAAACTATCTTCCTTGATGTTGATGATGGTGAGGGCAATCATGTCAGTATTCAGCTAGTACAAGCTTTTTCTGTTTCGTGATCATCTGATCATCTGATCGTAATGAATAGAAAACGTCAAAAATAGAATTCCTACACTTTAGTGCTGTTTCTAACTCTAATCGTCGCCGTGGCAACTACCTTAAGCTCCATTTTCGTGGTGGTCTGAAGTTCGTGTGCAACGATTTAGAATGACAGAAGTCGTTGCAGTAGCCAGCGCCCTTCGTTTCACTTGTATCGCTTTCTCGTGGTCGTGATTCTCATTCTGTTTTCATGCGTTACGTCGATCGGAAACGGACTTTCCCCGCACCTTCAACATCATTGTCAGTCTCATGCATTCGTCCGCAGTGTTGATGCTCGTTTTTTTTTCTGTGGCGGGAGTGGCCACCGTATTCTGAGCTTTCCTTCTAGTGTGTCATTGTCTTGCGTACCGTAAAGCTGTTCCAATTCCATCCTACCTCAAGACAGCAATATTCTTATTTGGTATACGAGATTTCTTATCGATATCGACCATTTTATCAATGAGCCTTCACAACTTGCTACGCATCAATTACAGCAAGATCAATTGACTTGTACTTCATTTGAACGAGTATAGTAAGCAGCAACATCAAAATGAATTCATCTGAAAGTGAGGACGACCTGCTCCCGAAAGAGGCGAAGCGGGAGAAGCTGAAAAGTTCGCAACTGCGACGGAACCTTTTGCACAAAGCGAAAAACAACGCGAGTCACCAGCAGGCGAACAATGTTATTGGCAAAGACCACGCATCTGCGCTCGATGGAACATCAGCTTCAAGCAGCGCAGATTTGCTACCAGTAGACAGAGGCTTTGCACTCAATGTTGCCTCCAATGGGCCGCTGGGAGTGACCGGGGTCAACGCCAGCAAAGTGGTTCTTTCGACCTCCAAGCACTCGCACACACAGGTTTTCGTCGGCGGGGCAGGCGGTGGACCCCCCACGGCTGCTGGAGGCGCGGCTGCAACTACTACTGGACCATTCTCCGGCGCCTCTAGTCGCACCCCCGCACCAGGAGGGATTTCATCTGCATCTAACAAAACCGCGACCACGCAGCTGATTCCCACGTCGAGCCGGAATCCCTTTTACCAGCCTGGCCTTTCCGGGGCACCCAGGTCACAAATGCTGATGGGCGGCAGCAAAAGTACTTCTAAGAGCCAGGGGATGATGTCGACATCTTCTTCGAGCGCCGCCGCGAAAGCGCACCTGGCTGGGGCTGGGCGGATGCTGAAGCACAAGCTGCAGAAAACGACGGACGACTTGGTGTTTGTGAAGAATAATTTCCTTGATCATGGTTCGTTGTACCTCCACGGCGCTGCGTCAACCACGGGGATGTCGAATGAAATCGTGCAGCCGCCGCACTCACCAAACAGCACGGATTCGGAGAGGTTAGATTACCAATTCGAACCCGAGTCCGGGGACTACACGTTCCTTTGTCGGGACACGAACGCGTTTCCGGAGGTGGACCAGAAATCGCCGCAAGGGGTGGAAGGAGCGGCTCTGGCGAGCAATAAGGATGGTGGAGAAGACCAGTTCAGGAACACAAACACGAGTTTGGGAAAGTACTTGTTTAGTTTTGATGTGAGGAAAATTCGTAGCCTTCTAGAAGTTTCTAGAGCAATCTCTGACTGGTTCATCGTGGACGTAAACACGACCAGTAGCTCCGGTCTAGCAGTTCGCGAGTTCTTGCTACAGTAATCAAGTCATGTTTATTTCCGAACTGTTCTCTGAGATAGTCACAGTAATGAGTTCAAGTATTTGAATTTACTCGACCACAGAGCGTCTTCCACTGGCAGCAAAGTTCACCGCGGGGCTCGCACGACCAGTAAGGAAGCCGAACAGAATCAAGCAAGCACCTTCAAGGCAAGTAGCAGCAATAAATCACCTCTGTCGACCGCCACGAGCTTTTTCCAGAAAAACAAGTCCTCCCATCAGCAGGACCAAGACCGCGAGCATGCGCTGCGCAGCAGCGACATCTTGCAACACCAACCGAACCAGGCTGTCCTGACCGCAAGCGCAGAGTTGCAGCTGGAACCTGGCGGCACGCTTTATTGTTCCCACGAGGATAGCGATGCGTTTGCCTTCGCCAACCACCACAACAACTCGACAGATTTCGAAAATGAGAATGAGGAGAGCGGGTTGATGCACACAACCATGATGTTGGGGCGGACAAACGTTTCGAATATGCTAGAGGTAACGGATAGTTACCACCAAAACCAAAAACACCACGAGTCCGTGGACTCAACGCTGTCCACCATGGAGCATACGTTCACGAACACGACTTTTGACTCGAGCACGATGCAAAACACAAATGGCGAGCCGATTTCCATCGATCCGAGCAAGGCGCTGACGGTGTATCACCACGTGAATGCGAACAGGAAGGAGGCCGGTACTTCGAAAGGAGCAGCTGGTGGTGCTGGAGCTAATACAAATGCAACAACGAAGGGAGCATCAGCGTCTTCTACGAACAACGCGCACAGTAACCACACGAGAAACAACAACCGGCGATCCTCTGTGGCGAACCAGCCAAATTTCAAGCCCGCGGCGATGAATCGCACGACCCGTGGAACCACGAATGGATTCATCCCGAAACACCAGCGGGAGCAGATCACGCTGGACAAAGCGACCACAGCGGCCCATACGCTGGGTCGGGAAACCGACCCCCGCGCCGCGGAGTTCGCGCAGCTGTCTTTGGGGCCTTTGGGAGTGAACATTCTGGACCCCAACCCAAGCACCATCTCCACGATCGGGGTTTCCCCGCGCATGCTGGCCATGCAACAGCAGGCGGGTACTAATATGAACAGCAGCCGGCGAAACGGGCCAAGTTCCCCACCGGGCAAGCTGAATCCACGGGGGCGGAACGGTCCATTGACCACCGCGAAGTCCATCTCCGATAGCCTTTTTCTGGAAAATTCGCTGAGCAATTTGGAGAACGACTCTCTGTTCTTCTCCACGGATAGAGACGATAACGACGGCGATCTTCTTCACGGAGTTGCGCATCATGACCACGACGAGGATTTTGAAGAAGATGAAGTAGACGATCACATCGTTGATGAACACGCGGCTGGAGATCGCAAAATAAATGCGAGAAAAAACAGGAGGAGGCATAAGAGTACTTCTAGAAAGCATCAAGCCGACGACGTTTTCAACGTGACCACGAATTCCAGCGTTTGGCTCGGACCCAGGGTCTCGCTGGACTCCGTCCTGTTCGACGATGATCTGAATTCGAACAACAACAGTCTGTCGCTGAGTCCGCGGACGCGAGGAGGCATATTGACATCCAAGCGAGGGCACAGCTATGACCAACTTGAGTTGCCGAGTTCCAGGGGAATGAATGATCGGCAGCACCAGCGAAAGGGAAACAAGGACAACTTGGGGTTGGCCGCGCAAAGGAGCCTGCAGGCGGAAAACCAACAGGCTAGTAGTACTGCGCTGGGTGGTCCAGATGCTGCTGGCCAAGCGGAAAAAATGCACGTGCAGGGACACAGCCCTCGGGCCAGAATGCACAATCTTACGAACAATGCTGTAAATGACGGGGCGTCCTTGCAGGAACTACTACACCAGCATACCATGGCAGGAAAAAACTCCATCCATGTTGAGCGCAATGCCCGCTCTTCCAGCCCGGTCCCGGCGGCCACGCGGAAAAATACGAGGAGAAATAATCTTCAGAGAAATAACCTCCAGACGCATTCGCTGCTACTCGACCACAACCCGAAAAAAAAGTGGAACGGCTCGCTGCAAAAGGGGTTTGAGAATTTGACCAAGCAAATCATCCTCCACCACGAGGAGGAGCTGAAGGGGCGGAAACTATTCGAAAAGTTGGAAGACAAGGTCGCGAGCTTGCTGCAGAAGTGTTTCGACAAAACCACTTCTATTGACAACCAAGAAACCGCGTTGACGAGGGAAGAAGTGGCGAAGATACGTAGAGCTTTTGTTAACACTTTACTCCGGATCCCGCGGAAGCCGGCGATGGCGGCGGCGCAGATGCAGAATGTGGGGAACAATCATAGGGCTCCTGCTGGGACGAGCAATTTACTGCACCACGGCGAAAGTAATATGGTGAAGCAAACGGGTCCTCGGGGCGCCGGAGATAGTTTTGAATTGTCCGGGAACAACTTTTTCCACGACCAGCAGGAGCAGAGAGCATCGCACTCGCCCGTGCGGGCGAAGAAAAAATTCTCCAGTGGTCAACAAAATCAAGATAATTCTTCGAACAATAAGTCCTTGAGCCCAGCGAGACCTCGGGGCTCTTTGGTACTCTCTTCCCCAACGAAAGCGGCGCGCAACGGGATGCTGAGCAACGCGTCGATGAAACTGCAACAGGCGAGAGCGGCCGACATGATGGTAACGAGCACCTCGAAACAATCTCTGACGTCGTCTTTGACGATCACGATGCAACAGAGCCTATTGGATCAAGAGCAGCAATCGTTGCAGATGACAAACAACGAGAGTAACTCCAGTTCAATCCACATCGAGCCCTCCGCTGCAAAGATGCCAGAATCATACCAAGACCATTCTTACGACCCCTCGTCCGATGCCACCGCCCGGTTCGGCCTCACGACCGCCCCGGCGACCACCTCCATGCGCTCCATTTTTGATAACGAGCAGTCCAAAATCAACCCCTTTGGCTTACCGATCCGGCGCCCGGATTCGCGGGCCGCGACGCCGCAGCAGTCGTCTGCGCAGTCGATTTGGCGGAGGTTGCTATTTGAGGCGAAGAAAAAGTACTTGGACTGGCGGAGGGGGGGAGACGAGTCCGTCGCGGTTATTGGACACTCACCGATGAAGAATGCTGGACAGCAGTCGTTATTTGAGCAGCAGCAGGCTTCTTCGATTGCAACAGCACCATCTTTGCCAGGAAAACAACAGCTTCAAGCGAATTCGATGCAGCGAAGCAGTTGCTCTCCCCCAAGGTCGCCAGCACTGCAAGCATCTTCGGATCGACTACAGCATCAAGGATCTGCTCAACATCAGCAGAACGAGGCAAGCCAGAAGATCCACACCACGATGGTGGAGAGGTTGGATTTTGGCAACCCGCTGATCGAAGATTTCTTTTACAGAAGATTGGTCAAAGCTTTCAAGGAGGACGAAGTGGAGGGCGAACAACAACAGCCAGCTTCATCTTCCGCAGTAGTTGCAACCACAGAAGAAGTTCTTGCGCCCGCAGATCATGAGACCACTACAAAGACGGAAGTTCAACCTGTAGAGAGCACAACTGCTCCCACTGAAGATGCGGTCGAGAAACAACAAGCGAAAGCGGACCAAAAATCACCACAAAAATCTGCTCCCCCATCCAACTCCAAACCGCCAAAGCAGGAAGCGTTTCTCCTCTACCTGGCTTGCCTGAAGCAGCACCCGGAGGTGTCCGTGCAGGAATTCAAGGAGCAAATTGAACGGGAGTACTGGGAGTGGCACTTTGGTGATGTCATTGTCGAGGAGGATCAGTATGATGTCGATTTAGAGAATTTGACCAGTGCGCACGGCATGGCAAGCAACTACGGAGGAGGTCTTGGTGGCGGGATTTTCGGCAATAACAACTATGGAGCCAGCACGACGAGCTGCAACCACATGAACTACTCGTCCACGTTCACCGACGGGTTTGGGGGCTCTTTTGAATACGGGACCACGACCAACAAAAATATGTCGAGTTCTTTTATTAACCACTTCCCGGATAAGCCGTCCCACGGGTTTGTGCACCAGAACACCAACTTGGAGTCGATCCAGGAGTCCGCGACGGAAGGGCACAATAGTGTTCTGAAGAGTTCGGCGTCCGGTGCAGCATCAACGACCAACCTGCAGATGATGAGCTCGTGCACGAGCGCAAACGACTCGGCGTTGGGCATCGTGCAAGACAATTCGCTCAGCGAGATGGCGAACAGCCGGACGAACAACCAGTTGCGGAGTGCGTCGTTCAATCTCGCAACGAATATTAACGACGGAGCTGTCATTGCAGCTACTGAGGGGCAGGCTGTAGTTGCCGGAAATTATATCAATACCCCCAGCAACGCGGCTGCGGCTCCTGTTGAGACCGATGATGACACGGGTACGTACGTGGAGTCGGCGATGCAAACCACGACGCAGTCATTTTTGTCCAACACGGCCGGAATGAGCAATTTTGTGGTAGGTCTCCAGGACACACCAACCGTCGCGGTCGCGGTGGACACGGCAAACATCTCCGCTCTGGCTTCGTGTGAAGATGACAGCCAAAATGTGACGACCACAACTTTCCTGGAGGACGATTTCATCGGCGGGGGGAAAAACGCGGAGGAAGACGGGTTTTTCTACCAGTACCAGCACGACTTACTGCATATCCCCCCCGGAACCTCTTTCTCCAACAAGACAGGCCAGAGCGAATCCCGCCCGACCACAACGACCAGCTGGACGACCAGTCGGGTGAGGACGCCGCTATACACGACCATGTACTCTGAATTCGGAACCGTGGCCGCTTCTGGCGCAGGGGTCAAGGGAGTCACAGTTCACAACGCGCAGCGGCGAGTAGATGAGCATCAGGTGGGAACAACAAGGGGACCCGGTGACGACCAAACCGGAAAGCAGCAGCTCTACAGCAACCAGCAAATTGCTTCGATGAGCTTGAGACTGGCGAGGAAAAACGCCTTGGAAACGAGGGAGTTGAACAACAAACTGAACAACAATCTCTACCATGTTTCCCCGATCAATGTCGTGGACCAGCTTGCGAGATCGCCGAACTTGAACCAAACGTATTCGCCGCAGTCCTATTTGATGCAACAGCACCAGCAGGGGATGCTGTCTCCGGGGCGAGGAGCGCAGCAGCAATTGCACCAAATGACAAGTCCGCTGCTGCAACAGGTGCAGAAGAAGGCGGAGCAGCAGACGAGGATTCCGTCGTTCGTGCCGAAACCAGGGTTGCCGGCGCGGAAGAAGATCTTGTCAACCAGCTCGACGGACCATGGCGGGACCACGAACAGTAGTTCTACTGCAGCTCCTGCTGCGCTTGATCAAAATGGACCACATGCCGTGGCGGGTACGAACACGAGTACAGCAAACAACAAACACGTTGCAGCGAAGAACGTGAACAGCAACAGCCTGATGATGTCCCTCGCGGCGCCAACGAGTACGAATTCCCGACACAACTCTGTTGAGCTCGACGCCAACCACGGCCCGGTGATGCGGGGCACGTTTTTGAGAAGAGGGCATCGCACCAAGGACGCGACGCCGTCCCCCTCGAAAACGGTGATGAACCCCAAGCCGGGCAGCAACGCGATCGACTTCGCCGCGGACGTCGCGACTGATCTGTGCCGGAAGCTGTCCCAGGGCCCGGAGCAGGAGCAGCAGCACGTGTTGGAAGTTGAGCCGCCGGAGGTGGAACTGTCCACGTTTAACGAGGCCGAGGTTGATGCTCATCTTCCGCAAGGGGACGAACAACTTGTCCTCGCTGCAGATCTCGAGAAGCAGGCTCTAGCGGCTGTGGTAGAGGGAAGTGCTGGTGATGTTCTAGCTTCGCAGCGTCCACGAGAAGATACCGCGCTTCCGGTTGGAGAGGCTGCAGCACAAATCGTTGCACAGACAGAGGTCATGAGTCAGGCTGTGGTCATCTCCCAAGAGATGACCGATGTTGCTCCTGCGGGGATACTCGGTCCCGTGGCTGAGGATCAAGAGAAGAAGGATGCGGGGCGTGATGCTACGGGATCGGACGAGGAAAAAATCGGTGTTGAAAACAAGCAAGCAGAAGCCGATGCTGCCAACGAAGATTCTTCCAGTACTCTCGCGAATGAGGAAACGCAAGAGGAGGACCAGACCGCGTCCGGAACCGAGTCCTGTACGACCTTGACGGGCGGAAATGACCAACAACTAGATTTGCAACTTCTGCCGCAAGACGAACCGCCGAAAGGGTGGACGAAATTACCGCCAGGCGGGGCAGCTGCGGGGGCTGATGGCGCTGCTGCTGCAGACAGTACGGAGCCACCGTCCGTCACTGCATCGACCTTGCTGGAAAAGGAAGTTGGGGGGGAGAAAGAGAAGGAGGCCACCCCGGGGGCGGCTTCTTCAGGTACCAGCGCTGAGACAGCAGTTGAGGGAAACGCGCCGGAGCAAGAAGACGGCTCAGTTGCTGTTGACAAGAACTCCAAAGGAGAACCCGATTCCCCGGTCAAGGACACGAAATCTATTCGCGACCGAAAACTTTCGCTCGGCCTAGCGTCCAGCCTACACGTGAAGAGCACGAAGACGACTTATTCCCTGACGAAGAAATCTGCCGCGACTGGGGCGAGCAAAACCGAAGCTGCAAACGCGTCGAACAAGAGCCGAAAGTCCACGGCTGGCGAGCCAGGAATAGTGACTGGAAAATCTACCGCGGAGAAGACAACGCTGAAGCAGAAGAGTATCCAGATCGACCCCGATGACATGTTTGCACAGGTCTCGCTGCAGGCGGAGCAAAATTTGCGCGACTTCCACGATATCAACGGCAGCCGGCCCAGCTCCATCCAAATGGGTGGAGGTGCAAGCGGGAACTCCGCGTCCGATCTGCACACCCCCTCGGGAGGAGCTGGAGGATCATCTTCCGCCTTCTTCCCCGCCTGGGGCTCGCAGACGTCCGTCACCTGGCGGCGACGCCAAAACGCCCTGGAAACCGGGCAGGGCGCGGTCTCCCGGAAGGTGGTCAAGGAGGTGGCGGGTGCGGGTGGGCAGCATGACAAAGACAAAGACGAAAGTAACTCTTTCGACGAGAAGACGAACAATAAGCATGGCACTATGAGCCTGGACAGCTTCATGGGAACTTCTACTTCCGCGGCGAATGCAGGGCATCAAAACAGTGCAAACAGTCTGATTGGGGATCATTCGCAAGAAAGCATCTTTCCCGCCGCGCCGCAGATCACGAAAGACGGGACCACGAACACGCTATCAAATGCAAAAGTGTCTGGGTCTGGAAGAATGCATGTTTGTCATGCTTGTCTGGCATGACTCTTAAATCTGTCATGCACGTTACCCAAGAGCTGCGTTTTTCTGTGATGCAGAAACGCAGTGTGTCATGCAGAATAGGCAACACCTACACCTTCCTAGAAGCTCAGAAACTTGTCATGCTGAGCCAGCACTTGTGGCCTCATCATGAGACGCCACCCAGCATCACAAGTTTCCAGACCCAGACATTTTTGCATTTGATACACGCTGCAGAATTACGACGACGACTGGGCGCGGGTGTCCGCCGCAGTAGGGTTTTTCAATAACAGCGCGAAGGAAAAGCGGCCGCTGTCTCCGTTCATGGAGTCCGTCGTGCAAATGCTGGAGGAGGCCAACTCGCACGTTGTGAACCTCGCCGCGGCCCGGAAGGCGCAGGCCGGCCAAAACGTCGGCGAGGCCAGCAAGTCGAGCACCGGCGGGTCCAGCAGACGGCAGTTGCTTTCTGGAGCAGCAGCGGGAGCCGCGACTGACGACGATCTTCAGGCAAACAACAATGCTTCTGGGGGGAAGAACACGCCTTCTGGCGGAACAAATGTCACCAACCCCTCCACCGCCGATAAGCCGATGTCTGAGCAGGACAAGCAGAACGCCATGTCGCTGAACTTTGCCGGGAAAGACCTGCTGACGTTCCTCCGCGAACAATCCGAGTTGCGCACTCCGGGCAGCAACAAAGCCCCGAGCTACCGGAACAGCCGGCAAAACTCCCGGCATTCGACCACCAGCTTGTTGCAATCGGACCCGATTCTCCGGATGGGCAGTGCGCAGGGCTACCGGCCGAGCACGACCCCGACGCCCTTTAACGTGAGTGATTTGCTGGACGACAACGACTTCAAAACAACGAAAAATCTCCGGGAACAGGAGGTTTTGAAGTCCATTGAGGAGCACCAGTCGGAAATGGCAAATTTGGACATTGACTTGCGGAACAGCATCGAAAAAACGCTGGAGGAGCTGGAAAACGAAAAGGCAAAAATGCCGGATAATTTACAGCCCGATGATGCAAAGAGAAGCGACGCGGGGTCGATTGCCCGCGCGATCGTGGATGGTGTGGAGAAAGCCGTGGCTGATACGATCGAAGGGAACCACGGAGAAGGGGTTGATAATGCATCCACGGGACGAGGACAACTGTCCGAAGGCGCAGGAACTGCTGCTCTTTCACCGCGGTGCCAGACATCCCCGACGAAAACTGGTGACTTGCTGGCCACCACAAAACTCAATAATCCCACGGGCAAGTACCACACGCCGTTCGGTGTCGTTTCCGACTGGCTGCCGATGCTCCTCCAGGGCTTGGACAACGCGAGTAGTCCGACGCTTGACGGCAGCAGTGCTGGACAAGGCAGTTGTTTGAACAAACTTCCTGACGAAAACGACAACCTACCGCCAGAAATGCTCGCAGCGGCGAAAGCCGCCGAGGAACAGATCAGCAAAATGTCGAACCTCCGTAGTCAAACCGCACCGCACAAAAATTCTTACAGCCTATCCGACCTGCAGATGTCGAGATCGCTTTTGAAAAACATGCGGATGAAAAACAATACTGGTGCTGATGCTATGATGAACAACACAACCAGTGCTTCGTCGAACACTTTATTGAAGAGCGGTCTGGAACTGAACCAAAACCGCCCGAGCGTGATCAACACGCCGCTGAGAGAAAATCAGCAACTGATCGAGGAGGAGTACACGCACAATTCGGAGCAGTTTGTCCAGTCGGGCAACTTCCTTCTCGCCAACGAAGAGGAGGAGAGGTTGTTGCACAAGAAAAAACTCCTCCAACAAGAACTCCAAAACGACGACATGACGAGCGAGAATTGCTACACTACGCCCCCGATGTCCGGCGTCCACGGGTTGTTCGCGAACAGCAGCTTCTACGACAACTTCGTCGCCGGCGGTGTCATGCACGCTGGTGGCTATAATCACCCCCATAGCGCAAACAATTCCGTGATGAACAACACGGGGAGCTCCTTCTGGTCCCAGGACGGCAGCAGTTTCTACGGAGGAGGGGCGGAGAGCGGGTTTACCACCAGCATGAACGATTTCTACAACAGCAAAACTGGCGGGACGAGTATTGGGAAGATGAAGGATGATAAGCATAAAGGAAACAATGGCAAATCTGGAAGTACAACTACTGGCAGCACTACCACCGGGTCCTTGATTCGCGGCGCACCGAAACAGGCTCGGAATGCGCACTCCGTACCGACGTCCCGTGCGACGACGAACAGTGGCGCTTTTACCTCCAGCACTAGTTCATCCTCAAATTTGTTGCGCAACATGAGCACGACCTCGGTTTCCGCTGCCGTGCAGAAGAGGCAACTGGCCGCGGAACAGCAGGCGATAATTGCAGCACAGAACTTGAATAATTACCAGCAGGTCGTCCCCCGCACGCCCTCACAGTGGACGCAAAAGGAAAAAAGGGAGTACTTGATCGAGCGTCAGAAGCAGCCGTTGAGTGACGCACAGGTCTATTCTCCGCCTAAAGTTGGAAATGGAGCAACTACATCAAATAGTGGGCAGAACTCTCTTAAGTCGGGAAGTGCGTCGAAGAAACTACGGGATTTAGTTTTATTCGACCAGCGGGACTGTCGGAAGTCCAAGTACGACGGAAAACGGGTGCTGACGAACAGCAAGGGCGGGAAGAGGCGGTCTAGTTCCTTGATTCTGCAGCCGACGACAAATAAAAACTCGATGAATATGAATAACGCTACTACTGGATCGTCTCTGATGTTCAACAAAACGGATCTGTTGCCCCTGACATTCCCCACCATTTCCGAGCAGGAGAACGAGGGGAGTTTCGAAGATGCGGGAGCGAGTAGTCTCTTCCTCGACCACCCCGGACTACAGGAGCCCTCTTTGGACGACACGACGTTGTTTGACAGCCGGTCACAGACGTCCCTGGAGTTGGACTCCGGCTCCGCCTCCGGATCTTCCTTGGAACTGATGGGAAACGTTGGCGGGCAGGAGTCGTCGGTCACGCTGCCGCATCTGGTTGCGCCAGGAAGTGGAGTTGATGTGTCGTCCGCTTCGACAACTTTCGACCAGATAAATCTCCACGGAATTGGTAATAAGACTGGCGAGAGTTGTGATGAAGTGTACAAGCCCTCATTCGGCGCTTTTTCGCAGATCCTCCAGGACGAGGATCAACGGGCGTTTTTCCGGGAACCCGCAGCGGCTCCGTCCAGTACGGAATTCTTTTCTGCTGGAGCAGCGGAAGGCGGTGCAGCGGCGCCTGGCGCTGGCTCTACTTTTGGTCAACAAGCGTCTCTGTACGGCTCGTCGGTGGATAATTTTGCAAGTCAAGCCAACCCGATGATGCACACCTCTGCGGCGAAGATGTTTTCGGTAGAGAAAAAGCGAACGACTCGATCAACTTCCACGTCGCCTATGAAGAGCCAGAGCCCGTCGAAGAACAAGAATAAAGAACAAGAGCTACAGAATAGCAGCAACGCGCAGATTTCTAATAAGTGGTCGGAGGACGTGCAGCATCGAAGGGAGCTGATCAAAAAGCTGAAGTATTCCAATGCACCGATCACAGATCATAAGGAACATCAACTGCTGCAATTAGAACTCGAGCAGAAGTACGGTTCCGTGGTGCAGAACGGGCAACACCAAAATTCCCTGACTCTGATGCCGCTGCCGACGATAGGACAGACGGGGAAGGGAGCCGGAGGTGGCGTTTTCAACAACGGTGGTGGCAGAACATTAAATGCAGCTGCTGGGTCAGCTTCAACTGCGACGACGTCCGCAGGAGCGCAGTCCTCGCACCCACGGCGCGCGTCGACCTGCGTCGGTTGGTTTGCGGAACCGAAATCAGCGATGAAAACGGCTTCGGATTTGAAGAAGAACGAGCTGCTCGGCGTTGTGCACGACAAAGTCGGGGACATTGTCTTCCACAACAACATTCGCGAGCCCATGTCGCCGCACAGCATGCGAACGATCAAGCCGAAGCGCGGGCAAGCGACGCAGGGCATCATGACGGTCTCCGACCGGAAAGCCGCGGCACTGAGCCCTAAGAAGGGGTTTTTGGTCACGGTTGGAAACTCCATTTTAACGTCGAGTAGTGGGAATGCGAATGGGGCGCAAACCCCGGTGATGGATTACCATGGGAGTCGGAACAACAGTCGGGCCGCGACGCCGAGTGGATTCATGCGCCGGGTGCAGGAAGAGGAGAAAAGCCAGGGGATCATGGACCGGAATACCGCGGTAGAAGCGGTTGCTTTTGGCACTGCTGGAGGGATTAGCGGGGAGCACGATAATGGTGGTGCAAGCGGAGTGTTGAAGAAAGTTACTGTGGTCGGCGGAGAGCAAAACTCATCTGCACCGTCCAAGCAGTCCCTTTCTTCGCCGATCAAAGACAACTTCAAACTCGAATTGCAGAGAAAAGCGGGCGGTGATGCGACTGCTGCTCCGCCGAGGAAGGAGAGGGAAAACGTGAAGGCGATCTCGTCTTCGGTGTTGCAAGCGCAGACGGAATTGGAAAAGGCGGCGAATTCGGATGTGCTGTAGGAAAGGCACGAAAGTTTTTTCGTACTACTGGTAGGAGCGAGCCAGGGTTTTGATAAGCATAAGATAGGTGTCGGCTAGAATACAACGCGGCTTGTCTCTAAATCAGCTCCACAATCTAGTAGACGTAAATTTGGTTCTGACGACGAGGCGTTCGCGCATGGTAGCAAGTAGTATAGAAGTACGGTTTTTATTTGAAGTAAGTAGCATTGATTCAGTTTATCGAAGATAGCACTTTGTATTTGAGTTTCTTTCAGATTCAGAAAAATCTCGTTTGACTTTGAGTCGCATTCGTTCTAGTTTCAGACACCAGAGGCAGAGGAAGCGTAACAGTGTACCGAATCAAATTTCTATGTCAATATGGTAATTTTCGTTTCGCATTTTGAGTTTATCATTATCGCAAAGCAATAAAATTTCAATACCTAGTATCAGACAAACATTAAAGGGTAGGTGACATCGTTTACACTAGAATTGTAGCATGCATCATGTTTTCTCGAAAAAATAGTTGGATTTAACTCGCAACTTTTCAACGTTCTCCCTGATTTACAACAACTTTTTGGGTTCCACTTTCACAGCAATTTTCTCATGGTCTTACTTTTTTGATTTAGCAACTGTAACATTTTTCATTGAAAGTAGCTTTGTTTCTTACATACAGCATTCATAGTTTTATCGGGTAATACTAATAGCTTTGTGTGACAAGAACTACAACTTCAACGTTTCAGGCACTTCATTTACATTTCTTTTGTGTACACTATTTTCATCGGCATTCGTGCCTGTCTTGCTGCTCGTATCAGCTGACCGGAAGAAGCACTCGGTTCTCACCAGACGAATAATTCTCCAACCTCGGTTGTTCATGATTGCGGCATTGCCTCTCGGTTCATTTTCGCCCTCTCGTCTCGGTTTTCGTGCATTTTTGGCCTTGTCGTACTAATCACTGCATCTGGAGCAAGCACTCCGGTCGGTTTTCGTACGGCCGTTGCATCACGTGCACGCGTCTACCTTCGTTCGGTTTCTTCTCTAGCATCGCCAGCTTCGCGCTCGGCTCTTTCAAGACACGAGCTCTGTGTCCACTCATCGTCCCTACATTTCCGCGTAGTAGATCCAAAAGAGTACTTAGACATACGCTCATCTGCATGACAGGACCCATGAAAATGCATGCGCGCAAGTGTAAATTAGCCTTACAACATAGGCACCCATCGCAAAATGGCCTCGTCCCGAGGAGCCTAGGTAGTACTATGCCGGTGGACTTTCTCCTCTGTTCTTCTTCCTACAGTACCTTCCTAAACGTCTTCACGCAATTCATCTAACGCATGACCGCGTTACACCTACACTACACGTACACTATGCCTCAGCCTTTATCTTAGCCTTTTACTTCTCCTTTCCAGAAACTCGCCAAAAAAATGGCCGACACCATCGCGACGCGTTGTTTCCCCAATACCCTGGACGATGAAACGACGCTGCTCCTCACGGTCGACGAGCTCAACGCGCAGATTGCAAAGTACGATTTGCAAATCTCCGAGGACTTGTCCCACGCGAACGAGTCCGGCAGTATCTACTCCGGCGGACCGGGGGCCGGCCTCGCTTCCCTCTGGGTTTTACAGGACGTGAAGCAGGCGGAGTACTTCTTGACCAACGAGAAAAACCAGTCCTGGGCCGACAAGGACGGCAAGCGGGGCGTCGAGACGCACGCAGTTGCCGTCGGGGGCGGGTTGGCGACAGGCTTGTTCTACAGTATCGTGGTGTTACACCACATTTTCGCGAACCACAAGAAGAACCCGCAATCCCTCCACGGGGGCCACGGGTCCGCGAAGCGCCCGTCGATGGGGCAGACGTTGCAGATGACGAGTTCGGCACATTTGGAGAAAATCAAAGACTCCGCTGTGAACGAGCACGTGAAGGAACTGAATAGGCAAAGAGACAGCGATCCGATGTTTGAATTGAAGGACGGAGGTGGTACTGCGGGTGAAGCCGGGCCTCAGTACCAAAATGAGAACGACGGGGAAGGAGGAGGAGCAAACGCGTCACCCTCATCTTCCCCGCCGGAGAAAGTGCAACGGCGGTCCAGTGTACTGAGTCAATTACGACCAAAATCCGCGTCCGGGGGCGCGGGCGGTTCCACCGGGTTGAGCAAACTCCGGGGGCTACTGAAAAAGGGGTCGAGTTCGGGCGGGAGCACGGGGACCTTGGCGCAACAAGTGTCAGGGAAACGGGTAGTGGAGTACGACGGGGAGTCCCCCGATAACTTTGTGATGCTGGAGGGAGTGTTGTTGGGCGGCGTGAACCGGTTTCTGCAGGTAGATTCGTCAAAATGCAAATCGGACGAGTGGCTGTACGGAAGAGCCGGGTTTCTGTTCGCACTGCTGTTCGTCAGAAAACAGTTTCAGACGAAGGTATTGTTTTTGCTTTTCTTGTCAGTCTTCGTTTCCAATTTTGGTCCGGTTGTTGTGGTGATTCTTGCTCTGTGGGTTTTTGCTTAGCAGGAGGCAGAAGGATCGCTTGCGCTCTGCAACGCTTTTCCTTGCCATCTTCATCAAAACCACTGATTACACCACTCAAACAAAACAGGGCGGTTTCGCGACCCCGGGCCTGGCCCGCGAGTTACACGGTGACTTCAACACAAAAATTCGCATAACGGTCGAGGAAATTCTGGAATCCGGCCGCAGCTACAACGACGGCGGTTCCCGTGCGGCCAGACCGGCGCTGTGTTACGAGTGGCACATGAAGAAGTACACCGGCGGCGCTCACGGTTTCGCCGGGATATTCCTGCAACTGTTGCAAGCGCGGGAATTTTTGACCAACAGCGAGCTTGCCGAGGTGAAGCAGTCCATCGACTTCTTGATGCTCAACTGCCACGACGCGGCCACCGGGAACTACGGGTCGAAACTCACCTCCATGGACACCAAACTGGTCCAATTTTGCCACGGCGCGCCGGGGTTCATCCCGCTTTTCATCCTGTGCAGCGAGATTTTTGTGAATGAGAAAGAGAAGTACCTGCAGCAGGCGGTCAAGTGTGGCGAGTGTTGCTGGAAGTACGGGCTGCTGACCAAATCCGCGTCCCTGTGTCATGGGATCGCGGGGAACGGATTTTTCTTCCTCAGTCTGTACAGAAAACTGAACGACGAGCTCTGGCTGCGACGCGCGCACTGCTTCGCGCGGGTGGTGATGCAGAACGAGGCGGCCGATGGGTTCGACCGGGTGCCGGATAGACCGCTGTCATTATTCGAGGGTTGCGCCGGGGTCATGATGTTTTTCCACGCACTGAAAAACCCGGTGGAAGCCAGGTTCCCCATGTACGAGGTGTAAGACGATGAAATTGATACGGGGGAGCTAATAGAACCCCGACGTACAACAACGAACATCGGAATCACGCCACTTTCAATACATTCGACGATAAAAATGTGATCACATCCCCTGGCTTCTATATTCAGGTTCAAAACATCAGAAACTGCATCGCACAAAAATTATGCCACTGGAGTTTATTCGTGGTCTTTTCCACTAGGAACGTTGCCCGGTTTGTGTTCGTCACATCGGTTGTGGTGTCGACTCGTCGGCTTGAAGTCAAACAAGCAGGTTCACCGCCGGGAAATATCTTCGTCACGAGTGGAATAAAAAGGGACAAGCCTTGCAATTATCAGTTTTCTCGACGAAAAAAGTTCTCGGTGTCGTGGCCCCTTGGTGCTGACGTATGTAGTTCTATCAATTCGTTGTAGCTCGTCGGCGTAGAACAGCGACATTGCATAGATACGCCTCAGCCTTCAATACTTCGCAAGTTGGTCACCGGCCAATGAAGAAGCACTCTGTCGTCCATCGTGGTCGTCTCATGGTCATCCGAAAATCGTGGATATAATATGTAGCTAATTAGGTCGCCGTGACTAAGACTATGTGTTGTCACAGAGGGAGGCAAAAGGATTCGTCTACAAAATCGTTTTGACAATTCGAATTCTTATTCCTTCGTGAAGGTTGTGATTGATATAATGATCGTTGAAAAAACAGTAGCGTCTTCAACAAAAGGAATCGTCTTAAAATCCGAAATCACATTCACAACCATGTAAATTTCGAATAAACTTTCGGTGCAATGCGAATGCCTTAGCGCTGGTTTTTTCATTGTTTCCACTTGTTCTATCTTTTGGGTGAGTTGGAGGCCACCAGGAGAACCAAGAAGTATTTCAAAGTTCAACGACAACCAGTAGAATCAGAATCAGCATGGCCTCCACGGACTCGCCGCGTGGTCGTTCCGAACAGCGGGAGGACCCCAGCTCCAGGTTCCGCAAGGCACGGTCCATTTCTCGCCGGGTGACGGTGTCTTTGCTGGCGGTAGCGGGAAGCGGCTCTTTTTCGTCGATGCCGGGGACGAGAAGTACTGGCGTGGTTCTCGTGGAGGCGAACATCGTGGCGGGGAAAGAGCATGAGCCGGATCATGAGATCTACAACGACGCTCCGCCTCGGGACCGAGCGGACGTGAGGGACGATGCGCCGGTCCTTGGGGCGGGAATCGAAGGTGAGGACTCTCAGGACTTCCAGATGACTGAACTGCTCATGGACGATGCGGAGTTCAGCGATGTTGACGAGGATGGGACAGCCGCGCAACTGATGCAGGAAGGCGAAGCTCAGACGAGGACGACCACCAAGGTCCCCACACCGTACAGGTGCGCCGTTAACACAATTGGTTTGTCTTCGACATGCATGTACAAGCGGTTGTGGTTTGGTGCTAAATGGGAAGCCGCAGCTGACGACTGTTGCAAATATAATAGTGCAAAATCCAAATGCAGTTGGACGGGAAGCAAAGGATGCCCGAGGGAACCGGGCATGGAAGGTTCTATTTTTGATTTTACTGATGAACAACATGAAGTGATGAAATGGAAGATTTCCACAGGAAGCAGTAGAAAACTTACAACTACATCGAGAACAAGGTGGCTGATTTTCCCTGTTTGTGTGATGCGACATACAAAATACGACAGCACAAAGGAAGGCGGACGATGCCCACGAGGCGCGACTTCTTGTCGATCCGGCGTTGCAGAGAGCAACTGGGGCGTCCGGGAGGATTTGGAGGGAGCAACAAGCGAATCGACTCAGGGAGGCTGCAGCTGCCGAGGATGCGTTGGCTCATGTAAATCCGGCGTCACATGGAGCAACTGGGGCGTCCGGGGAGATTTGGAGGGAACAACAAGCGAATCGACTCAGGCGGTCTGCAGCTTCCGCGAATGCCGCGGATGCGAATGCCGCGGATGCGTTGGCTCTTGTCGATCCGGCGTCACATGAAGCAACTGGGGTTTCCGGGGAGATTTGGAGGGAGCGACAAAGGAGACGACTGCGCGACGGCGTTGCATAATTAGCCGCTGCACTGTTGAGAAGGAGAAGAGGATATTGATACAACTGCAATTCATCGTCTGACCATATATCGTCATTATTTGTTTCATCCATGCTGTGGTCGAGAAAATTGATCGTGTGCATTTGAATGAAACACTGCTATTCGCCCCCCCGAGGGCGCTTCGTAACTCTCCTTTCCAACTTACTATCTAGTAGCTGTTCAATCGATCATCGTATTTGTCAAGTGAGTTTCGCCTCCTGTCTCATCATTCTTGTTCCTTGTTATCGTTACAATGTGTAGTATCCTTTGACTTTGTCGTTTCAGTGCATGATTGCGTTGCAGGGGCTTCATCGCTCAGAGAATTTCTTTCGTTGTCTCAGAGGCAAGACACGGAACATCTTGGGTGACCGCTGCCATTTGTTGACATAGGTAACTGAAGGGTCGCTTTTTGGGGTGCATGGAATCGTCGTCGATCATTGCGCGTTTCCTTGCTAATATTTGTTGAGCACTGCTTTCACTGTACATTCTGCTGGAAAAAACCGGTAAAATTCATTGAGCCGGCATGTCCTCCTTTGCCAAGAAGTTGAAGTAGAAGTAGCTTGGTTTGGGCAAATCCGAGATGGGCACACGCATCATGGCGCAAATATTCTGTTCGAAGAATTAAGGAGCAGCGCACCTCCCCCGCAGACGCAAACTTTTTGTTTCAAGTGGAAGAGCTGACCACATGGCTGACGTTTTTTGTAGTTGAGTCGTGACTAGTGCGCAGTTGCCCTGGTGTCATCATCGTCTGGAGCACTCTCATTCTCAGTTTTAGTCAGGCGCCATTTTCTATTTTTCGTTTTGCCGGAAACTCATGAAACACATGCAAATGCACTTGCTTGACATCTTAGCACCGTGACATTTATTTCTTCTGAGCACACGCCACACAGTCACAGACTTATAGTCAAGCTCAGCCCGGAGTCGGACCCGAAATAGTGATAAGTGCAGCGATTTGTCACTTTACCGAATAAAGAAAGTTTAAGAAGATCTGTGTCAGTGTCTGTTCATAACTGCGAGATCCTCCTCTTCTTTCAGGCTCATCTGCCTTGATCATGCTCCTCCCACGTCATTTTTTGCAGGGCAGAAGTTGATTCCTGGAAGAACATGACTTTGGAGAAGTTTATCATACTTGCGACTCGCACTCGTCATCAGTAATATCAGTGAAAATAAGAAAATCGCACAGAAAAACATATTGTTCATACCTTCGGTTCTTACCGCTTACATGTAGATACTCCACGCTAAAAGCTACACATGAGCGACAAACATGACACGCATATAGGTAGGTGCCGTGGCTGCAGTTGAGAATTTATTGATGTTACTCTTGCATGCTTGTCCGGCACGGAAATATTTTTGGGCGTCAGGATGACAAACCGGAACCGCGACATTCATTGGTCTACTTTGCTGCTCAGCACAGCATTCCTCGATCGTCGCTGCAAAATTTATTGCGCCTGTGATGAAGGACGTGCACGTCCTCTGACACTGTAGCCTCGCCTGGCCGTTGCCGCGCGGGGGCCTCCTAGAATATAGCAGCTTGCTGAACTTCTTCGTCTTCCATCACGACCCTCACCGAGGTTATTCGGCCGCCAGCACCGCCTCTGCGTGTGATCGTCTATGACTACAACAACTGTTCTTATCTAGACCAGCACGAGTAGAACGACGGTGAACATCAAAATGACACCCGAACAACAGCGGAGGCGCTTTTATTTCGAGGACGTTTATCAGTATTTCTACGCAGACTCTTACGAGTTTGAAATCGTCCGAGAAACGGCTCTCTGCGGCATCCGTCTTCTGCACCGCGGGGTGACCGAACGAGTACGTGTGCAGACCGAAGATTGTATCAACAACGACCACAAAAAAAAAGCTTCTTCCTCCGCATTGTATCGCACGAACAAGGACTCGCGTTCATTCAACCGGGGTCAGGTGGTTGAAGCGCCACCCGAAGTTATTCCAGATAATTCCACCCAATCCCAGTTGCAAATTACGGCGTCTAGAGCTGCAAGTGAAAACCAAAATCATATAAGGAGTACTAAAAATCATACAAGAATAAACTACATACACGAGCAGCATGAGAATAAGCAAGTCCAGGATCATTCATCTCACCAGGCTGGCGGTTCGGCCTCGTCCACTTCGTTCCCAGGCCCGATTCAACATCCTGCTGGTGATGGTTCATCCGTGGCTGCTTCCCCCTTTCCCACTGCTGCCAGGACGTACCAACTGCTTCCGGCTTGGAGAAAGGAGCTGCATCCCGTGGACGGTGCAACGGGCGGGAACGGAGGCACAGGGTTCTTGTCGAAGGACAGCAAGAAAAACAAGAAATCCGGTAATGGTAATTACTGGGGCTACAACTACCACCAGGATGAGGACGAAGCAGTAGAGGGCACCAGCAACTTCAAGCTCGAGCAGGAGCGGCAACGGCGAGAAGCGAGAAACTTTAAAGACCTGGAAGATTTCGGCGATGTGCGTTGCCGAGACCTGGCAAAGGAGTACTTGCTGGAATTGAACGCGGTGAAGAAGGTGAAACTGACGCTGAAGGAGCTCTCCCAGCGGAGCTGCGTGGAGAAAATTCTGAACCCTGGCGTCAGCAGGACGATCGAGGAACCGCTAGAGTACCTCTTCTACTACCCACCAGAAACTACAACTACACCGGGAGACGAACTGGACTACGAAAGCGAGTATAGTGAAAACTTCTATGGCAAGGAAGCCACCGGGGGAGACCACTACAACCGCGACACTGCTACGAGAGCAGAACCTGGTGCTTCGCGTTCCTACCACGCTTTCCACAAGGACCTGACGACGAAACCCAAGCGCTACGTCGTAGTAACTACCACATGTCCGATGTTTTTCGGGAAATATCTTGGCTTCGACCCATTGTCCGCGAGTCTCCCGGAGCAGATCTTCACGCCAAACGGGTACGACAAGCACTTTGCAAAGGCGAAGGAGAAGGAAATTTTACGGGCGAAGGAGGAATCGGAAAAGCAATTGGAGAAGATGTGGAGAAAACAGGAAAGAGTATCGTCCGTTGCGGAGGTCGCGGTGAGGACTAGTACACGCGAGGAAGAAGATCACCAGGCAGCAGCAAGTAGTACGCAAAGAACGGGCTCTAGTACGACAGGAGTCGGTCCTGGCACGATAGTTAATGACGGTACTGCAACAAAGAAGACTACTAAAACCGGTTTTGTTTCTGACAGTCTTACTCATGACCCGCTTCAAACACAAGCAAAAACGCTCGTCAGCCGATTGGAGGATCTGACCACGGACCTCCAGGTGGATGTCAAAACCTCAAAGACCGCAGCAGGACCAGAAGCTGGTCCTGCTGTTGCAGCATCAACAATAAGTCGCAAGCAGAAGAGAGAACTGGAATTGGAAAAAATGAGGAAAAAGCATGTTGGCAAGGACGAGTGGAAAAACTATCTTGACGAAAACGGAAAGTACGACTGGCGTCTAGATGAAAACTACTGGCGGATTGGACCAGGGTATCACGAGAGAAATGTATTACAGTTACACATTTGTTTTTGTAGTGACTTCAGCATCACAAATTTGCCTCACATGACGGAGAAAACTTGTAATGCAATGCTCATTACGCAAAAGCAAAACCAAAACCCAAAACACAATCACAAAACCGGACTCGCAAGCATTTTGCGCATAACAGAGCTCGTCTGTCTTGCATGTTTTGCGACACAAAGTGTAACTGTAAGCACTTTTTTCTTTGCATACAGTGCCAGATCCGTACGGCTGCTGGACCACGAAGGAATTCTTCGAACACCGGAGGTCTGAGTACTACACCGGTCGGCCAGAATATGGATGGAAAAAATTTGATCGAACGAAAACGATAGATAGTTTTCTTGCAAAAATATGTGCATTTTCAACGCAATGACAGACGTGGGATGAATCTTCATGGAATGGATACAGAGGAGTGGCTGGCGCTTTTGTTCGCGTCCTCAGTGTAGTTTCGTGAACTACGATGAGGTTTTGGAAAATTCATTCACAAAAAATTTTTGAGTGGCTCCTGCTTCGATAGATTTTTTTCCATCGCATACTACGTACTTGCACGTGCTCGGCCGCTACTTGTTCCACGATTCCATCAAATGCAAGAAGACCGAACGGCAAATCGGGCCGAAGCCGGTGGATTTCATGTTTGCCGAAGAGGCGAAGGACAAGTCGAGCCTTGCGATCGGCGGCTTTGCCGGGATCTTGAAGCTTTGCGCGGACGGAAACACCAACCCCGCGAAGGCGAAGATAGTACCACGGAACGGTGAAAAAAAAGGTTCTCTAGAAGAAGATGATAGTGATACTACTAGCGGCGAGGACTTTACTTCGATTATTCCCCGGGTCCGCGGCGACAGTTCTCTCTGCAGCAACGCAAAAAACTCGTCGCACCTTCCGCCCACGTTGTTCCAGACTTACACGGAGAAGCGGTTTCGACTGGACATGGAGCGGGGCTCCGCCGGCCGGAAGGCCAAGCTCGGAACGAGACTCCGGGCGGCGGTGCGACTGGTAAAGGCGGAAGGGATCCGGGACAAGAGGGCGGTGCTGGCCAGAATCCGGAAGGAGGACGGATATCTGCAGCAGCGAAACTGTGCGCGGATCGAGCGCAAGTTGGAGCAGGAAAAGGCGGCGTACGTGCGGAAATGCGAACGGGAAAGAAAACTGTTCGAGCTGGTATCCACGACCTCAGAAGCGGAAAATAAGAAAAAGGAATACGACGAGCGAACAGAGATGGACGAGAGGGCGTTGGAGTGGGAGCGGGAGCTGGAAGAGCAGACGCGAAGGGAGAAGAAGGGGAAAGAAAAAAGACCCGCGATGGAAATAAGGCATAGCAAGGAGCAAATAAATACGCAGCTGCAGGATTCCGCTGATTTTGAGAGTAGACCAGCTTTGAATAGAAGTGTCGTCGAAACCAAGACCACGACAAAATCGTCAGGAAGCAGAAAACGGCGCCAGAACAACGACGGTGATGACCCCGCAAAGGCAGCTCTCCATCATCAGGATCTACCAGCATCTTCTTCCCCGGAACCGACCCCCGACTTCATCACGGCCCCCATGTGGACCCCCGAGCAAAGTCCAGAGGATGTTGATGACAATCATCGCACTACTCCCGGACCCTCTCCACTGCCGTCGCCATTGTCCAGTGTGGCAACGACTGCTTGGCCCCAAAGCACCCTATAGGATTACTCTGCGGATAGAGGTGAAATAGTAGTGCAGAAATTTCCAGCCGGACGAAAGGGGTGGCCCGTTCCGCATGGGCCATCGCGTTTTCACAATGCACAGCACGGCGAGAAGTAATCGACTGGGCCCGTGGTCGCGGGCCATCGCGCGTTGGGGTTGCCTAGGGCGAGCGTGGGCCGACCGGATCACCGGGCCCGGGTCAAGAGCCAGGCCCCCGGCCCCCAAACCGTTCGCGGGTGGCAAAAGAGAGGCTTCGCGGACAGCTGTGCGACAGCCGTGCAACAGCCCGGCCCCAACGCAGGCCGCGCTGCGCGGGACCTGCGGCACGGCTGCGAGACAGGTGTGAGGCCGGTTGGGGGCAGGCTCGCGACAAATTTTACACAGGTGTGAGAGAGTTGCGAAATAGGTGCGCAATAAGTGTGCAACAAGTGTGCAACAAGTGTGGATGGGTGTGAAGTAAGTCGTTTTCTAAAAGAAAACGAACTTATTTCACACCCATCCGCACTTCTTGCGCACTTGTTGCACACTTGTTGCGCACCTGATTCCGGCTGCTGCGCGGGCTGTTGCACAGCTGCCGCGCGGGTGCCTCACAGCTGCTGCCGGCCTGCCGCCGAGCGGCACCAGAGAAAAAAAATCCGCGGCGGCGGGGGCGAGATGAAACAAAATTTTCGCGCGCGCTGCGCGCGCGGAGAAGGTTGTCCTATTCGCTTCGCCCCCCGTGCTTTCAGAAAAAAAAGGGCCGGCGCCTCATGTTTTTAATTTTCGGCGCTGCAGCAAAATCTGCCATGAGCGAATCCGCTAAAAAAAACCGAGCGCGGCACCCCGAGACCAAAGACGAGAAAAGAAGAGCGCCGAGGAGGCGGACCGCGGTGCCAAAACGCGGCCAGATCGATGCAGTTTTAGAAGTTTGCACATCTGTTTCACGTCTATCCGCAAGAGGTAGCAATAGGGGCACTTCTGGTCCAAGACTGCAGTCAGTGCTGCCGCAGGTGGAACTACAAGTAAATTTTTTAATACCGGGTCGACATCCACCTCGTTTCTCACGACACGACCGACCGCTGAATTGTCTGAAGAGGAGAAAAAGAAATTGACGAAGAAATTGGAGCTGTGTAAATACGGGAAGTTTCTCTTCAACGCGAGTCACTTCAAGTTGAAAATGGCCCGCATGTTCGAATTGCAGGAGAAGAAGCAGCTCCACGTTACTTCGGTCGTGGAAAACCTTTCGTCGAATTTCTCCACCTGCGATTCGCCGCCACAAATCAGGACGAAGACAAAACAAGCAGAGACGAGTCACCTTCGAGGTGGAGCGACAGCGTCTAGCAAGAGGACAGTCGAGTCCTCACGGTCTCTCCCCTCACCGAAATTTGATATCGAAGCGCTGGATTCGCCGCGGATCGATCTTAATCTTCATGCGAACAATTATGGTGGGGCAAAGCAGATGAATGATCCGAAACCCGGCAAGGGCTTTGACCTGGCGAACAACGATCTTGGCTACGAGAAATACGACGTTGACGCAATAATCACCTCGCCGAATAACCGGTATAATGATGTCGACCACGACGACCTACGCAACGGCTCGAAAATAGCATTCACGCAAGGACAGCACGAACTCGAACCCCCCATGGGAACCGTTCCTCCTCCGCCCGTGTCGACCCACCTCCCGTGGGAGGATATCGAGATAGAGTTGGAGGTGGTCAGTGAGGAGGTTTTCGACGAGCTGCGCAATGACGAGGAGGTCAAGAAACCCAAAAATTCCCACGACGCGTGGCAGAAGCGGTTGGTCCAGTTTTGCGCCGGCATCGGGGAGTACGCCAACATGAACGCCATCATGACCATCGTCGGCGAGTCGCTGTTCGAGGAAGAAACAAGGGAAAGCAACGGTCGTCCTCTGAAGAAGGGAAGCGGTGGAGTAGCAGCCGAAGATACTGCAGTCTCTTCAAAAATTACCAACAAAAAGAGCCGTCGCGATTCCACGTTGACGTCCGACACTGGTTTCTCAACTGGACGCAGGTCCTCGTACGGCAGTGCACAAGAACCCCGCATTTTTTTCCTTTGTCGTGCGAACTGCGAAGTTCCGAAGCCGCTTGACTTCATTTGCGATTTGAAGCACTCTCTGCATGACAAGACACGCTTCGTCAACAACCTCCCAGACAGTACTGATACAATCCGCACGTGGCCTTGTCATGGGAAAGCTACATTTTTTGCATCGCTTCAGTAGCTGCTCATGCACTTCAAATGCGGCGAAGCGGTGGGGTAGTTGTGCACTGTCATAGATCGGACATAACTCTCCCCGGCAGAGGCAAGTATAGCGACGAAGAAATGGAGTTGAGAACTGAGGTGGCAAAAATGATGTTTGAGAACATGGGATTGGAGCAGTACGTTACTTCAAAAAACTCGAACAAGGGCAGTACTACTTCATCTTCTTCCAAAACTGCAGCTACCGCTGCCTCTGGAGCGAAAGTTGCTTCTTCCTCTGCTTTAGACGACTTCGACAAAGAAGACCTGTCGAGGGGCATCGATGACCAAGAAAATCCGCAGCCGCTTTTCAACCGGGAGGGCGGAAGAATTCTGCCGACAGAAGGAGAGCTGCTCGCTGCTCGTGCAGCAAGAGACGCAGTTACTAGGTCGACGGCGTCAAGTGCAGCTGGCCACATAGAAAATCACCATGGTGAAAACGTCGACCACAAGGAGCGAGACTACCGATCGTCCTATGGTAGCACACTCAACAAAGAAATCACCTTTTTCAACTACAAACACACTTCGGACAAGCGCAGAAAAGCGCTGAAAAAAGCGACCGACGAGTTTCGCCGAGCGAAGATTTCAGTGGAATTCGATCGCGTTTCGTACAACGGAAAAAACTGGGCGAAGCGGTACGCGAATGTGCTGGAGGCGCTGATCGGTGCCTTGGAAATTGTCTTTCAGAACGCGAAGACGGGCGGAGCTTTTGCCGACCACGACGAGCACCAGCAGCACAGCACGAGTTCTTCGGGCGCACCCGCTTGTTCGTCGTCCTCCCCACAAGGAGACCCCGTGCGAAGGTTCGACCTGCTGAGAAAAAATTTCCACTCACTGACCGGATCTGGGGCCACTACTTGTTCTGCTAAGATTATGGACAACATCAACCAGGATCCTACCTTAGCAGCCTTGCTGTCGGCTCCAAACGATAGCGCAGCCTTCCCAATCGCGGTCCAGCTGCTGGCTTCCGGGTGCCAGAAGTTGATCCTTGCCATGATCATGACGGTCTTTTACCAGCCGGCGCAGTTTTCAAACAACAAAATCAACGTCGCGAGGCTGATCGAGAGCGACAACATACCGGCCTACGAGTCGGACCTCAAGATGCTGAAGAGAAGATTTTTCGACGACTACCCGGGTCTGCACAAGAAGCTGGTGATGGAGCAGGTGCGGATCGTGAAGACGTGCATCAGTTACCTGGTTTCCGCCCATCTGATCCACGACCCGAGGACGAAAATTTTGCCAACCTCGTTGCAGCTGGCGGGAAAAATGACGACGTTGACGAAGCAGCCCGCGTTTTCGAGGGAACTGATCGTCAAGCAGCTGGCGAAGTCGCAAATCTGCAAGATGGTTAGCGCAGAAGAATGCTGGAAGGTCGTGAAGATCAGGAACGATTCCGATTGCGATTCTTCTTTCAGTTCCACCACGGAATTATGCGCTGTCACTTTCGCATCCACACTGCAGCACTGTTTTTCCCCCTTTGTGCGGAACCACTTTTTCCAGCGTGTGCCGACCTACGACAAGATTCTCGCCTTCTTTCAGTACTTGCTATTGCGGCAAATACAACGAGCAACGAGCACTACGACGAGTTCTCTTCAAGCGAAAAACATGAGGCACTTCATCACTTTGCTCCGCGAGCAGGAGAAGTTACTGAAGGTACCGGAAGAGATTGAGTACACGGTGGACCGGTACGACGAAGCTAAGGGCGGATGGTACAAGTACTGTTTTCTCTGCGGAAAGCACAACGACCACGCTTGTCGGGCAAAGAAGGACGGGTTTGCCGAGTTCTGGAGCTACCGCAGAGGGGACATCATGTTTGAAATGCAGAAAATAAACGGGAAAAATGGCGTGGAGAAGGAGATCGAAAAGTTGAAAGCGCTGCAAATAGTAGACGAAGGAATGTAAGTAGCTGCGATCATCTTCACGTACGGAGAGCAGGGAACAAAACAAAAAAAATTACGGCCTTGACACAAGAGCCTGGAGACGCGGCGAGCGGAATCCGATATATCGGATTGGGAAGCGGATGCAGATGGTGTACTTTCGAGTGGTTTTTGTTCTCTGGCGAGCACAATTTCGGGAGAGGTTTCCGGCCAGGGGTCCGACGTTTGCAAATTTTTTCGAGCTGTGGAGGACGATCGCGATCATCCCACAGAACTGGTTCGGAGCGGACGACCTGATTTTGTACCAAAGAAGAATGAAAAGTAAAAAACTACTACCCATATAATTATCGTGAGATGATCACGAAGAAGTCGCGGTGAGCCCTCTTTCGCATCCTTCGACGTGCGCTGCAAAGTAGCGGAAACTTCGTTGACGAAAGAGTGTAAGTCACGCCTTTCTCCGCCCCGATCGTGCCTCGATTTGGAGTTGACACGCTAAAGCTTTTGGTCTCATGTCCACCACAAAAACATTTTTTGAAAAACAGAGAGTTCAGATACTAACTTACTTACGTCAATCAGCTACTCTACGTAGATGTTGTATAGGAAAGTGAAAAGCTTGAGCTTGACGGACTGGCGCGGGAGCGACGACTTAAAATTTTGCACACATCATGAAGGTAATATTTACGCAACATGAAAGAAAACACAGTTTACTTGAACCTACGGTCAACAAGAACGTACTCATACGGGTGAGGGATTTTTGTCTATGCGACGGACGGTGCGTTGTCTAGAATTCGCGAAAGTCAATACATGTACAACAGCTATTGCTGCTGTTCTTGTTCTCGTCGGTTGTAGCTTCATCGTCATTGAGAGGTCCATATATCTCTGTAGTTCGTGGTGGAGAAGCTGCATCGGGATCTACGGGAGGAGGAAAGATAACGTGCAGTTTACTTACTGATGGATCGACTCTGGGACGGCATCAAAGACAACATCGTTCCTCCAGTGACCTTACTAATAAATAAATCTGACTTGTCCACCACCGCCTCCGCTGCGTGAAGAGAAAGGTCTCTTCTCGGAGTTGCAGTAAATGTCGTCGTGGATGGATTTCACGTGGAACTGAATAGCGATGACATAATGCATGGGTCTTGTATCATGGCAAGGCGGGATTGAGTGTTAGAAGTCGTATCGGGGAGCGACATGAATCGATATTGATCAAGTTCCTCCAAGTCCGAATGGATGTCATACAGGTTCGTTCGAAACAAGGTTCGTTCTTGTCGGGATAGAGCTTTATTTCGATCGTAGTTTGTGGTTTAGGTTTTGAATGCCGAGAAGTGGCAGAACGTACACAGTAGTAGCGCTTCCTTGATCGATGCGGGCTTTCAGAGTGGATACGACTGTAAAAATTGGTAACATTGAAAATTGAAACGACACGAACACATGACTAGGTCTATGTCCTTTGATGAAACGTAGAATGTAGTGCGGTAACAAGGACGCATGATATGGAAAGTACTCAGACGTGCTGACCGCGGCACTGGCCACGGTCGGCACGTCTGCAAGAATGCCAACGGTTTATGCAAATTTGTACCCTGCTTTTACTTCTACTCCCTTGCCACTGCGTAGCTGCATCGTAAAGAGGATCATGCTGCAGCGCAAGGAGCGGCTGCCCTTGCACTTTCGCGGGAACACCTCGTCCTGGGGCGGGTCTCTACCGCCGCCCGCTCGCATCTTCTTTTTTCTTCAGCTCCTGCTAAATAGGTACAACCACTTCATCGTGTATTGCATCTTCGCTCGCATCTTCTTGACTTCCGCGCACGAGATTTCGGAAGCAGACGAGCTTGACCAGTACGAGCAGGCGGACAAAGAACAACAGTTGTTCGAGGAGGAGGTGCTGAGGGGTATGCAGAGCTTTCTGCAACACGAGCAGCAGGAACTGGTGCAAGAGATGGAGGTGGAAATTGCGCGGATGACCGAACGGAGAGAACGGTTAGACTTCAACTGGTGGCCGTTCGATGACATTGGCGGTGGCGGCGACGCGGCGTCTTCGGTCGTTGACGCGCCGTCTTCGGTCGCTTGGGAGCCTTGGCAGGTGGAATTTCAAAACCTGGAGGAGTACGCGCATCACGACGGCAACGGTGATCTGTCGAAGGAGGAGATGCGGGAATTTTTTTTCGGAGTAGATGAAGGTCACCATCATGATCGGGATTGGTACGCTGATCAGGTTCAACACATGCCGGACGCCGAATACGAGCTGTGGCAGCGCATGGGTGGCGATGACACCGGGAACGTCGACGACGTCTGGAGTTCGTTGGATGAAGATTGGGGCGACCACCAGGAGGACCACACCGTTCACATGACTGACGTGCAGGATGCGATCAAACACAATGTCGACAGTTCCAACGACCTGAAGCAGGACCTGAACGAATTCCGGGAAAACGCCGGATTCGCGCGTTGGGGTGGCACAGACCCTATGAAAACGATGAAAATCCTGCCACTCCTATATATCTGATAAAATCTCTTTCGCTTTTCCTTTTGCTTTGTGTCATGGTTCTGCATATGGTCATATCCACAGCAAGGTAGTACCTCAGCTCACCACATCATCCATTTTTTTTGCAGATTGTGACATTGCAATAAAGACGTCTGTCCTGCTCTTCGCTCTCTTCTTTGAAGTTATAAGATCGACGACGTACAAAAGGAGCTCAATGCGGTGGCGTTCTAGTTTGTTTTCATAGACTCGCTATTGGAGAACGAGCCGGACGCTACAAATGGTCATGGCGTAAACGTTCGAAGTTTTGCGATCTTTTTCGACGACGCGAAACACCTCGACTTGTTCAAGGCGCTCGGTGGGGAAGTGGCGCCGGGAGAGGATAAGCCTACCCAGCACGAAATGGAGGACTTGTTTAACAAATTGAACACAGATCACCCAGGACTCGAGCTGACTACGAGCGGAGGGATGGATCCTGTCAGTCTCATAATCAGTGCATGCATGTTTTTTTGCTCGAGAACCAAGACAATGCTCTATTTCTGGATGCGGAACAAAAAGCGCTGCTTCTGTCAATCTAGTTTTTCATTTCGACAGCAAAAGGAAAACGACCGGAAATCTTGAAGCGTTCAAATCTAGTACTCATATGCAGCTATTTTTTTTTTACATAGACGAGATAGAGTTCGTTGCAATTTCTGATCGCTTTTGCGTATGAAATGTTGATATGCGCGACCCCATGGACGCAGACCTGCAAGCAAAAATGGCGCTTTTTTGGGACTTCTGGGAGACCCGCCTTCGTAGATTCTTGCGATTTCCCGCCTGTAAAAAGGGGCAGCAAAATAAAATTCACGGCGGTCGGAGACGGCCGACATTGTCGGCCTTCTGGTAGGAGGATGCATACGCTTGAGCGTGAGGGTATGACGCACACGGAGAAAAAACGTTTACTTATTTGTACCGAGCAAGTGCAACACTTCCGTGTGGCCGCGCGCTCGACCTTTGCACGCGCCGATCCGAGGAGTCTGTGGGTGGGTGCGCGCACCCAAAGAGGCTGCCGTGATCTCATAAACAAGTATAGATAATCAAGATAAGGCCACCACTTCAGTGAAGAGTGGCAGCAATAATATTGACGCCACTGAAGTGGCTATCATTCGCAACATGCGAGAGTATGATCAGGCTGATAGTCTCGCATGAATTTCAGAACTTCTGGAAATCAACACCAAGAAACTCTTGACACCGCGTTGCTGTTTCTTTCTTGCATTTTTTGAAATTTGGTTCCGCGCCAAGACATGTTTGCACTGCTGTATAAATCACTCTTGTAGAGCAGTCCTGGGCCGAGCCACCTGGGGTTCATACGCAGGCCCTGCTTAGTATGAACGAAATATTGGCAGGACTGAATCAGCATGGGGACCACCTCGGCTTGGTTACAGGGCAGGACACGGATCGGCATACGGACATGAATATTCACGAGTTCTTCGATGTCCACGGCGGAACCGAGTCCGTCAGGACCCGCCCGGAGTACGCGCCAACTTTGGTGCTCGACGACAATCACCAGCAAACATCAGGAGATCCGCTGCACGTCCCAGACCCAATTGCGGTGGACCACGACCAAGACCATGAGTCCGCCCCTGCGCCGGACGGCGCTGCAGCAGCGTCGCAACACGAGGACGACCACAGTTCTTCACAGCACGGCGGACGCAGTCACGTTCACGAGCATGGTCATGATGCTGCAACGACGCATCATCACCACCATGATCAACACGATGCCGGTCACCAAAGTCATCATCGTTCCCACCACCACCACCACCACCCGCATCCCAGTAGCCGCCATGGAGCCACACCTGCTCCATCTCCTGCACGGGAAGAACGGGGTGGCCAAACTACTTCTACACCCGACGAGACGACATCCGCATCCTCCGCCTCCCCTGCGCCAGCATCGCCTGCCTCCCTTGCAACGAGCTTAACCTCAAAAATGGCCCCTGTGGCTGACACCGTGAAGCAGCACGCAGGCGAAGCGGCGGTTGTCGCCGGCTCGGTTGCAGCGGTGGGCGGAGCTGCACTGGGTGCGCGGCGGGCACTGAAGGCCGCCAGGAGGGAACAAAACAAGAATGGGACCACGAAGAGCGAGAAGAGCTCCGGCAAGACGCAGGACCTCCACGGAGATGTGAAGAAGTCTCAGGGAAGCAACACGAAAACAAGTGCACCCCTGATGAAGGAGAAGGTGACCGAGGAGTTGCCCTCTGCGTCTTCCAATCTGCAAGTCACGCAGGACGACGAGGAGCACGCAAAGGACGGACAAACCGTCTCGAATGACAACTATGAGGACGAGTTGTCTGCTGATAAAGGCGGCAAAGATAGAACTCGCGGTGACGAAGCTGCAGAAAGAGAACAACAGCGGCCGGTGGATGATCTTCACGCTGATTCAAGAAGTTCGGTCTCAAAAACGAGTACGTCACCCGAGAAACCGGAAATGTCGTCTCGTCTGAAGAGTCCATCGGACGCTGAAACGACCCCCACCAGCGCCTCCTCCTCCGCCAGCAGTCCGGCCTCGACACCACGCTCCTCTTCCGCTACTCCCCGCCGCGGAAACCTGCGCGGCACGGCGGCGTTTTTGCAAAAGTTAGAGAAAATGGAGAAATAAAAAACGCGGTGGGAATGAGAACGGCGAGAACGGAGCAGTAGAATCTTTGATGTTGTACGTACCGAATGTTTTACATCTTCATGAAGCTTGACAGTGTTCCGCTAGAATGCCTGTAATGCCTGGCCACAAACCAGGTAGTAAAGGTAGTCCAGCAAAAGAGAGAATCAACCATCGGCCATCGTCTTTTATTCTACCGCTCGTTTTTCTTTTCTGGGAAGAGAGAGTCGTTTTTCTTTACCGACCGAGAGATTAGGACTACAGCATTCTTACTGCCTCTGTCTCTCCTGGGGGAAGCAAGAATCTAACTCATCGTGGGGGGGAGGAGAGTGGGAACCAGGGCCTTTTCTTTTCTGTTTTTGTTTTCTCCTCGCCTCTCAGGGAGGAAAGAGAGGGGATAGGGCAGAGAAGGGGTATAGTGATTGTGTATTCTGATGACGTGTTGTCTCCTTCTTACACCCTAAGTGGTTGTAGTCTCATAGTTCAAAAAAAAATAAAAGGAAAACAAAAACTATGGTCGATGACTACCGGCGAGACAGGCTCTTTGCCATTGCCAGGGCAGTGGCATTAGATAGCGTCACTAGCTGGGAAAGCGGAACCGAGGAACGGTGGACGATCAAACTAAAATCCGGCGCAGTGCATTACTTGATTCTGTACGACACCAAAAAGAAAACAGTAGTAGTCCAACCCACTTACAACAAGCTCCGCGACTTCATCAAGGGAGAGGGAGAGCACAAGAACGTCAGCATCGAGGAGCTGAAAGTAGCCACCTTCTTAGACGAATGGCAGGGGGGAAATGCGACCATCTGGAGTAAAAAGACAAAGAAAATACAGGACCAGTCCCCAGCAGAGGAAGAAGTTGACTACTTCCTGAGCGGTATTCCGGCGCCAATTCCGAAGATCCAGGACACCCACCACTTCCCGCGCCCGATGCTACCGATGATGGGCGCAGGCTACCAGCAAGGCCTGATGATGACGGACATGTTCGGGATCCCGATGACGATGCAGAACATGATGATGAACAACATGACGCAGCAGCAGCTTTGCGGGACACCCAGTGCCCACTCCATTTTCCAGATGCAGATGCCCGCCCACCAAGCAGAAAGTAGCGTCCCCTCGATGACGTCCAACAAGCGGCCAGCGGATGAAGGCGAGAACGGGCAGGGAGAGACCTACTCCTCGCAAGAGTGGAGACAGTGGGTCGAGGGAGTCTGGGATCAGGAAGAGAAAAAGGTGCCGGAACCGAAAAAAGTGAAAATGGAGAAGGAGGAGGAGTAGCTTGGATTTTCCGAGCAGGTGCGAGGAGGAGATGCACAGGGCGAGAGTAGAGAACTCAAGAAAAATCAAAATTTACAAAGGAGACTTTAACCACAAAAGAGTTATTTACTAGGAAGAGAAAGACAGACCTATTCACTAGCTACAAGACTATAAATCTAAAGGCTTTTCAAAGTTTTCATTATTCTAGTTACGACGGATTATATCTATTTACAATTTGAATGATGCAATTTTCGAAGACTACTCCCTGTACACTTCCATGCTCACGATATCACAAGCCTAAAAATTTTGAATAGACGCAAGTAAATGTAAAAAGACAGCAAAGACACCGCTGCGTAGTGGTTTACTCAGAGAACAGGATGAGATAGAGGCACTTCCTCTATTATCATGCTTCCCACTTTGCAATGCAGAATGAAGGACGAAAATGGGCCGGAGATAAGCATTGCAAAGTGGATAGATATAGGACCTGCAGCTTTTTCTTTTCGTTTCTTCCTGTCCCCTAGGCTGCCAGTCGGCAGTGTCGGTAGTGTCCACCAGTGCTCGCCTCGAGGTTCAAAAGTTCACGCTTTGCTTTCGGAGATTGATTCGAAGATGCTCCAAGACAGCGCGACAGGAGAAAAGATCAAAGTATAAGTCCGCTCGGAAAAGCCGACTGGACCAGGGGGTGATCGGTATATTCTTTTCTGTGCCTGGTGATGAGACAGCGACTCCCGCTCAGATGAACGTCGGTAGACAAGAGGTCGTTTTTGTGAAGAGCCGCCATAGGTTTCCCCACAAGGAACAGGACTTGACTTGTCGGTCGCGGAGATCTCCGATTTCGCAGCTCGTGTGAGAAGTTCGGTTACTTTCTTTCTTTCTTTCTTGGGCCAGGGTAGAAGAGGGACCGGGGCAAGGATTAAGCACAACGATATAGCTTCTCCATTGGGTTACAGATCGAAACAAGTAAGATAATATGACTCTTTACCACCCAAAACGCTGGCCATTTTTGTAATTTTGTATCTTTTTGACCCAGGTACTACGAGGTTTCCAATTAAAATTTAAAAATTGCGACCGTTTTTGGTAGAAAGTCTGCTTTTCACATTACGTTAGCGCTGGCAAAAGAAGAGTTGCAGGATGGATGCTGGTCGCTCTAGATCGGGGCCGCTCTCAGGCTTCATCTCTCACCCTCTCTGGATCCCCCCGGTGGAGCTATCAGAGCGGGAAAAGGCCGCGCCGCTCCAACTGATCAAGTCGCAGGTGAAGAAGCAGGAGGAGATTGAGCTGGCGGAAGCAGTCAACAAGGGCAGCATATTCTGGCGCGAAGGCCTGCCCTTCGCCATCTCGAGGACCACGAAAGGAGGCTGGTGGCAACAGCACCATGAAGTAGTAACCTCCATCAGCGACGACGAGAGACTACAGATACGCACCCGCTTCGAGGAGATGGATTGGAAATCAACCAGCCAGAAGATTACGGAACAGTTAGACCAGCGCTGCATCCAGCCGCCGCTCATAGAGGTCAAAAGCGATGAGAAGAGGTTTCCCCTCACCCTCTTCGTCCTGAATACCAGGGGCTTCCGATCCGGAAAACCTGGCAAAGACTACCGTCCGGAACTGCTAGCGGCAGCAGAAGTGCTGTCACTGGCGCCACGAGTCTGTGCGCTGATAGACTTCAAATTTCCACCGGAAGACGAGGAGCCGTGGAAACGTTTCAAGGCAGCACTCGACGACCACTACAAAGTGATCAAGTTTGATGAAGTAGTTTTTGCCCTGGCGCACGGGGAAACTTACGGGAAAGATGACAAGGGGAAAATCATCCAGCAAGTAGGGAGCACGCGATCCATGTTCCAACTAGTAGTAAACAACATATCCGTCGTTGCGGGCTACGTTAAACCACCAAGCGGGCAAGGACGACGGGCCTCCGAAATCGACAGAAGAAAAGACGAGCTCGAGGTGGTGCTGGACCTGATGGAGAGCGGCTTCAGCGGGAGAACAGCAATAGCAACAGGTGACTGGAACAACGAGAAGAAGGTGAGGCGGTGGCATGAAGAGCACAGTGACACCATCGAGGACCTATTGCCGGACACCCCCTCGCGGGTTACGGCGGAATCCCGCACGAGGCCCGACGTCGCTTTCGTCCGGGACAAGCAAGACAAGACGCTGACGGCCGAGGTGGAGCCGCCGATTTACATCTCCTCCGACCACCAAGGTGTCTGGGTCACCATCGAGCAGTCCGCTTACACGAAGGTGAAGCCGCCGAAATTTCCTTCTGAGTCACAGCCAAGGCTGAGAGCACCAGTGCAGCTGACCGCGGGCCAGGAGAAAGCATTTGTCGAGGCGCTGGAACACAGAAGCGAGGACCACAGCAGCCGGCTGGACCTACAGGCGGACGTCACAGCAGCCCTGGGCAAGGCGGGGATCACAAAGACAGCGGGGAAAAAGTCCAGAAGGAGAGCTATTCTCATGGACGTTGCCGCCGGGAAGATCATGGTGGATCCGATGGAAATAGCAAAATCAAGGGAGCGGCGCTTTCGGCGAAAGGAGCCAAAAGGCGGCGATCCAGTGAGCCACCTAGACATCCTGCGCATCATCTACGAAGCACCCAGCAAAAAAGTCGCGTGGAAATCGGGCGCGATGGCTAGGGCCCTTGCTGCTGTTTTCCCCAAACGGTCACCAGGGATGTCAGGCACCCGGCCCGAGTCCATCAAACTGGTGCCGCAAGCCTATTGGAGCAAGTGGCTAGGTGAGCAGGTGGAGGATTACAACGCAATGCGGCCCATGAAGTTCGTCAAGGTGAACTTGATTTCCGCCATTCCCAAGGTGCTGGAGAAGCTGGGACTGGTGGAGAACGAGCGACCAGTGGCGCTGCCGGAGGCGTGCGACAAAGTCCCAGAGGGACTGCTTTTGGAAGAGCTTTTTTCCGTAGCGAAGGAAGTGCTTGAGGCGAATGCATACCTTCCGGGCCGCAGTGCCGACGCATCCCTATTCCGGGTGGTGCGATTCTTCCGCCGCAAGTCCCCGGGCCGCGTCAAGTTCGCGAGAAAAGCGGACGTGGAAGGGGGTTTTGAAAATGTGTTGTTTTCATCCCTCATGAAGAGACTCATCGCCCGGGGCGCCTCCCGGGAGCTCGCGTTCCAGCTGTACTGCTGGATACGCGAGCGCGTCCACGCTGTCTTGGTCGACGGACACATCCTGATACGCTGGACGCCGGTGGTAGGAATGGGCCAAGGCCCACGCCTACCACCGGCATTGTGGGTCGTGTACCTGTCAGAAGCGGTGGAGCTTCTAGACAGGACGATTGTTACCCACATGCCCGAAATCTTCGCGGACGACATCCTGCTGCTGTTCGAATTCGAGGACGAAGCAGCCGACACCCAGCGGGAAAAAGCAGAGGAGTACGTCACCGGCTGGCAATCCCGCACTGGCTTGGTCTTCTCGAAAACCGAGTGGATGCGGGCGACAGGCGGGAGGGCGAGGGACAGCACCTGCTTCGACTACCTCGGCTTCATCCTCCAAAGCTGTGGGAGCGCCGCGCGAGAATCAGCGAAGAGGAGATTGAAGATTCTCGCAAAGACCAAAAGCAGGCCAGCTGTCCCACCGTCTGAGCGGACGCCTGCAGATGACCTGAAATTTTTCAACGAGCAGTGCAGATCGTTGCTGAACTACGGAGCAGCAGCCTTATTCGAAGGCATTGAGAACAACAAGGCCGAGAAAGACGAGCTGCGATCGGTGGTTGCGCGGTCAGTGCGGGCAGTAATGGGGCTCTCGCCCACTTTCCCAGTCCAGGCATCCTTCGCCCTGGTCGGCATGGACGATCCCATCTCTGTGTTGCAGGATGAGCGGGACACGATGGAATATTTCCTTGCCGGTTCAGCAATGGGAAAGAACGTCTCCAGAGGAGATTTGCACAAACAACCGGAATGGAGTGACGAGAGGAGGATAACGATCAAAACTGCTGCGGACATGTACAAAGAGTTCGGCGTCACCCATGGCGAGGAGGAAGAGCTAGCAACTAAAATGTCGCAGTCATACTGTGCCTTGCCGGTGCCTGAAGATGAACTGCGGGCCAGTGCGGACGGGGGCCAAGCTCCGGCCCAGCAGCATGATGTGGACGGGTCACAGGCCAAGCGGGCAAACTGCTATGTGGAAACTGCAGATGATTCTTTCGGGACGACCTACAAAGTTTGGTCAGATTTCCCACAGTTTGACGTCGAAGCGATCGCCCTGGACCAGCTGCTGAGGATCCTACCAGAGCACATCCACCCTGGTCTCCGCACGATCAAAATCTTCACCGACGCAAACGGAGTGCTACAGGCCTTGGCGAACGACTGCAGCAGGCTCGAGACGATGCACAGCCTCCGCACCCTCATCAACAAGATCCTCGACGCTTTCCCCGCAGCAGAAATAGTCATTTGCTGGGTGCCCTCGCATAGAGGATTCCGCCTCAACGTCATAGCGGACTGCCTAGCGGAATACGACGAGGATCCAGAAGCACCAGAAGAAACCAGTCTCACGAAAAACCGAGTGAAGATGTTGGTGCGAGAATCAAGGCGAAGAAAGCAGCAGCATGATGATGAAGGGGCAGATCGAGATGTTACGACCCTGCACCGGGCGAAAAGAATCAAGAAGCTCGGCCGCGTCCCTCTTGCCGGCCTTACCCCCCAACAGGAGCGTGCAGCTTTGTCCCTCTGGTCAGGAGAATCTTTTCTCCCTGTCACTGCAGTCAGGAGGGACGAAGCAGGGAGACCAGTTTGCCGGCTCTGCAGTGGGGATGTGAAAGTGAGGCGAGTAAACGGTGGTGCGTGGATCCGAGAAGGGAAAGAGGAAGATGGAGTTGACGTGAGGTGCTTTACGAGGATCGTCGATCATCTCCTCGTAGAATGCCCAGCAGTACCAGAAGCTGCTACGCACAAGGGCCGCGATGCCATCGACTGCATCAAAAAGAAGCCGAAGAACCAGCTGAACAGACTCCTCCAAGCGGTCCAGATGCCAGATGAGCAGATACCAGCAGACCACAACTGGCCTCACAGGGCGACACGGGACAAGCCGACTAGAGAAGAGGAAAAAGAAAGTAATCCAGTGGTGTGGTATGAGGAGGCGCAGCAAGCTCTAGCTAAAAGACAGAGAGGAGAATAGACATTTTGTGTCTCCTTTCTTTTGACAATCTAACTGTTCCTGCTCGACCCGCGTTAGTTTTACTGTGTGTTTTCAGTTCCAAAAAGAGAAGATCCGACAGCGACGCGTGCTACCCAGGATCAGTTTCTCTCACGTTTCAAACGCAATAGCTGTACAGAGCTCACGTTCAAGCACGCTATTAGTACAGAGTTTACCGACCAAAAATAACTGTAAAACTCAGACCTCAGCAAGTTTCCGGCGATCAAGTAAAGAAACAGTGCCGGGATGTACTGCTGTTGTTACAAACTCAGCTCACCTCAGCCACAGGCAGTGTTTTGAAAGTTCCAGAAAAATGAGAGTCTCGGCCTATCTAAAGACGAACAAAAGCTGACTTTTCTTATAGAAAGTGACCTCCTAGCCTTTAGGTAAAGATCCAGAAAAATGAAGAGTCCCGCCCATTCTAGACAGGAGCAGAAGGGTTCACAATAAAAGCGTTTTTCTATTTCTTTTTCCATATTCTAAGACCAAACACGGCCTGCAGTTGAATTAAGACCGTACTGAAGCATAGCTCAGCCCGCTCCTGCAGGCTAGATTGAGGAGGAACTGCATCTGAGCAGCGCGAGTCGCCATGAAGAAAAAAAAAAAAAAAAAGGGAAAAAAAAAAAAAAACAAGAGCGCAAAACAGTAAAAGAAAGAACAGCGCCGCCTTCCAGCACCCGCCAAGCTGGAAGGGAAAAAAATCCCAACAAAAGAAAAGGCAAGGCTCCAAGCCTAGGCGGTGGTAACTGGCGGCGCAGGGCATAACTCCGTGTTTTCCTGTGGCCCCCGGTGGCGTCGGTATACCTCTCCTTCCGCTCCGGTGGTTGGAGAGTCAGCGAGACCTTTGGTAGCGCTGTGGTTCTTGGATCCGGTTTGACGTCAGGTTGAGCACGTGAGGCGGGTTGTTCAGCACTGGCGGCTCTTTGGAGGTTGATCTGCTCACACGGATGAGGTGGTAGTGTGAAGCTTATCTGAAGCACAGCAGCAGTGAGTTCTCGGATTCATCCAAACTGTGCGACTCCCTACGCTAGGTCGTTCACCGCTAAAACGGGTGGTGTTTGGTCTTGTTGTAGTGCCTAAGCTCTCTCGAGCTTTCGCAAAGGACTTACTCTCAGGATTCTTTAGCTGTATATGTCAGACAGTTACTCGCAGGCCATAAGAGGCGAGCAAAGGGTTGATGTTGTACGTACAACACGAGCCGTTAAGATTGATCACACGGACTCCGCATTGTGCGGAAAAATTGCAAATGATAGTGCTACTGCTCTAGAACAGTATTCAAGTGAGACTACTTAATTTAAATTTTTTGAATCAGATGAATGTACCAAGCCTAATGCACTCTTGGAAAATGTAACAACGAGCTCGCTCGTGCGAGATATTTTTTCTCTTTTGCTTTAATACCTGTGCTGATGCGCGTGGTTAGAAGACCGATGTATAATCAAGATTGACGAGCAGCCGACACCCAGCCCGTGGTCTGCAGAATCAATGTATTGTATCCGATGTATGAAACTACAACGTTTGAGGAAGATCAAGATGATGATTCTGATTCTTCTGAAATAACACAAGCACGCCTTGCTACTGGTGTCCACGGGAGAAGACTTCTTGTTTGTACCGCTAAAAAAGCTGCGGTCCTCTCCTCTTCCTCCGGCGTGTTCGTCCGTCGTGACCGAGCAAGATTACGATCTTCTTCACTGCATAATAAAGAGAACGATTACGATGTGTCGTGGTATCTTCGACACGAGGAGCAGGCAGCGGCGTGAAGTTGCCCAAACCAACACTTACTGTTGGTTGATGATGAGAGAGCAGGATAGAAATTTCGGCAGGCCCCTTCATGCATGCACTCACGGGAGGACAGGCGCAAATGCACGGAAAAATGAAGTGCGTTCTGTTTTGAGATCGTTTTTGATCCCTTAACATCTGACTTGGGAAGTTGACGAAAGTGCAAAGAGCTCTTCTTTACGAATGAGCACCCGACGAGTAAGTACTTGCATTAACCGGTGAACGAAAGGATCATGTGAGTGTGGTTGAGCACTACACCACGCACGTGAAGAAACGCGATCGTTTTCACCTTTTTGGTAGAAATCAGTGAGCGCCAACAAGCTGTCTACATCGCCAAGGCGCAGGCGTGGCTGCGTAGGGGCCCGCCTGTTGTCAAAGTACCAATCTCGTTCTTTCAGTTACGCTGACTTACATCTACAATTTGTCACAAACATCGTGTCTAATAACTACCCGATGGCAACAGGAAACGAGCAGCGCGGTGGCGCTTCTTCGTCCTCTGCGGTGACCGCGGACGGATTGTCATCTTCGGGAAGAACCGGCAAGAGCTCTCGAATGGGTTTGGCTGCTGCCTTTGATCAACGCCAGCAAGACCAGTACTACGCTACCGAACCACAGCGATCCGGGGTCGTCGCTGCAGACTCGTCCTCGTCGTCTGCAGTAAAAGGAAACGCCAGCACAAGCTCATCTTCTGCAACGAGCTCCAGTTCATCATCCTCCTCATCGTCATCTTCTGTTGGCAACCACGACATCAATGCTGGAGACGTTGAAAATGAGATTTTTACTTCCAATTCCAAAAGCTCGGCCGCATCCAGCAGCCGCAGCAAGTCCTCAGGAACTTCTTCCAGCGAAGCCAGCAAAAATCATGCGCGGGATCAGTTTTACATGAAAAGCTACACAACTTCGGGCAGCATGAACAGTTCTGCACCACCATTTCTCGCACAGGAAAACGAGGTGGAGGTTAGTATCATGAGCACACTACGATCAGCAGAGGCGGAAAATCGACTTCGGAAAGAGCAGAAAAATATGAACGCTGGGATGTTGAATGCAGCCACATCTTCTAGAAAAAAAGACCCACACGATGAACAACAGCACAACGCCCCGGGCAGTGCAACAGGTTGTGGCAGTGGTTCTGCTTCCGCACGCACACTGTCGAAGGCCGCAGAAGGCACAACCGAAGAGGAAGTGGTCTTGGTCGCGAAGAAGGATAGTGTTTTGGAAAACCTGCGCATATCCCAGGAGGCCGCACAGAAAGCCGCCGCAGCCGGACCTCGAGCTGGCGGAATTTCTTCACGAAATAAAGCGGGTACGAAAAAAGCGGTTGAAGTATCGTCGTTGCCAACATCGCTCCCGCAACCTGCTCTACCGCAATTCGGCACTCCGCCCCTGAGTTTGGAGCAGCAGGAGGCGAACCTGGAAAAGCCGCGAGGGGGTAAGGACTCGCTTCAGCCGGTGGTGCAAATGAAGCTGCGAATTTCGTCCCCCACCGCCGCTGACCTGCACCAGCAGGCCGAGCAACTAATCCCTATCGAGATCCGGCAGCAACAGCAGCCGCATTTGCGCAGTTCCTCTGAAGGAGACTTTACTCCTTCCCCCGGGGCAGGAAAGCCTGTAGGCCACCAGCACCTCCGGCAAGGAGGGGCGGAGGGGCCAGAAGAAGAAGAAGCGGAACAGCCCAAGGAATCCCTGTACAGAAATCAAGCCCACCAGGTGTTCTACAAGAAGAAACAGGTCACGAGGGACGGGCTCGGCCGAAATACGCAATTCTACGTCAATAACTATGGAGGCTTTTATCCGGATCAGGTTGAAGATGTCGATATAATCCGTGAAGAAGTAGGTGTCTCGCAAAGTAGAACCACGCCGCTGACAGCCGAGAACGTTGAGAAGTACAATAATCACTACCGCCACGACCATGATCAAGAAATTGCAACTACGCACCAGCAGAGTCGCGAAGACCGGTTATTCCACCACTTGAAATTGCCAGAACAGCACGTTGCACCACGGGGCCCTCACCGGCCGGGTGATTTTCAAATGCAGGAGCACGCTGCCCAGAACTACCACGACGACGGCGCGAGGCGGAGCTACATCATGGACGATGGCACGACAAACACTCTTATGGATGATCATTCCAAGTCCGGCCACGAGCACGAATTTTTCCAATTTGGAAGAACCAGCCTTGATCCCGTAGACTTTGAAATCAGAAAAGCGCAACAGGACGAGATGCAAGAACAGCATCAACATGACGAACTGCGCGGAAACATCAACATCGCTTCAACGCAGCTGCAGCCTCAACCTGTCGTGCAGCCGCCGCCATCAGACCAAACCGCAATTATGATGGGCCGCGAAACAAGTAGTTTGTTGGAAGAGACCACCAGAGAGAAGATCCTTCAGCAAACGAAAGAGACGGAGGAAGTGTATCAGAATGCGATCCTCGAGTACTTGGCCGCAAAGAATCTAGACGTGGAGGAAGCGAGAACGATTTTCGCTGAAAATACCAAACACAGAGTTTTTCTGCAGAAACAGCACTTGAATGATTCCTCGGACAGGAGCAAGCGATCGATGGGGTTGAAATCGAATACAACTAGTGTTAAACCGCTGTCCGTTATCACGAGAAAAAAGTGTTACAGTTACACATTTGTTGGAGTTTCTGCATCACAAATTTTCTCTGTGTAGTGGCAGGGAAAACTTGTAATGCGAAGATCATAAGAACGGAAAACAGGAAGAAAATGAGGATCCCAAGCATTTCCTGCATGAGAGAGGTTATCTGTGTTGCCGGTCTTGCAACACAATGTGTAACTGTAGCACTTTTTTCTTGCGATATCCGTCCGGCAATCCGGCGTGAATGTCGTCGACGACCAAAGTCGCGAACTAAATGCAGCGGAGGACGAGCATGGCATTGTTGACAAGGAGCTGGCCTCGGGAGGTTTTTCTGAAATGGACCAGTTAAAGCAGCTCGCGGAAGTTTGTCGGGGGATCGTGAAGAGCTATTACGCGGCACAGAAAAGGAGCGATGTGGAACAGACACGGGGACAGCAAACGGGACCAGTACCTCCGGAACACACTGTTTCTACAGTTGCAGGATTGACTATCGAAATAGAAAAGGTCTTCGAACAGTGCAGGTACAAAAGACTTCGTGATTGCGGTGGTGTTTTTGGAAATTGTATGTGAAGCAACCGCAATGGCAAGTTCTACTTTTTGCTTTTTTGCCGTATCAATTACTTAGATTCATCGTCGCAAGTGGACGACAGGAGCTGCATTTGTTGTGCGACCAGGTGCATTTTCCGCAAAATAAACATTCACGCACCATACCTCTCATTACTATTTGCGATTTTATTCACCACGAAATTAATCAGGACCGCGGATTCGCGACATGCGTCTGAGATTTCCAAGCTCCACAGCCGGTATTCTGTCAAGGAGGCCGCGTGGAAGGAGGAGATCGAGGAGATGGGAGAGTTACTGAAAAAACTCTCCGAAACAGAAAAGGAACTCACCGCGGCTTTGAGTGAGCAAGAAGAAGCGATCCCCGACGAGCATGACGGCGACGGGACGACAGCCGATGTTCAAACAGGAAGGGTAATGAGTCCTCTGCGCAAGAAGCTGCAAATGCGCACGAGTGGGGCTGTCACGGTCGAAGTGCGAGATGATCAAGGAATACCAAATGCGAAGAACGACGAACATGAAGTGTCTCTAGGACGACGATCAAGCAACACGGTAGGTGCAGCTCCCGAAGACAAAACGGTGGGTAGAGACAAAGACAATAAACCAAGCACGACTTCAGCACCCTCAGCAGTTGTTTCACCACAACCCGCGTCGGTGGAGGTCCCACCGAATACAACTGCTTCACAGAAGCCGGACTTCCTGCAAGAATACAAACAGCAGACGAATAGCGCGAGAAATCCTTCTTCTTCATCGTCCGCCATGCCAAGTGCGGGACCTCCTGGTATCCCTGCAGGAGACGCGATTCTGAAGCTCCTGCAGCTCTGCCTGGATTATGCCGAAACCATCACCGGTGACTTGGAGTCCGCCGCGAAACGGGACGCGAAGCAGATCCAGAATCTGCTCAACAGCAGCAGGGAGCAGGACTTCGACGCCGTGCGGATTGTGAACGCGGCGACCGAACTACGGCAGAGAATGAACACTGACTTGAAAGACAACTTGCTGAAGTTTGCAAGCTTTGGTGGTGCTGGGGGCGAACGGGTTGGTGACTCGTCCATGTCGAAAATAAGCCTCGAACAAGAACGCAACAATTTTCCCCAGGCCTGGCTCCGCTCCTTCCAAGCGGTGTTGACGCGAGCGCGTGATCTCCATTCGGACCTCACGTCCTTCCGAATTGTGAAGGAATTGCAGCAGACGCACGCCCTGGAGATGGAGAAAGAGCTGGCGAAGAAAACTATCACGACCGGGATCAAAGAGCAGGAGTTTGAAAAAATTTTGAAAGCCAAAGTTCTGGAAGTCGAGACCTACTACGACGCGCAAGTGTCCAAACTCGAGGCGAAGGTCGAGGAGCTAAAGCTTCGCGAGCAGCAACTGAAGCAGATGTTGCAGGCCGCGGCGGAAAGCTATCAAGCCAAATTGCAAGCGGAGCAGGCGGGATGGAAGGTCGAAAGGGAAGCGATGCGAGCAGAGTTTCAGGATAGGATACAGCGGGGGGAGAAGGACGTAAGTAGAGTGATTCGTTTGTTTTTCTTCATCATTCTTCGAAGCTTTTATCCCGGTTCCAGTGGTCATATGTATTTATTTTCCGTGCAGTTGCAGTTCTTGTGCTTTGAAGGAATAGCAGGAATTTCGAGTGTACTACTGTGTCGATCATGTGTAGTTAATGTTGATGAGTTGTAACATCCAAAACTAAATAGCTTGTTTCTGCCGCGGGGCAGAAGCAGCGGCACTTGCAGCAGCAGCTTAGCCAGGTGCTGTTTGAGAACGAGAAGTTAAAGCAGCTGAAGCCGCTGCCGCTCGAACAGAACCTGCGGAAAACGATCGAGAATCTCAAAGACGAACTGCACAGCCAGAACTTGGAGAGCAGCAACGACGTGGCGGCGCTGGAACAGATGCTGGCGGACCATGAGAAACAGCTCGCAGTCTGGCGGGAGCAAATTGAGACGGCCACGAAGGAGCCGGACGTTGCTTCTGATGCGACGAGAGGACACCGGCAGCCACGATTTGCAAAATTGCAGATGCAGCGATCTAGCAGGAATTTGGGACACGACCTTGAAACCTTTCTTGGCGAAGGTACAGCTGTTGGAGGTCATCTGCAACAGAACGGAACTACACTGATCGGTGGAACTACAACCACTCCTAGTGGTACAAGAACTGGCTCTGGCGCCACACAGACACAGGAGCATCTTCACCAAGAAAGAGGTAGCTCGTCTTCCTCGGGAAAGCACAACACAAGAGACAGGAATACCGCCGGAGCGGCAGATGTCGTCGTTCCTTCCAACGCGTTCGCGCCCTCTCCCTTCGAGCAATCAGCGTCTTCGTCGAGTACTAGTAGAAATGACGGAAATGATTCAAACGCTTTATTTTTGCAGAATTATCAGCGCCACCCGCCTCCGAACCGCGTCTTTACCGCCACCGCCAAACACCACCACCCAGTGCACCACCACCACAAGAGAATGTACGGCCACGAAACGCTGCGAGAAGAGCAGTCCCAAGCGGCACAGATGGTCGCGCTACACAAAGAGAACCGGAAGAATAGATTTACTGCGTCAAAGGAGGAGGATATTAGTAGCGTTGTTCAACAAATGAAAACTTATAGCGGCGGTGCGCCTGCTCCTGCTGCGGCTTCTTCTTCCAGCACGGCGTTTACGTCGGACGAAGATTACCACACCACACCCTTCAGGCAGCAATTTTCCCGAAGATCGGCGAAAAACCCCCAACCGGGAGGTGGTGGCGGACCCTCTGCTGGTCAGCAACTACAGCAAAAACCGAACAAAATAACGAAGCGAGGAGCGAAGGAAGAGTCGGTGTCTGAAACGAGGACAGCAGCGCATGGTGCAGGAGCCGCGGCACAACATTTGGCAGCTTCTACTACAACAACCGGTACCGGGCCGCCAAGTAGAAGCCGCGTGCCGGGGAAGCCGAAACAACTGCAGCTGGAGCAGGAGGATTTTTTTCACGACGCTGAAAAGGATCGCATCCCTGACGAAAATGAAGATCCCCCTCGCGGCCCCAAAAATTTTTCCGGCGGTGGTCCAACTAGAAGCAGTCCTAATCATGACACCTCCGCTCCCGTCCCGAAGCTCCGAGTGGAACATGAAGAGCCCCCGCCCGCAGCGAAAAAGAACACATTTGAGCTTTTGGAAGAGTTTGCCCACCAGTCCGCGAACCTTTCCCAGCCGTTTTACCATGCGGAGTACATGAAGCCGGATAACTTTCTGCAGGTACAACCTCCGGAGTTGAAGGACGTGAAGAAAAGGGTTGCGGACCGCGTGGAGACGTTGAAAAAGCAAAATTTTGAACACGCGATGAAAGTGCAGGAGCAAAAGAAGAACCAAGTTCTTTCCACAAGTCCAAGAAATTACGACTCAGCGATTCAGATTCTTTCAGCGAAAAACGGCAGTCTGCGGGTGAAAGTGCGCAACCAGCCTGCGGAAATAAATGCAGTGAAAAATGATGCAGCAGCAGCGGCGGCCGGGGCGGTTGTAGAAACAACTCCCACAAGGACCGCTAAGATGCTAGCTAGTACAAAAACTTCCCGAAGAAACCACACGCCTAGCGACAGTGTTGATAACACTGCAAGGACAGCAGCGGAACCAGCACAACCCACCGATAGTACGAACGATCGAGTTCCCGAACTCGATACACCGATGATGGTCATGCCCCGGTCCTACCGCTACCAAGAACAGAACTACTCCACCACGCACTTGTTGAATCAATCGAGGATCCTTGCTGGCGGCGGGGGAACATCAAACATCACTCCGGCGCTGATGACAACTCTTAGTGGAGGTGGTGTGCCGTCGTTGTTGAGTAACGGCCCTTCCCCAACCGCGATCGGAGTGGGGGTCGGGATCGGTGGCGTGTCATTGAACAAACGGGCGGAAGAGGACGACTTTGCAAGGGGGTGGCACAACTGAAGAAATAGGAAGGGATAGCATTTTGTTTCAAGAAGACAAGAATACGAAAAAAAAATTCGTCTGTACGGAATAATTTTGCATTCATTTTGCGTGCGAGAACGAAGGAGCACCGCAGCACAGGATTTTGACAATTGACGGTCGATATATTCTGATGACCAAGTTCCTTATGCTTAGCCTTCTCCTGTTATCTTAATTTTTTGCTCTTCTTTCGTTATCTTTTGCAACTTGATGAGGAGGCTTTTCTTCTACGAAGACTGTTGTAACTTTGCAATGTAAGTACTTAGTTGTACTAAAGATGTAAGTAGTAGTCTCACAGCGCGTGTGCCAGAGCCGCTGCCGGTGGCGTCGCTGTGTCAGTGTAGGATTTTACACGGCACACAGTCCGAATGTTCCGTGGGAGTGCAGTGGCATCTTCAATTGGTCAGTTGTATACTTCTGGAGGTGGTACTGGTTCAGATTTCTGGTGAGTGTTTGAGAGTATTGAGGAAGTGATACTTTCAACGGCGGACGCTTCTTTGGATGTTTAGATCATGATAAGCAGGCCGCACCTGACGCCACTTCGAGTTGGAGAGAAATGTTGCGTAGTTATTGAAAACTCCGTATGCAAGCTTTTGGCAAGCAACAGCTCGGGGAAGCGCAAGGCGCCTTTGATTTCACCAGCGCGCCGCCATCCCAAAAAAGTGCCCGCGTTAGCCCGGTCACGGGGAAAGTTTCCGGCTGCTTTTTTTGCAAAAAAGCGCCCTCTAGATGAGGGCTTTTGGCACGCAACAGCCCGGGGAAGCGCAAGGCGCCTGCGATTTCACCAGCGCGCTGCCATTCCAAAAAAGTGCCCGCGTTAGCCCGGTCACGGGGAAAATTTCCGGCTGCTTTTTTTGCAAAAAAACGCCTTCCCGGTGAGGGCTTTTGGCAAGCAACAGCTCGGGGAAGCGCAAGGCGCCTTTGATTTCACCAGCGCGCTGCCATTCCAAAAAAGTGCCCGCGTTAGCCCGGTCACGGGGAAAGTTTCCGGCTGCTTTTTTTGCAAAAAAACGCCTTCCCGATGAGGGCTTTTGGCAAGCAACAGCTCGGGGAAGCGCAAGGCGCCTTTGATTTCACCAGCGCGCTGCCATTCCAAAAAAGTGACCGCGTTAGCCCGGTCACGGGGAAAGTTTCCGGCTGCTTTTTTTGCAAAAAAACGCCTTCCCGATGAGGGCTTTTGGCAAGCAACAGCTCGGGGAAGCGCAAGGCGCCTTTGATTTCACCAGCGCGCTGCCATTCCAAAAAAGTGACCGCGTTAGCCCGGTCACGGGGAAAGTTTCCGGCTGCTTTTTTTGCAAAAAAACGCCTTCCCGATGAAGGCTTTTGGCAAGCAACAGCTCGGGGAAGCGCAAGGCGCCTTTGATTTCACCAGCGCGCTGCCATTCCAAAAAAGTGCCCGCGTTAGCCCGGTCATGGGGAAAGTTTCCGGCTGCTTTTTTTGCAAAAAAACGCCTTCCCGATGAAGGCTTTTGGCAAGCAACAGCTCAGAGAAGCGCAAGGCGCCTGCAATTTCACCAGCGCGCTGCCATTCCAAAAAAGTGCCCGCGTTAGCCCGGTCACGGGGAAAATTGTCGGCTGCTTTTTTTGCAAAAAAACGCCTTCCCGATGAGGGCTTTTGGCAAGCAACAGCTCGGGGAAGCGCAAGGCGCCTTTGATTTCACCAGCGCGCTGCCATTCCAAAAAAGTGCCCGCGTTAGCCCGGTCACGGGGAAAATTTCCGGCTGCTTTTTTTGCAAAAAAACGCCTTCCCGATGAGGGCTTTTGGCAAGCAACAGCTCGGGGAAGCGCAAGGCGCCTTTGATTTCACCAGCGCGCTGCCATTCCAAAAAAGTGACCGCGTTAGCCCGGTCACGGGGAAAATTTCCGGCTGCTTTTTTTGCAGAAAAGCGCCGTCCCGATGAGGGCTTTTGGCAAGCAACAGCTCGGGGAGCCGCAAAATGCCTGTGATTTCACCAGCGCGCTGCCATTCCAAAAAAGTGCCCGCGTTAGCCCGGTCACGGGGAAAATTTCCGGCTGCTTTTTTTGCAAAAAAACGCCTTCCCGGTGAGGGCTTTTGGCAAGCAACAGCTCGGGGAAGCGCAAAATGCCTGTGATTTCACCAGCGCGCTGCCATTCCACAAAAGTGCCCGCGTTAGCCCGGTCACGGGGAAAGTTTCCGGCTGCTTTTTTTGCAAAAAAGCGCCTTCCCGATGAGGGCTTTTGGCAAGCAACAGCTCGGGGAGCCGCAAAATGCCTGTGATTTCACCAGCACGCTGCCATTCCAAAAAAGTGCCCGCGTTAGCTCGGTCACGGGGAAAGTTTCCGGCTGCTTTTTTTGCAAAAAAACGCCTTCCCGATGAGGGCTTTTGGCAAGCAACAGCTCGGGGAAGCGCAAAATGCCTGTGATTTCACCAGCGCGCTGCCATTCCAAAAAAGTGCCCGCGTTAGCCCGGTCACGGGGAAAATTTCCGGCTGCTTTTTTTGCAGAAAAACGCCTTCCCAGTGAGGGCTTTTGGCACGCAACAGTTCGGGGAAGCGCAAGGCGCCTTTGATTTCACCAGCGCGCTGCCATTCCAAAAAAGTGCCCGCGTTCTGCTTCTGCAACTAATTTTGAAATGTCTTGCTCACACAATAAGGCCGGCGGAAAGCCAGAGTGGCGGCGGGAAAATGTTGGGAATTTTTTGAAAACAAGATGTTGCGTTGATCATACTGGTACCGGGCCGCGACCACTCTGGAACATCAATGCCAAGCTGAGCAACGAGTTAGCACGGCCGCATCGACAAGAACCGCGAGCAGCTGCGCGGCAGCTCCACCACCTTTATCGCAAGAAAAAACTGCTTCACTGTGAACTTGTGATGCAGAAAATGAAGCACCAAGGTGTCTGTCTTGCTACACCTGCAAGACATTGGATTTTCAAGCGTGTTCTCCCTTGGGAAGCGCGCATGGCAAATATAATTCTGTGTCATGTGTAACGAACTTGTATGTAATGCAGATCCTGCAAAATCATCACAGTGAAGCAGTTTTTTTGTTGGATAATCTTCTAAACAAGAAGTATCTGCTGCCCGCACAACTACATGTGGCGGCAGTTTCTCCGAGTCCGATTCAGAAAAAGCGAGGAGGTTTTCAAAAAAAAAACACGAGCTACTAGCGCTGTAGCATTCTAAACTCGCGGCCCGGGGGGCAGCCGACAAGATGATAAAGTTGATGTCGCTCTTGGTGAAGTCCGTGGCTTTCATCAACATCGCTGCCAAATCCACTGATTTCGTCGATGCCTTAACGACCAAGAGCTATGTTCCGAGGCAAGTTGTATCACCCAGGCCCACCACAACGACTACAGCCTCATCGCAGCAGAACAAGAAGCAGCACAAACTTCTGCAACAAGAAAAACAGCAGAAGATCGATGTGGTGGACGCGGGAATATCCGGGTCGCCGCAAACCAGCCAATATGAGGAAAGCAACCTGCTCAAGAAGGCACAGGCGGTGCTGCAAGCCAAGGTGGAATCGGAAGAGCTCGAAACGATGAACATGTGGGAACTTGGTAAAATATTGCTTAGTGGATTTTTTTGTGCTCGCCCTGTGCAGTAGTTCTCGTGCAGGTCCCTTTCTCATGCGTCAGGGAGACCTGCTCAAGCTCAATCAATATCAAATTCAAAGGGAGGCGAAACAAGCCGAAGCCTCACACTCGTTAGACGATTGAGGGACGAGACCTTAACATTAATGAAACTACTGAAACTGAATAAACCAATCGGAATCTGATCATTAGCCCAACGCGACCCCATCCTTCTCGCGAAGAAGATCACCCGCGACATGTTGATCCCGCACGAGGATTTTGTGCTGTTCAAGACGTCGGACATCCCGCACTGGATCGCGTTTTCCGTGATCTTTGTCGGTGTCTTGATCTTCGACAACCTGTACCTCTTCCGCAAACACCAAGTTTTGGAGCTCTGGCAGGCGTCTTTGTACGCGCTCGGCTACGTGGGCGTGGCGCTGGCCTTTGTCTTCTACGTGTACCTCTTTAAAGGGGCCGACAACGCGGCGACTTGGTTTTCCGGGTACTTGCTCGAATGGATGTTGTCCGTGGACAACTTGTTCGTCTTTCGCATGGTCTTCGACATATACGCGACCCCGGACAAGCTGAAGCACAAGCCGCTGTTTTACGGGATTATTGGCGCGATCTTCTTCCGCATGGTCTTCTTCGTCGTGGGGGAGGCTCTGATCCACACCCTGCACTTCATGCACATCGTGTTCGGGGCGTTTCTGGTGTACACCGGGATCCACGTGGCGTTATTCGAAGACGAGGACGGCGACCCTACGGAGCACCCGATCATTGTGTGGGCAAGTGAGGTGTTGCCGCTCATCAATGGGTACGACGAGAGCGGCAGGTTTTTCGTCAAGTGCGAGGTCTTGCCGGACGGGACGCTGAAGCTACCCCCGGAGAGCACGACGGTGTCGTTGCCGGACCTGGACAAAAGCTCGAGCTCAAAATCCAATCTAGGCGCGGACAGCGCGTCCTCTGCCTCGCACGCAAGCAAAGCGCACAATCTGAAGGTGCTTACTGACTTTGAACAGCGTGTCCTTGATTTGAGGTTTCAGGATAGTACTGGCGCGCCCGTAGTACAGCTGCAGTGCTCTGTTTTTCAAGGAGCGAACGATTTACGTGATGATACGAGGTGATAAGATACTTACCGTGACCGTATGACACGAAAAATAACATTGCCAGGTCTACGAATCCCAATGGGGTCGCTCGCCTCGTTCCCTGCCCCAGGGTTACCGGGTCGAGTGGCGCTGCACGTTTCTGTTCATCGTGGTGGTGTGTTTGGAAATCACCGATCTGATGTTCGCGGTAGACTCGGTTTCCGCCATCGTCGCGCAGGTACCGGACCTGTACCTGGCGTACACCGCCTGCATCATGGCGATGCTGGGATTGCGGGCGACCTTTCTCATTGTTGACGAACTGATGCTATCCTGTGCAAAAGTATCGTACTCGTACTGATTGCAGTTATGCATTACAAATCTCCTCCACAAGGCAAATCCGCACTTCAAATTTAATTTGTAATGCTAGGCCAATTTGTAATGCAATTTATACTAGTACGTTACATTACTTTTGCAGTTCATAAATGCGGCTGTTCGAGTATCTGAAGTACGGAGTCGCCTTCATCCTCGTCTTCATCGGGTTCAAGCTCATCCTGTCAAAGGTAAAAGAGTAACACTGAGTTCAACACATAAAAAACAACGCGAGTCAGAAGTACTAGGGGATGTGAAAATGGTTTTAGATGATAGGTGGCACTAACCGCTGTAGTTGAAGATGTTTACGCATATGCTTTCCAAAATGAAAAAAACGACACAGGTCGTGATTATCCCCTCTTTTGTGGTCACCGGCATATTCACCATCACGCTTGCCATCTGTGCCGCGATCTCGATGGCTGGAAGACAAGCGCGGTCGCAGGCCCCGAGCCCCGCGACGCCTCGACATGCAGGCACCGCCAGCGAAAAGGCGACAACACCTCGAACAAGCGGTGGAGTGGTGCAGCCGGGAAGTCAAGTGAATCAGGCCTTAGTGGCGGGAAAATGAATTGATATTGAGGTTGACACGGAGGACGAGATGGGGATGGATGTCTGGATAATTGAGGTTCCGCAGTCCGGGGGAACTACAAGGATCTTCGTTCGTGGTCTTGTTCCACGACGGGTGCGCCACCGTGCCGTCGCGCCACTAGTGGCACAGAACGACGACCCGGACGTGGAAAATGCAACTCAGGGGGGCGGTCATGAAATCGCCACGAACAGTTGCAGCTCTCGACGCCTATTTAATTTTTTCCGAAAATGAATGAAAGTGTCAAGGTGAAATGTGCAAATTCTTAGAAAAACTGCAAATAAACAAGTTCACAAGAACCCTGCTGGCTGTGGCTTCTATCTGACGTTACAACTACCGACATCATGACCTCAGTCGTTTGTTTTTGAAAGCGGACGTTGATTTGATTTCTTGCAAAACAACAAAAGAAACAAGACGAGGAAATAAGGCTGCTCGCGAGCATTACTAATGTTGGTGGTATTCCAGCACAGAAATATTCGCTTGTCATTTGTGTTGTTCACCCACCTCAGGACTATCTCGTGCATCGAGAAAGTAGGTCTTTGCTTTTGCAGCACAAAGACTACAATTAGAAGTAATCCGTTTCCCTTTCCAACAACGATCACCAGGATCAACATCGTGATGCTCATTGCACGCCCTGAAGTTGTTATTGTTTCAGCTGCGTTTTTCTTTTGGAGACTCAATTATGCCAGCAGTCACGACTAGAACAAACCTGTTTTTTCTTGGTACCAAGACCAAAGAAGTATTCCTTCCTTGCGTTCTAGAGATCAATGAACAGTGAAGAGGCCCAAGGAGGTAAGATCTATCTATCTCGATTTTTCCGTTCGTGTTTATTGCGTGCTCGAGGTTAAAAGTTGATCCTGTTTCTGTGCAAATTGCGGCATCATCTGTTTTAGGTTTCTTGTTTAGACAGATCAGATTTCGTGCCTGACACTGACAGCATCGAGTTGTTGCTCCTTCGTTCGTGCCTCCAAATCTTGTGAAGATTCACAACGAAAGTAGTTGTCCTTGCTGTTGTCTCACCTCTTTGTCTTTTCTAAAGAATTTCAACGGTTACTTAATCGCGTCGTTATGTTTACTTGAGAGGATCTGGTGGATCTCTGCAATAGTACCCATTTTCCCCACGACAGCACGGCCATGGCAAACCCTTTCGAGGACGAGGAAGACCTGATCAGCAGGGATGCCGGAGAGCGCGGCGGCAGCAACTCCTTTTTCCAGCGCAGCGCGAAAAAAAAGAAGAACTACAGCACGCCACCGCAAAACTACAGCAGCGGCCCTGGCTCGTCCTCGCGTCAACAGCTATTTTCGCCCGGGCTGCTGGGAATCGACTGCACGGAAGACGAGGACCGGGGCAACACGAATAACTCGACTGCAGCGCGGAGGAGCCTCCAGAGCGGTGGCACGGTCCGGTCGGCGCGAAGGCGGTTGCTCGATAACTGGCAGGTTACAAACGGCCACCCCTGTTAACACAATCGGGGGGAAATGTTTCCAATAATCTTCCGAAATCCTTCCAGCACCCCGGCAAAGTTCGCGGCGCCCCAGCCCTGAGTGCAGCCGGACGGCCTTCTTGTTTTTCTGCCCTGGGACGGGCAGCCCACCGCGGCAGGGTGGCGTAGACAGTAGCCCGAGGCGTGGCGCGCAGCCGCTCGCTGTAGGGCTTGCGCCCCATTGCCACCTTAAACCAGCGCCGGAAATCGGGCGAGTTGCGCCCCCTTGCCCCCTGTGTTGTGCACTACAGCGGAACGAACTTAACGAAAGGCCGAGGCAGGCTTCCCAGCAAGCCTGTCGCGCCCGGAGGGGGCCGGCCCGCGGCCTTAGATAGAAGATGCAGCCGCCGGGCCGTAATGGGTTGCTTGTGGAAGGACCCGCGGCTCGCGGAGTGCGTCGCAAGCCGACAGCTGTCCCTGAAGAGGGCCAACAGAAAATCCTTCCGAAGGGGCCGCCGGAAGGGCTTCCGGAATGCTCGCGAAAATCCTTCCCGAGGCTTCCGGAAATCCTTCCGGAATCCTTCCGAAATGCTTCCGAAATCCTTCCGAAATCCTTCCGCCAACGGTATGGTCGACTCTCCTGGGCGAAAGGGAAATCGAAATTTTTTTTTTTTCTGAAAAAAGCAATTTGTAATGCGCCAAGGCGCCACTTTTTCGCCCGGCAGCGCGCGGCCTACCTCGCACACCTGCACCCGACCGCCCGTCCGGCACCTCGCTACCGGCCTGGCCCGGAGTTCATTCTGGTTGCGCCCTTCCCCTCTGGTGTCCCAGTAGGCCACCTACAGGGCGCTGCCGAATCTGGGCAAGTTGCTTGGCAGGGCGGTGTATCTCGATACGCATCGCCTCGCTTGCGATGTTTGATTGGCGCTTTTTGCGGTTCGTAGTGCCGTGCGGCTCAAAAATTGAGCCCGGCGCTACGGCGCTCTTAAGTCTGTTCTCCGCCTGCAAATCGATGTGGCCGCAGCCACAACTGGCCCGACATAAATAGATGGCCCCACAGCTTACAGGCTGTGGGCGCATTGAAAAGCTGGGGCGCTGGAAGCATTTCGGAAGATTTTTGGAAGAATTTCCGCGAAGGCGGTTGCTCGATAACTGGCAGGGGCAGAACGGGTATGCGTACGTTGGGGACCGGCCGCCGCAAAGGCGCGCAAATGGGGACGAGGTGAACCATGGGCAAAACGGGCCCGGAGAGCAAACCGGATTGCTAGCGGGCCAGGATCGGGTAGAATTTTCTACGTGGTAATTTTGCGTTGGTGATGAACAAGCTTGCATGCTTGGGTTTGGTGTTTCACATCATCCACTATTGTACAGCAATATTATTTTAGTTTTACACTTGTGCCGCCTATGCTGGTGACCTGTTATTGTTACAGATAGAACTAGTACGAACGATATCGCGTTTGTTGTACTGTACATCCATTTGATCAAACCCCAGTTTTCCGGTGCGTACGAGGCGTATCAGGAGCCAGAGCTTTTCGAACTGAAAAAATGCTTTGGGTGCATCGCACCCTGCGTGGTCCATAGTGTCTTGCTGGTCTTATTCTGGTCGGCCTACATTCTGCTGTGTCTCATCCACTGCTTCCCCGCCCTCCCCTTTGGGGAAGCAGCGGCGGCCCCCGAGAACGACCAAGCTCCGTATCGCCGCTCCGTCGACCCGGCCACCAGGACCATGCTGCAAAGAGCGACCTGGTGGATGCAATTCGGGCACGAAATGCAGTTTGCCCTGGGGTGCTACCTCTGCGGGGTGATGTCCATGGTGGAGGTGAAGATCTACCACTCGAAATCCCATTTGTGGTGGCGGTTGGCGATCTCGCCGTTCTACCTTCTCCTACCCTTCCATCACGCGGACGAGTGGAGGTAGAGCGGAAGTAAGTATGTACTGAAAAACTAGACGTAGACCACACGTACGAATTTTTTAGAGAATGTCGTGCCAGCTCCAGCATGTTAGTTGAACTAGTCAGTGGTTCCCACTGTGTGGCCAGCATGATGTGCTTTTCCTGATTGTTGTTTCGGTTCCTTCTTAATGGATCGAGAGGAGCTACTTCCAGGCAGCCGCAGCGTAATGACAAGTCGTAAAGCATCAACAGCATTTTGTTTTCTCTAATCTATCTATCAACAAATCAGGTTTTTGAACCCCACTCCGCCCCAACAGCCGGAAGAGTACCGCACGACGCCACTGTGGATCCAGGAACTGTTCCGGCCGAAAGCCGGACGACAAGGCAGTGCGTGGATTTTGTTGCTGCTGTTTATCGGCTCCTGGCTCGTGGTCGTGAGCCAGCTTTTCCAAGCGTCCGTGACGGAGTGGATGACGAAATCGCAGTACGATCGGTGGTTGAAGGCGGAAGAAGCGAAGAAAACGGAGAAGAAGTTGTTGAAGGAGGCCAAGTATCAAATGTAAGAGTGTCTGGGTCTGGAAACTTGTGATGCTGGGTGGCGTCTCATGATGGGGCCACAAGTGCTGGCTCAGCATGACAAGTTTCTGAGCTTCTAGGTGTTGCCTATTCTGCATGACAAACTGCGTTTCTGCATCACAGAAAAATGGAGCTCTTGGGTAACGTGCATAACAGATTTAAGAGTCACGCCAGACAAGCATGACAAACATGCATTCTTCCAGACCCAGACACTTCTGCATTTGATACCAAGGACAAACTGAAGGAGATCAAAAAGGAAGTGCGGAATAAAGACAGCAACAACTCGTCTTCGGGAGAACAGCAGGACGATCATGGCGATCAGGAGAATTTATCGGGTGAAAACATCGGGTCGCCGGTGTCTCACCGGAGCGAGGCGACCTATGATCGCGGATGCACGGGGGGATTCGGTACTTCGTCTGGGAGTAGCGGAAAAAATAAAAAACACAAGATGAAGCGTGGTAGCGGCGCGGCAAACAATGTGTAAAGGAGTGGATGTCGTTTGTTCCCGGCTCTTGCTGGGGCCACGTCGTAATACTTCTTGAAGATGATTAAATTTAAAGATGAAGAAGAGTAAATATTTCTGCAGTGAACTACGTTTGTTTCTGGGGTTTTCTTTACCTGCTCAGAAACGAAATTTTGAATACATTCGGAAAGCACTCGGATATTGCCTATTCGGCAGGCTATTTTCAAAAAAAGATAAGGAGTAGAGAGACCAAAATGAGTGCAGACTTTGACTTTTGATCGTTTTTTTGATTCCACGCCCCGTCTTCAGCGACACACACACACACACAGTCAGTCGGTGTCCTTACTAGCCCCACTGGATGACGGGGGTCGTTTCTTTTTCCTCTACTATGTTGGCATACCGAATATAAGAACCATTTTAGTACCAAAACGCTCATGCAAGTATGCTGTGGACGTCGACCGAGTGGGTGCGGCAGGACCCAATCGGCACATGAAACGAGGCAAGGGCAACAACATCCCGCATAAAGTAGATGTTGTCCCTTGCTTAGCTCACAAAAACGCACAGAACAACAACGGGAGAGCCTTCTCCTGGGGCTCCTCTGTTTTACCACGACGTTGATCTGAGTGAAAATAATCCCTTTGAAAGTTAGTACCTCTAAACTACTAACCCCTCTACAAGAACGAAGGAACGAACTTGGTGTCCTTTTCCGCGTTCCCTGCTCCTAGCAGAATGGTTTCTTGCTTTGGGTCCTCTTGCGTCAACATGATGATCTGTTCACAAGAGCTGCGGCTGCGCCATCAGAACAATTCTCGTCTATACCGCGTTGATTTCACTTGAGAGGTGTCAGTTGTGTGTCCCCTGAGCAGGCCGGTGAGCAGAAGCTGCAAAAAGTCAGAGTTGTTTTTAGCGCCGACGAAACCAACAGCAACAAGCCGAGTTGATTTTGGGTGTCCAAAAATGGCGACGTAGACGTACTAGAGGTGCTTTCTGCTACTGTAAAGGAAGGTGGATGCGTGAACGGCCTTCTATTTTTTTGTGCAAGAGGACAAAACTGCCCTCGCTACTTCGCTTTATTAAACGCTGCTTTTCGACATGGTATTCCTATTCCTCACACGACAACGTTATTCCTAGGTTCTTTGTGCGGTAGAGGTAGAAATTCGTTTTCTACACCGGAAGAAGATCACAGAAAGCAAAAATGGCGTCACGAGCAGGCGCTGGCTCCCGAGGCGGTGGCAGGAGAAAACTGACGTATATAGACATTTTCACATGGCACACGAACTACAATTTTTTCGTGCAGGAAGTGCGTGAGCAAGTCTGTGTATGACATGACACGACGACGACCCGTAGTGCTGCGGAAGCTGCTGGTGCATGATATGAAAAATCGACTGCTTCTTCTTTCCAGGTACGAGAGACCAGGTTTGACGGAGGATGAAATCGACGAGATCAGGGAAGCATTCAACCTGTTCGACACAACAGGTATGACACTCAAACTTGTTTCTGATGCGCATGCGCTGAATTACAACTTCATTTCATGCGAGGCTTATAATTTGTCGTGAATCTAGATCTAGTTTTAGTGATAGAGACGATCGAGAAAAAGAAGAACAAATAAAACTGCTCAAAGGTAGCGGCACCATCGACCCCAAGGAGCTGAAACACGCAATGCAAAGCTTGGGCTTCGACTCAAAAAATCCAACGGTACAACGGTTTTTCTATCTAATGCTGCCCACCACTGAACATGAACAACATGCATGATGAGGAGCATGATCATGATTCCATTCTCGCATTCTCTTTTCGACGCCGATAACTAGACTTCATAGGTGGTTTGATGCTGCAATTTTCCATACAACTGACTCCAAAAACCCAGGTATTCCAGATGATCCAGGACCTGGACCGAGATATGTCTGGCATGATCGAATTCGAGCAATTTCTGGACGCAATAACCGCCAAGCTCGGCGACAAGGAGACGCGGGAAGGCATCTCCAAAATTTTCGCGCTTTTCGACGACGATAAGACGGGAGCCATCACTTCGAAAAACCTGAAGAGAGTGGCGAAGGAACTCGGTATTTGATTGGCTTTGCATTTTCCGCATCGATATAGAAATAGAAACAAAGCGATAATTCTTATTTTCAGAACAAGAAAACCGAGTTCTGACGAGACGGCCAAATACTATGTATGAAAATGTACCTATACTACAAAGGTGAAACGATGTCCGACGAGGAACTGAGGGAAATGATCGAGCGCGCTCTATGCATTGCAAAAGTGTCAGGGAAAGCTCAGTGAGCAGCGTCGCGGTTGTAGAATCTTTTTCACGCTGGTGTATCGAAGATATTCCAACGTTCTTGTTTGATGCGGTAAGTAAACATATCAATGAATACTACAAAAGCTCTCAAAATCACAAAGCTGCATGCCTAGCGGGTAGAAGAAAGATCTACTTCGAAAATGAATATCTCACTGCGCGACCCTGGCACTTTTCCTCGTAATACGCAGACAGTATGGGCAATGGCGAGATTTCAGTAGAGGACTTTTACACAATCATGACCAAGAAGACATTTCCATGAACGGCTTTTGGGGCTGGAATACCGGAGGGAGGATGTTACTGTCCACCTGATCCTTCACCGCGAACTTCGATTTTTCTGCGCGTCAGTAGCAAAATGTTTACCTTTACGAAGCGAATGAAGATTTTGCTGGTCTACTTACTTACTTTGTTTACTACATTATGTTATCGAGTGCAGCTACTAGTACGAACCCGAAGAAACAGGTTTATTTTAGGTTAACAGACCAGAATCTCAACGTTTGCATCTCAACGTTCTGACGCGCCTCAACCTTTGCGCATCAACGATCGCGCGCGCGACTCAACGATGTGTCGCTGCGCGTCGTACCTCCTTACTGAGTATTGTTTTGCTTCGGACATGTAAACTTCTTTTTTTTTTATTTGTCGGGGACAGGTAGCAGACACACTCGATGATGGCGAGAGGTCTGGCGTGTTTCCTGTGGACCCCTTTTACTTTTGTTGCTGAAAGGGCGCGCGCGAATGGAAAAAAACTCCAAGCACGCACAAGCCCCTAAGCAATCGTCATACGAAACTAAGCACCTGCAGCTTCGTGTTCCTCTGCAATACTTCTAAGGGCTACAGCCAGCTCAGGGCCCGCGGAGTTTTGCCCCTCTCAGTGCATACTTGCACGCCGATATCGTTTACGTTTCCAAGCCCTTCGCTCGGCTTTGCTTCATGTTCCTAACCGTCAAAGCAGAAATGTTCAGAATCTACGAGCTGCACTCTTGCTGCCAGACTCCAATATACCGAAACTGGCTCCAAATACGGCTAGGAGCAACGCCGTCTACTAGCTTCCGTCACTGTACTCCCGAGTAGAGCGCCATTTATACTTGACGGCCACAGTCGTCGATCTCTGTGCGTTCTACTCACAGGCGTCATCTATGCTTGAAATCCAAGCACGAGCTGCAGTCTGTATGCTGAAGACACTCAAATCGGTTGCGTTTTAAGAGAATTACAACGATGAAAGCACTGGAAGCTTTACACGAAAGCTAGACAGACCGAATGTGTATTGCAAAAACGTAATCTGGTGGATAGGTTCATCTTCGTTCTCGAGACTGAGGCTCGCGCACATCTTTATGTCTGGACATGAGAGAGTCAGAGTAAAGGAGCGAATAAACAGAAGAAAAGCGCCGTAGCATGTGGTGAAGACGCCAGTAATAGAGTCATAAAATGCCGTAACGGTAGAAAGTGTCGAAGTCACTAAAAGTATAGCAAGGTGCTGACGTCCGAAGAGAGATAGGATCTAGAGCTAACATATCAACAACAAAACGAGTTGTAGTAGTAAGAAGTCGCAACACTGGGCACAACAGTAAAAGGAAGCATCTACAGAGGCGCAAAAAGCGTCGGTGATTTGGAGAAGAAAGTGTAAACGTAGCTGGCCGACTAGTAAATCCGGAAGAAAGACATAGACCCAAAGGCGACTACTTCTTCCCGCGCCCACCGAGACCACGAGCAACGACTAGCCTTGTGTGCGGAAGTCCGGCTCTGATCGGGATCCTCCTCAAGACGCCGGTCTTCTCCAAGTTGTCGACAGCCGCGTGCAGCGTCTTCTCGGCGCTCGGGATCTGCATGCCACGGCCTCGGTAGACTGAGTCCTTCAGCTTTGTCCCCTTGCCCATCAAAATGTCAACCGCGGAAATTTTCCCGAGGGGCATGTCCGTGGAGTTGAGCAGATCAAAAACCATCTTCTCAGCCGGCGAAAACATGTCGAGCGCGTCCTGGGTCTTCCCCACATACTATGAAAGTGCACAACCCCCCCTCCCCCTCATTTGTGTTGCATGAGCAGCAGCGCAAGCGCTGGCAAAGGTGCAGCTTCTGCATGAAAAAATCCTACAAGGTTGTAGGGCTGCTGTGAAGTCCGGAGTCAATCTGTCATGCAGACAATGCTAACAGGCAAAGGCTCGACTCGGAATCTTGTACGGCAAAGAAGGGAGAGCGGGAGGGGGGGTTGTGCCCTTTCATATATGCACGGGGTGCGGCTGTAGCGCGGCCCAATCATATAACCTGATAGGTGGCAGTTTGCGAAGATAGACAATCGAGCGCGGGGCGAAGATACTTCTCCGAAGACAATTGTAGTAGGCATGCAGATCCAGCGACGTTCTAGCAGGGACTTACTGAGCTTGAGAGGTATTTGAAAAGCAAAGAAATCTAAAATGAACAGCGTTGTACGCGTCGGCCATGCGGACCAGGTGCTTGCAAAAACCGGCGTGGTACGGACAGGAGCAACGGAACGAAAGGGAGTCCAGCCGCAATTCCAAGTCGTACATCTGGCCCGGCGAAGAGGCCGCCTCTGCCTATGCATTGCAAAGATGTTTGGGTCTGGAAGATTGGGGAGGTTTGTGTTTGTCATGCTAAACAGAAGTGCGGGGAGAAGTGAGGTTTGTGTTTGTCATGCATGACCCGTAATACATGTGGCGCGGGCTCTTGATCTAGGTCTAGCGTCACAACTCTCGCGCAGGCTTGCTCATACTTGTCCTGCATGACAAATGCCCTCTCCGGGAGGCTAGGATCTGCGCAACACCTCCGACCGCTCCTGCAATGCAGATCTGCGCTGGTGGAAACTAGCATGACAGATCCCACTCGTTCCAGACCCAGACATATTTGCAGTTGGTACTGCCCTGCACTGGATGATCTCGAGGGGCTCCGTGATCTTTCCGAAAGGTTCGAGCCGGACGGCCCGCGCGGCCTCCTGAACCTTCTCCGGCACCTGATAAAGGTTTTCAAACTCAATCAAAGATCTCTATTTATGGTTTTAGAGCACACGGCCCTGCTAAGTTATTCACGGGCGGCCGCGGTGGAAATAGTCATCAAATATCGAGTGTTCACCAAGATGCAAATCTGTCTGGGTCTGGAACGAAGGATGCCAGATCTGTCATGCAGGTTGTCCATGACCCCGACCCGCGAGGTGCAGGTCTGGTATGCAGCATGACAAATTATGTGAGATCTCTGGCCATGCCTATCTTGCATGAGAGATTCCCTTTAAAATTGGCAAAACAAGAGGGCTGCTGGTGTCCAGGCAACACAGGTTTTTCGCATGTTTCGCATTTAGCACGACAAGGCGCAACCCTCCAGACCCACCAGGCGCGTTTGCATTTGATACTATGTTTGTAATGCACCTACGGCAAAATTAAAAACGGGCCACAATATATAATACACCTACGACAAAATGCTCCATCCATCACGTGAGGCAAAGTAAGAAAGGGCAACAGGGGAGGCAAGTATATACGTTCGGAAAGCGCCCAAGCAGTGCTTTCAGTTTAAACAAAGCGATCTCCTTCGTCTTTTGCCCCTCCCAATCCGCGTGCAAATTCTTGGCCTTCACTACTTGGAGCGAGTCAAGGTGTTTCAGAAAGCTCTTTGTCTCATTCCATCCCAGCGTCTGTATCACAAACCGCAACCTGTAGGACTGGAGCCCGGTCAAAATTTTGTCTTTTTCACTCGAGGGCGTAGCAGGGTCGCGAAGCTTCTTGTTGGCCGACACGATGAAGCTACAGCGCTTCTTCTCCTCTTCTTTCTCCTGCTGTGACCTCGCGCCCCGGCTGCGAGGCGAGAGACACGTGCCCCGGCTCGTGACCTGTTTTCGGTAGTCCAAGCTACGGCTGAAGCACGTCAGCGGACCTATCACCGCCTTGCGACGACCGACGCTGCAACCCTTGGCGCGCTTCACATTCGGCGCGGGCGACGCCCCCCGCGGGCGGCGCTCTCCCTTTTGCAACCAGCCAACCCAGCAGGCTGTTTTCGCAGGGAGGGGGGCGGGCCAGGCCCGCCAGCGAGCCTCCCGAGAGAAAGGCGAACCCCGAACAAGAGGGAGAGCCAAGACACTCACACACCCCCAGAAAGGTAGAACTTGCTTTGCTTTTGCCGCTTTGCTTTGCTTTTGCCGCTTTGCTTTGCTTTTGCCGCTTTGCTTTGCTTTTGCCGCTTTGCTTTGCTTTTGCCGCTTTGCTTTG